AGGAACTCTGGTGCCGAGTTTGGTGATTATATCTCAATAGGGAGCCAAATCTATAGAAAATGGATAAACGGATGGATGGACAAACAAGTTGTTTTCCAAAATATATAGTAGATGGGTTTTCCGCCCCTACATTATCAACCTGTTGCAGTTTGATGAGCAGCTCTCTTGTGTGCTTCCAGGACAATCTTAAAATTACAGTACAGCCCCAGCTCCAAATTCAGAAGATCAGTTGTCACCTGAATTATTCTGTGTCAACCCCTCTTTTGTCTCAGTGGTGTGTGTCTCTTTCTAATTACTGGCCCACTAGAGTAAACTAAGTTGCAGATGCCCAAATCCAATTTTCTAGCAACGCAGACCCTGAGGATCTCGGGCCCTGATGTCTAATGTCGTAAACAATAGTGACAGAGACTTTGATTAAACTTGACAGGATCCTTATAAAGCCGTGAAGCTGTTGTGCTCCTATTTTCATCACCCTTCAAGTTTCCTTAGTTTAAAAAAAGAAGAGAAGATTTGAATCCCACTCAAAAGACCAAAAACATCTTTTTGTATGTCAGCTTTAGAAACAATTTGTCTCTTCAGTGTAAGACTATGTCATGCTTGAAAATACAGCAGTTGCTTTCAGTCACTGGGTATACAATGAAGGCCTTGAAAGTTTACACACGCATGGACATCAATTGATCTCTTCCAGTTCATTTTTCAATTTTGGGGGCCCAATTTGTCCACTTATTGATGCCACAGTCTAGTATGTATAATGGGGCCCTACTAGCACACATACTCCTTCTCCCCAATCTGTATCAATTAGGACTTGCTGATCAGAAGGTCGGTGGTTCGAATCCCCGCAACGGGGTGAGCTCCCGTTGCTCAGTCCCTGCTCCTGCCAACCTAGCAGTTCGAAAGCACGTCAAAGTGCAAGTAGATAAATAGGTTCCGCTCCAGCAGGAAGGTAAACAGCATTTCTGTTTGCTGCTCTGGTTTGCCAGAAGCGGCTTAGTCATGCTGGCCACATGACCCGGAAGATGTACGCCGGCTCCCTCGGCCAATAAAGCAAGATGAGTGCCGCAACCCCAGAGGCGGCCACGACTGGACCTAATGGTCAGGGGTCCCTTTACCTTTTACAGGGCATATGGGCAATCTTGAGGGCCCTTTCATCTAAAAAAAAAAGTGAAAAGGACCATGGAACTAGACTTTAATACGAACATATGTAACATCCACACTGGACAATATGCCATGTCACCGGTGCTCAACCATGCACTGACATGATTGCTGAATTTGTGAGCATGTAAACTAGATCTTGAAGACTTGATGGTGAATGTGTGGACTGCTTCTTTTATTATTTTGGAAGGTATTGTGTTTTAGGTGATGCAAAACATCTACCTGTGTTTTTTTAGGCAGTGATGGCAAATTCACACATGTTGGTCATCACTTAATCTTGCAATTTATAATCAAGTGATATACAAGTATGTATGAAGAGGACGTAACAGGGCACTTCCACTGAATGCGTTCCTTGTAGGACTGACAGATGGAAGGAAAGGTAAGGCTGATAACCAACAAAATAAAATCCAAATTCTGCATCAAGGTAGCTCAAATCTCTTCTCAAGATAAATGATTCAGCTAATAATGTGTATGTACCATATTTTTTGCACCATAACACTCACTTTTTTCCTCCTAGAAAGTAAGGGGAAATGTCTGTGTGTGTTATAGAGGGAATGCCTACGGGTGGCGGGGGGGGGGGATCTGCTGCAGTCGTGAGCAGAGGATCCATGGTTCCCCTTCCTTTCCTCCTCCGTGGCTCGCTTTGAAACAGCAAAGCGGGAGAAGAGCCACTGAGTGGGGAGGAGAGAGGGACAGAGATTGCTTCTTTAAAGGAGCAAAGCGGGAAAGGAGAGGAGCCGCTTACACTTGTGTCTGGTTGGTTCCTTTAAAGCAAGCAGGCTCTCTGTCCCTCTCTCCTCCCCACTCAGCTAGCTAAATAGCAGCAAAGTTTTTCAGCACGCTAAGCCGGGGATGAGCGGGGAGGAGGGAGAAAAGCAGAGCCTGCTTGCTTTAAAGGAGCAAAGCGGGAGAGGAGAGGAGCCTTCTCCCCTTATACCCCTCTTCTTCATTATTAGCAGCATCCTTCTCCACCCACCCCACACATGCTCCTTGTCCCTTGAGTGCTTTTCCTTCCCTCCCCACTTATAACGTGGTTACAAAGGATCCTCAGGATTTTTGCATTGGGCTACTCCAAACTCACTGGCAGATCACATGTCTGTGGCCACAGCATGAACCACAAAAATCATACATCCACTGTTTCGTTTAGAATATTTTTTTTCTTGTTTCCCTCCTCTAAAAACTACGTGCGTGTTATGGTCGGGTGCGTGTTATAGAGTGAAAAATACGGTAATTTTGCATTGTTGAATGATCTGCATCCACAGCATTTGAGTTTGTGTCGCTTCTGGGGCAGGGGGCACAGAGTGGATGATAGATAACAAAAGGATATATTTTTTTTTAAAAAAAATATTTTATTGCAATTTTTTAAGAAGAGAAAATCACCAAGTATATAACAAGCTCAGATATTATAAAAAGAAAAAGAAAAAAGAAATAACAAATCACAACCTTTCATACATTTTTCAAAATCTTCTGGACTTCCTCATGTCTCCCTTTCCTGCGTTCTCCAAACAAAAATTATGTTCCGCAATTTATTACCTTATTTCAAATCTTATGTTCTAAATCTAATGTGTTATACCTCTAGCTTTAAATATTTCCATCAAATATTTAACTACTTAGTTTAGATATAACCTTACTTCGAATCTCATCTTTATGATTCAACTTATTCTCATACATTTCTCATCTAGACTGCTGATGCCAAGTTCCTTCCTTTCATGCACTTTCTTAACATTCAAACAATTTATAAAGTCTTTGTAGGTAATCTTTAAACTTCTTCCAGTCCTCTTCCACCTCCTCCTTTCCCAGGTCTCGAATTCTGCCGGTCATCTCGGCCAACTCCATATAGTCTATCAGTTGCGTTTGCCATTCTTCCAGTGTGGGCAAATCTTGTGTCTTCCAATGCTTTGCGATGAGTATTCTTGCTGCTGTTGTTGCATACATAAAAAAGGTTCTATCCTTCTTTAACACCTTCTGGTCGACAATACCCAGAAGGAAGGCCTCTGGTTTCTTAGGGAAGGTATACTTAAATACCTTTTTTAGTTCATTATAGATCATTTCCCAGAAGGCCTTCACTCTCGGGCAGGTCCACCATAGGTGAAAGAATGTTCCTTCAGTCTCCTTACACTTCCAACATTTATTGTCATGCAAATGATATATTTTTGCAAGCTTGACTGGGGTCATGTACCACCTATATATCATTTTCATAATATTTTCTTTCAAGGCATTACATGCCGTAAACTTCACATGTGCGTCCCTCCCGAAGCTGCGCGCTCGGTGGAAGAGGACGACCATCCCAGATAGAAGGAGTGTACCGTTCTTCGGTCAAGGGTATACGATAGCTGCGCTCCCCTGCTAGAACCTCCAAACAAAAGGAGATATTATTGCCTCTGGATTTCTACCGTAGTCTGCAGTGAAACAAAAAATGAAATGGATACACTTGACAACCCACTCTCTATGGTCACAGCTATTTCTTTCTCTTCACACATTGGAACATGAACTGACACTTTTTAATTGTCTCATTGTCAACATATAGTCCAAGAGAATTTAACAAAATGCAGCAAAATTTTCTAATAAAAGCTTTACTGGAGATGCATAGGCCAGATGAAGAAACTGCATGGGTTAAAACAACAGCTAGAAAAGCTGTGATTTTATTCAAGATACTCTGTGGTTTGGGGTGAGGGTGGGGCTTGTTAATATAACCACAGTACTTCAATTCAAAATGTATATTGGATGGCGTTTTCTCAACTCTTGGTACAGAGTGTGCAATGCACATCGATGGACTGCAGGAAATTGCCTCCTTGTGTGTGGATGATTTCACTTTCCACAGGAAGCAGAACCGAAAATCTGCCCATGAGAGGCGCTCACATCAATACATTATCAACCTATAGTTTCTATGCCATTTATTTTTTTTAGTTTGCTTTTCACTTATTAGAAGAGGCTGCTGGATCAGGCCAGTGGCCCATCTAGTCCTGCATCCTCACAGTTCTCACAGTGGCTAACCAGATGTCTATGGGAAGCCCACAAGCAGGTTCTGGGCACAAGAACACTCTCTCCACCTGTGGTCCCCCAGCAACTGATTCTTGGAAACATTACTGCCTCCAGCTGTGGAGAGAGAGCATAACAGACATCATTGTTAGTGGCCATTGATATCCTTATTCTCAATGAATTTGTCCAATCCTCTTTTAAAGCCGTCTAAGCTGGTGGCCATCACTGCCTGCTGGCAGTGCAAGTTCCCTAGCTGAACTATGCACTGCATGGAGAAATACTATATCAGTCCCGAATCCACAGCAGTGTCCAAAGAAGGAATGGCCACTGGGAGGAGTGCAGAGAGAGGAACCCTATGGTGAACCTGTAGCAGCAAAACCAGACACCTTCATCTGCCTCAGCTGCAATAAAACATGTCTCTCCTGTATCGGTCTCTACAGCCACAGCAGGCACTGTAAGTCTCCAACCGTTGAACTTCGCTCCGAAGGTGCACTCTTCCATGGTCTCCCAAGACAGATGGATGCCAACAAAGGTCTTTTGCCATGACACGCATCATTTTACACTTGTTTGCATTGTTTAGACGTGACTCATAACCCTTCTCTAACCTGAAGCTCATGAGCCTTTTATATAAGACACAAACTCCCCCCCCCCATTTAATGCTGTTTTCCAAAACAAAGGAAGAAACAAAAAAAGTAGCATCGTGAGGTCACTTAAAAACTGTAGGAATTTTAATGTGCATTCAAATTTCAGATCACTGACATCAATGAAAGGGGAAGCGTGTATGTGGGGGAGACACACAACGCATCACATACGTTAGTTCCCTCATGGCTATTTGCATAATGTGTCTAGAGACAGCACTGTATAAGAAGGGAAGAGCTCACCCACCAAAGAGAACTCAGGGGCAGTTCTATTGGAGAGCTGATGTGATTCAAAGGAGAAAGGACAGTTTCGAAGCTCAGACGAGTGAATAGCTGCAGAAATTCAGTGAGCTCGGACAAAACTCTTTGGTAACCTCAGCAAAGGAATAAAGCACCGGGGCAGAAGGTAATTTCCATTTAGATTTATTTGCTAGGCTGTCTGGCTCAAGTTCTCCCTTCTGATGAAGGCTGAAACTAAACAACACCTCACAAGTCTGTACACTAAGATACAGATTTTCTTCAATTATGATCTTCATTGTTCTATATTTTTTGCTATTTATTTAAGGGAAATGCCTGCTCTGAATCTGAGTTATAGCTTTATAAAACTTTAAAGAAGAATGCATATATTTCATTTACTAGCAAAGCATTCTGGTTTTTTTTTAAAGTAACTCTGATTTGATTAAAGTGGGTGCCTTAAAATAAACATTGATAGTTTGCCAGATACCAGATTTAGAAATATAAAACAGTTGGCATTACATTAAAAGCAATCACATTATGTTTTTGTTACATTTTCCAGCATGCTAAAATGCATTTCATTAAGTTATTAGACAAAATATAAAATAACATCAAGGTGTAGTTTTTATTCAAGCTTTTAACATTGCTTCATTAAAAAATGCTTTGAGGGCTGTTAGAAAATAAATGGCAAAAAGCTGAAATAAAAATGGATTTTCATTAAAGCTAGAACAATATACTGGTTTAAAACAGTCCTTTAAGAAAGAAATTTTATGCAAGCTATAATAATTATATGCTGATAATTGTATTATAAACATTTTTGCATTTTTAAAGATATACTACAAAACAAAATCTAAGCCAATGTTTGGAAGCAAAGGTTTTATATATAACTTTGGATATGTGTAGGCAGTACCTTTTTTCTGGGGGGGACGCAGGGTATGCATACCCCTGAATATTTTGTGAATCTTTTTACTTTTGTCCATTTACTGTGTTTATTTTTCCTGATTTGGAGTATAAAATGGTGATTTTCTTGAGTCAAAATGAGAGTACCCCTAAACATTTTTTTGGGGGGGGGGAAGCACTGAGTGTAGGTTACATCGAGTTAGCTCTTTGGCCACTTAAAAAGCTCATTGCTGGGGGATGAGAGAGAGAGGGGTGTGTGTGTGTGTGTGTTTTCCATCATTAAATGAATACAGTGGTACCTTGGGTTACAGAAGCTTCAGGTTACAGACACTTCAGGTTACAGACTCCGCTAACCCAGAAATAGTGCTTCAGGTTAAGAACTTTGCTTCAGGATGAGAACAGAAATCTTGTGGCAGCAGCGGGAGGCCCCATTAGCTAAAGTGGTGCTTCAGGTTAAGAACAGTTTCAGGTTAAGAACGGACCTCCAGAACGAATTAAGTACTTAACCTGAGGTACCACTGTAAATACTGTACCACCAGCATTTGCTCTCATATTGAGTCAGTCCTTGTGTTTGCTCAAAGGCAAACATCCACATTCATTTGAAGATCTTCGAGTCAAGTGAGAGTGCATCTAGAATATTTAAAGGGACAAGCACCCATTTCCATGGGCAACTTCAGTAGACCTGGATGATGCCAGGAAAGCTTACCTTTAGCTCCCGGACGTTTCATGTTTCTTTGCATTATCAGGAATGCTGCATTTCTTTCCATATTTGCTCCATTCTCTGCCACCCTGTTTTACCTGCAGGACCTTCCGTCCCACGATGACATCGGTCCAGCGGCTCCTGCTGCTACTCTCCTTGGCTTTTGCCAGCGTCTGTGTCAACGTGGGGCAGCCATTTCCAGAGGGGGTGGAGAACGAGGGAAAGAGCAATCTGGATGGCATCCTCCAAAGGGCAGAAAACATCATCTTGAAGTCCATTTTGAAGAAGGTGGACGATGACAAAGAAGATCCCAACAAAGGTAAATGGTGTACCTTGGCAGTAGCTGAAGTTCATGGCTGTATTTGTTTATATGCCATTTCCCTGTTTGTAAAGGGCCTCAAAGTGTGTGTGTGTGTGTGTGTGTGTGTGTGTGTTGAGGTTTAGGGAATTTAATGACATTTGTTAGGAAGAAGAGGCACCTTCCTCAGTTGCTGCATGCTGAGATGCGGGCCATTCATTATTAAATCACATTTTTGCTCCCTTATCCACTCAGTTCCATTTCAGACTGGCCTCTCTAGGGAAGAGGCACTATTCCTTTCAGTATGTGCATGCTGGTCTCTGGTTCAATCTATGGCATATCCAGGTATGGCTGACAAAATCCTGGAGAGCCACTGCCAGTCAGTAGAGACCAGGGGTGTGCAGTTAGTAGGTTGGGATCAACTGTGCAGTCAACAATATATATGGTGACACAGAGAGACCTGCAGAAGTTAAGGGCAAACTGAGGGTTAAGAGAGGGCTTTTGGATGCTGCAACTGTATTTAGCTTGTTGTGTTAACGTTGTTGCTCACAGTGTTAGGGTAAACCCCTTGTTCTTTTCAAACAGTCGCCTTCCCGTCTTCCAATGCACTAACTAAATCATACTGTATTGCACATTGGATCATCAAGGAGTTCTAACTCCATCCCCCCCCCTTCAAAATAGCAAGAACAAAAAGCCTCCCCTTCTAGCTTAGGCTGTGTTCAGGTGAAAGGAGGTTTTGAGAGTGTATGGCACCAGAGATGGACTTTTTGGAATTTGCTAGCAGAAGTTTGATACTGAAAACAGATTCCTGTGCTGAGAGGGATGCTTCTTCTTTCATCTGTGTTATCACACACCCACACCCACAACCACTATCACTGTTTTGCACCTGGATCTGGTTGGTTCTAGTAAAAAACAAAGTAGATCCTGCCCACCTGAAACTCGCCCACCTCTGGTGTAAATACTACTGAGCTAGATGAACTGATGGTCCGACTCAGTATAAAGCTGCATCCTATGTTCCTGGAAGAACATGAGTTAACCTGCCTATGCCTGAGAGACTGGTCTGTACTGGGGCTGCATCTGACTGCAACTTTCCAAATATGTTCTCTCAACAATTAACATTGGGCAGGCACCCATGCTATACTATCTTAAAAAGCCTTCTAAACACTTTATTATTTCAGCTAGCCTATCCAGACACTAGTATTGTATACTTGCTTTTAGTGTTTGCTGATTGGGGGTGTGTATTATTAATAATAGTTTTATATTGTTCGACGGACACTGCATAGATTTTTTTTTTTGGTCACTTAAGCAAGAACACCAGTTGGATCCACCTAAGAGAAGGATCTTGACCACGGGGTTAAGACTTCCACTTTAATTCCATTCCCAGATAATTGTAAAAAAGGAATATCTCAGGGAGCTTCCAGATGGGTGTTTATTGTGGAATGAGTGCTCCTTGTGCATGCATGGTTTTTGCAGCATCCGCATGATGTGTCCCCAAGGTGTCATTCACACATACAAGAAGTCACCATGGGTTAGGTCTAAAGAAATGCAGAAGGATTATTCAGACAACACACTGGAATGACAATGGTTCGTGTGGGAGCACTGAGAGAGAAAAGGGACAATTCAGTTCACATTTACAGGCTAACTTAACAACATTTGCAGGTTCTGAAGCAATACAAGAACTGAAACACAACCATCCTTCAAATTTTCCCATTATAGGATTTTGCAGTGCAGTTCTTCAGCCAAATAATGTGTACACAAATGCATATACAAGGGGGTAATGCGTGCATTTAAATGCATACATTAGTGAAAACAGCATACAAAATGCATTACATAAGGGAAAATAACTTGGCAAAAGTGTGCCTATTGTGTAAAGCTGCATATAAAAATGTGTATAGTAGGGGAAATATAGTAGACATCCCCAGATGCATATAAATTATATTAGATACATATAAATTAGCATATGCACATTGCAGGCAAATTTGCTGAATTGTTTCAGGATTGTCTGACCCCCAAATATATCCACTTGACAGCTTTTGGTCAAGTCCATCCAGATATGTAGAATGCTAGCATGCATTTTAATTTTCTAAGCATACTGTTGGTTTTAATTACCTTTGGAATATTTCAAATACCTGTTTTTAATTGTAAGTTATTGATACAGTTAATTTAATTGGTGTTAAATGAACGGTGTGGGCTTTTTTGAAAACTGTTTAGAGGTTTTATTACATTCAGGCGGCATCTAATAGGTGTTCAATAAATAAATGCTCCCTTTCAATCAAGAACAACGTTATTCTTGGAGTGTTTTAATGCTGTTCATTTCCTTGGGCAGAGCCAGGAGCTTTTCAGCCAGACTGGATCTCGAAAAGGCAGCACCCTGGAAAGAGATCTCTCTACGATCTAGAAAAGAAGCAGCATCCCGGGAAAGGGAGAATGTGGATGAGGAATCTTACGGAGAAACTGTGAAGCGTCAGCACCCTGGGAAAAGAGAGGAAGAGGATGAATTTGATCCCTACTCAGAAGTGCAGAAGAGGCAGCACCCAGGCAGGAGGTACCTGCGAGAACAATACCTTGACCTCCCTAGCAGCAGCCAGCTAGCTTATCTGGATGAATTCTCCAAAAGGCAACATCCAGGCAGGAGGTACCTGACTTACAGCAAACGACAGCACCCTGGCAAGAGGAGCTGGGAGGAGGAGATGGATGAGGGCGAGCAGAACTTGGAGAAACGACAGCATCCGGGCAAGAGGTACCTGGTGGATGCAGAGAACCCAGACTACACTACTGTCCCCTGCGAGCCCCAGGATTCCTTTGAATGTAGCAAAGGCAGCTTGCTGCTAGAGTTGCTCGATAACGTAAGCAAGGGCCGTGTCGACGAGAAGCGGCAACATCCCGGAAGAAGGTCTTCGTGGGATGGTGCGTTGGAGGAAGAGGAATGAGACGTGGCCAGGGGGTGTGCTTTCTCGTTGTTTTCATTCCTCCGAATGATTTCTCCCAGCCATTCAATGTTCCACCCATAACCCTTTTTCTTCTTCCTTCCTTTCTGCTTGCTGAAACCTACTTCGCAGGTGATTCTTTATAGTGTGCTCCTTCCTGGTGGGCTATGGTCCAGATTTAGCAATGCATGGACACACGGATTTCATTTTAAGCATGGCACTTTGTGCCCCCACCCCTTGAGAGGCATGTGGCCAGGCGCACCCCCACATGCTTAAAATGGAACGTGTTAGTAAAGGATGATTCCAATGTTTCATTTCTTGTGTGGGCCATAAGTTAATACGGGACGAAACCCATCCAAACGCAAGGGTAGTCAGATGTCAGATGTCAGTCTTCTTGATGCTTGCAACTGGCATTCCAGCTCCAAGAGAGTTTGCAAATAGCACACTTCATACTCATCCCTAAGTATGTTGTTTGCTGTTTTTGTATAGCATTTCCTTCGATGGGGCTTCAGTCAGAGAAACACAGTGCCAGAATCAGCTGCAGGTCCCTTTTAATCCTGAAAATTGGGAAGTGCTTCCATCAAACGTATGCCCAGTGGGTGTGCCCATGTGGAAGAAACGAGAAAACCTGTGGATAAAGGAGGGAGGGCTTAGGGCAGGACTCTGGCCACATGGACAGCTTAGCCTGTGCAAGCCTGCAGTAGACAGAGTGGTTTGCCTTTTCTTTTAAAAGGGAAACCATTTTATGCACTGACGAGATGACTCGTCATGCAGGCAGCAAGGACCACGACGGTCCAAACACTATTGCAATGAAGAAAAAAAATCCACAAAGAGCCTGATCCACAAATATAAGTAACACCAGTGTGTGTGTGTGTAGATTTCTGACTGGGGTCAGTATTCCCCAACCTTTATAAGTGAATTCCATCCATATCCACACAGGTTCCATGAAGCTACTTTTCCTGTTCTGGAACTTTTTATGCAGGGCCTCTAGCTATTCTCCATGTGGCAATGCTGCTTTCAAGTGGTCTTGATGATAGGGAATTGTGAACAGCCACTGCCTTCTCTATTCTGCCAAAGGTGGATTGGACTGATATCTTGCTAATGAACAGGATTAATGTGCATAGAGAAATGGCATGCCTGTTTAGCAAATCTGACATTTGCTATTATCCTTTGCCCTAAAAGTGACTCATAGTAGTGCACGGTTTTGTTTGGAAAACCCACAGCTGAGAATCCTCACAGGGCCTGGGTTCCAGTATGCCGTCTTTGAATCAATGTCTCACTTTGTTTCCAAATAAGGATTAATTACAATAAATATTTTAAATTGCAGCAAGCAGGCGTCTTTGTCTCATTATGTGGATTTTCATTTGTAAAATATGGAAAAGTTTGCTGTTGTCCCAAAAAGGAATGTTTTCAATTTCTGTAGACAAATGGAGTTTATTTACCATAAACAAATCAATAAATATCCATAATTAACAGTGCTCCCTTGTTCAGTTATCCTTTTCGGTCATACGAAAGCAAATAAACAATGTGCCAAATGATCAATGCCCTCCTAAATTTAAAAAAGGGAAAAAAATTCAACCCAAACTGTGATGGAGGAAAACAGAATTTTTTAAAGTCAAAACTTGTGTATGGTGATGATGACATGTTTGTATATAGCAGTGGTTTATTACTGATGTGGAAGGTTGCTTTGTGTAGAAATAGAGTTTTCTGAAACTTTCTGCTTGTGTATGATGAATAAAAAAATCAGAATGAACATACATAAACTAGCTAGCATCCTCCTTAAAAAAATAATCAATGTCGGTTGACATCCTTGTGAGCCTCCAAATTCTGGTCCAGGATTCTCTCTCCTCTCTCTCTCTCTCTGTGTGTGTGTGTGTGAGAGAGAGAGAGAGATCCCCTTGATCACTCCTTTCTAAAGCCACTGAGAATTCAGGGATTCTCTATATGTGGTAGCATAGAATGTAAACCTGCAGCAAGGACTCTTCATATTGGAGGTTCCTGTGACAATTTATTCCCTGAACTGGGTATAAATTAAAGCTGAGGCAAAATGGAAATGAAAACTGTTGGTTTTTTTATTAACAAAACCCTAAAGCGGGATGAAGCTTTAGGGCTTCACTATCAAAGGCACAGTACTTTTTGTGTGTGTCAGAGCTGCTGTTTTACGTTTAAACAAGAACTTTACTAATTATCCACAACAAACCGGTCTCTGTTGAAAAGATCTTCTCCTAGAATGGCTAACCACTTTTAGCCTTCTTGTTAAAGCCCCTCTAGCCCCTTTCTAGGTCCTTTCCCTCCACCTGAGGAAATTAAACAGATTTGTTCTGCCTGACAAACCCTTAAGCACAACTAGCTACTTCTGTAGCCAGCCCTTACCTGCCAGTTAAACTGTCAAAATCTCCATTTACATTCTCAGTCTCTCCTGATTTTCCATTTCTCCTCCCTGCCATGATTGGCTAAGGGTCTCCAGGATGATGACCCAGTGGTCTGTCCATCACAGGGGATGCAGGAGAGAGGAGAGGAAAGTTCTGCTGTGCAAACGGAGATCTACTGTGTGTGTGGAATGACATTGCTGAATACAACCCAGCATCTCTGATTTGTCAGTAATTAATCTGTTCCAAGAGGCAGCCTGATCTACGAGTAATGTCAATGCAGTTGGGTGGTGGTGGGGTGACTTATGACTGGTTTTGATATTCTCCAAACACACACACACACACACACACACACACACACACACCCCGCTGCTTTTCAGAGCAAAGCCACAAATCTTTCCCTGTAACTGACATCCTTTGGAAATAAGAGGCTTGTATGCAGGTATATTTGCAGCTTAAAACAGAATGAAGTCTGCTCCTCTTCTGCTGCATTTCAAGCCACATTTGCACAGTCTTGTTCATATCAGAGAGGGGGAGAGGTGGGTGGGGACGTCTTCCCCTGATGTGCATGACCTTTTTGGTTTCTTTGACCATTCATGAAGTAATCTGCAATGTACACTCATCTGTGCAGGTGTGAAGGCTCTCTCAAATGTTGGCACTGTTCTGAAACATGCATCCAACGGCAGTATTTGTCGAGAAACTACAGGATCAATATGGATTGTGCATATCATCGTGCAAATGAGGCTTCAAGAACTAGCACTGGGAATGCACAGGATGCAGTATAGTAGAGGAGAAGGAATTTCAACATGTAGAGCTTTTCACATCCATTAAGCATGATGGAGGCACAAGTTGCTTTGATTTTTCTATGTGGGGGGAGGGGGCAGTGGGAGAAGCGCGCGCGCGCACACACACACACACACACACACACACGTGGATAGAAGCTTGTAACTGAATAAATGCATGCCTTTTTTTCTTTTTTATTCAGGCCAAAACCAGGTAAATATGCACCGAACCTTTACATGCAACAATTATAAACATCACAGGAAGATAATGAAGTAATGCATAACCAAACTGGCTTTCAAAAGACTCTTTCATGCAGGGATGGCTTGCTAATTAGAGGGAGATTAAAGACTTTCTTTGGTTTATTTTAGGCATTTAATGTCCCAAGTCACAGAATTCTCCCCAGGCAGTGCAGTGCTTTTTTTTCTGTCCTCCCCGCATTCTTAGAGATCCATAGAGACTGAGAGCCACCCACACTGTTCTGAAATCCATCAGTGTGCAAAGGAGCATGGCTGTTCTGCTCTTTGCGCCCCGGAAGACTGCTTCCATGCAGATAAGAACATGGCCACCCTACAGATTATGGCATCAGCTTTTTATTCACATGCTAAGGGCAACAGTCCTCCTTGCTGAACTGTGGAAAGTTTTAAAAGGAGTTCAAAAGTTTTAAAAGGAGTTAATGCTGAACGATCTCTAGCACAGAACTAGAGATAGGCAAATTTGCCTGTTTCAATTTCTCTCTGTTTCTCATTTCCCCCCAATCTTAAATTCAGTTGTCCAAATCGGTTTGCAATATATTTATATATTTAAATCTTCATGGAAATTTGTAAGCATTTTAGTGCAATTTTCTCCTAATATACACATTTTTGCAAAGCATTTTCCCCTAATATCATGCATTTTTGTTTCCCATTTCCACTAATACATGCATTTGTATGCACACTTTACCGTAGTATATGCATTTTTGTGCACATTACTTTACTGGAAAAGTGCTTTGCAAAATTCAGAGGAAGTGCCATTCTTCAAGGATCACTGTATTTTGGTTTGTGTAGTGCTTTGGAAAGAGAGAATTAAGTTGATTCAATTGAGTTGATATAAATGCAAACTGAATTGAATTTCTTCCCCACGCCTAGATGAAACTCACCACCTGAAGCATGCCTGAATTCAGGGTCCACCTGAAGCATGCCTGAATTTAGTTAACACTTCCAAACCCAGGCAGATGGAATCTCATCCCCACCACCTCTCCATCTAAATGGCTGATTCAACAGGTGATTGCCAACAGGACTGTAGCCCCCAAATGCCACCGAGAAACACACAGCAAGTATCAACATGCTTGGGAGATTTCAAGGGACTCCTCCTGCAAAAACAGCCCCAGGAGTGGTCCAAGTGGCTACCGTTGAAGGGGTTAAAGCAGGAAACCAGAGGGGAGGAGTAACAGAATGCAGCATTTTGGAAGAAGACCTGGCTGTCTCACTAGAACCCTGAACAGGAACATTCCACACTGCAACATTTTGTTGCAGGGCCTGCACAAAGAATGAAAATGATTCTGGGTCTTACTGGAAAGAAGATCAAGTAAGGATCTTCATAGGAATAATAGCTTCATAGGAAGCTATTCGTTTTTTGGGGAACATAATTTCATTAATCTAGATTTTCAAGATAGGCTACAAAAGAGAACAATAAACAAATATAAAACAGATCAAAAACATCAGAAACAAAAGCATTTATCGTAGCAACAGTAAAAAAAAAAAAGCAGTAGGCATAAAATCAGTTAAAATCCTAGGCAATCTTTCCCCCCGAAAACATCTAAAACGTGGCTCTCTGGGCAACCTAGTCATATGGTGGCTTATAAATAATAGTAATTATTATTAAGAAATGCTACAGAGTGGCAGGGATATTTAGAGAAGGACCTCTGGTGTCAGACTTAACTAACAGGTAGGTTCCTTTTTTAAAAAAGGAAAGAAAAAAGCTTACATTTTTAATGAATATATCCCCTTTATAGATACCTCTGTGATGATGATGGCATTCAAATATTCTGTTCTTCTTCAATAAAAGAGAAAAAGGGAGACCAAAGATATTTTGGGGGGAGATGCCCTTGATTAGTCGCCAAAGGTATGTGAGGAGAACAATACTCCAGATACTATTAACCCAAGCCTCTATTGGTATTTTAGAGGTTATATGAAGCAATTCATAAATGAACAACGGAGTATGTTTCTAAATAAAGAACACAATATTTTGGCCTTCAAACTGTGTAGATATTGAGTGGGGAGGCCCTGCATGTTATAAAACTAAGATATACTAATTTAGTTCTAGTCTCCACTGACCACAAATGCCCTGAGATCAGCCTGGTACAAGGAAGGCACACTGATTGCATGAAAATATTCCATGTGATCTGAAAGAATCAAGTAATAAACCAAACGACACATTGCAGCCCCATTATAGTTAAGCTGCCACCTGGAAGCTGCTGCCAGCTGGCAACCTAAACCCCCAGAAGATAGAGGTGGGACAGTCTTAATCCATTCCGTTCCAATGCCTAATTAGTGTAATTGCATGATAATGGTTAAACATGTGCTCAGGAGCTGCAGACCTCTGTTTTCCGCTTATTAAATTGCCATCCTTCCACTGTAGGGGAAAGCAATGTCTTGAAGAAAAAAGACACTATGGCAACACCACACCATAAGTGCACGCTGCTTTATTTATTTGTATTATTAACAGCCCGCGGGGGACATCTGTATATATAGAATAGCTAGGTCTGTCCCATCACCGGTGTTTTGAGCCATCACATTCAGAGAACATCGAAGAAGCAGGACACTGAAAACTTGGCTTGGGGGAGGCAATGCATCGAAGGCGTGTTGTGTTCTGTCTTGGCTATGATGAGAGTCCAAAGGCACTCAGGGCACCTTGAAAAGGGCTGACAACTGAAGCAGACCACAGGGAACCACAGGGGTGCAGACATGAGGCAGCAGGTTCACCAAGATCTAGGGATGGTCCCAGGCAAGACGTAAGAACCCAAGAAGACCACACCAGCCCACCTTTAGCAATCAGATTTCAACTGAGCTGCTAATTTATGAAGCAGGCCTAGAAGCACCAGCCTTGCTGCTCAGCTGAATGAATTGAAAGGAATGGAACTCTTGCTTGATACTACTGAATGGAAACCAGACATGTCCTCTGCCATAGAAGCCAACTCCTGGGGACTGAGGTCCTTTCAGCCCCCTCTATAAAATATTTGAGGGGGCTGTCCTTCCCCAAGTTGATAGGCATTGCCATTCAAAAGGGTGTGTGCGTGTGCCATGTCTTGTGATCAAATATGCAGGGTGGGGCTTACCCCCCCCCAATATTTTATTCAAGTTGGCACTCCAGAGAGCATGGAGGAGTGGACCCAGGTGGTTGATGAACAGCCAGAGCTGTGGAAGCAGAACCCCCAGCCTCAGATGGAAGTCTAACAATACAATAATTAGCTATGGTAGATAAATGGAAATTCCAAATTGAGAGGCAATGTACTTTGGAATGGCAGATGCTGAAGGCGAGCAAAAAGGATGTTGTAAGCTTCTCAGAAGCAACTGGCTGTCCACTCTTGAAAAGAGAATTGGAGAACCATCCAAGCATTGTTGGACTCCATATCCCATCAACCCCAGCCAGCAACAACGACCAATGGCTGGAGGGGTGATGGGAGTTGTAGTCCAACAGCTTCTGGAGGGCCATAGATTCCTCCCTCCTGTATCAAGTGGGTGTTTGGTGCAACCCAGCAAGGCTCTGTTTATGTAGAGTCAGCTGTCAAGTCTTCTTCAGGGCTAGACCATGGGTTGCTCTTTCTCCCAGACTCTTAGCAGTGCCTGGGACCAACTGTTACTTTCTGTCATTCGTAGAGACTGCCACAGCCTCAGCTGCCATTGTTTGAAAACTGGGATGTAACAAACCAGGGACCTAAACAGAGGTGGGTGGTGTCCATTGGGACTCATAGGGCAAAAGGCAGAGAGGCCAACAGGAGCTGGAACCAGAGCCAATCACAGACAGAGCCAACTAATTCCCCACCCCTCTCCCTGCAAGGGCAACAATGAGGAAGAGGAAGGCAACAGACAGGGCTGCCCTTGGACTGGGCATTTAGTGGGGGCAGACAGAAGTTTGTGAGGCAGTGGCCTATTTGGGCCAACCCCCACTAGATCTAAAGAAGCTGAAAACTTCTTGCTTGTGTCCTTATGTCAGACACAGATCAGAGCCAGAGAGCAAAAAGTGCCTCTGGGAATGAAGGACCTTGAGGGAGGAAGGCACTGGCTCCCATGTCAGTGTTGCCATGAAGAGAGGCAGCTGGGAAGATAGGAGAGGGACGAAGAACCTTGCCCCAGTCAGCACACTTTTGAGACACATATATTATTGCATTTAAGGCACATGGAGTCCACTCAGCTGTTACGTTCCAACATTAATAAGTCCCAACCATACTCCTTCAGTCATGAACTTTGTTTCCAAAGAAGTTTCACTTATAGAAATTCCAGCAAAGGAAGCACTAAATAGTTGGGTTTCTTCACAGTGACCTTTATACATTTCTCCAAGCTCCCTGTTCCCCAGTTTGGTTAAGAAGACAGGGACAAGCTGTATAATTAGCACCTCTTGCAACTCACTTGAAACCAATCTTATCACTGAAATTGTGCCCCCCACACAGGAAGATGCTGCTGGAAGGGCTCGTCCTCGATGTTAAATCATTATAATTAGTATGGGCTGCACCTTCTTTAGGGTTGTGCCGCACTGAGTAACCCTTTATTATTATTATTTTAATGACTCATCATCTGAAGGAGTTTAGCAGAAATAAAACCCTAAAGCCTCCATTTCAGTTTATTATCCCGGAGAGAAATAATTCTCCATGTGTGTACATGTGTAGAATTCCCAGAGTACCTCCAGAAGTCAGTTAAGGGTGAGGATACTCTATTATGTGAGTTCTGACCATGATTGCAAAAATGCCTGTTAGCTTCCTAAGAAGAGTAAAAAAATAAGACATAGAACTTATAGCAGTGAACTTCAGGGCATTCCCTCCGCAGCTTCTCTTTGTCAGCCAGCTGCAAGAATTTAGCCTTGTTTCTCCTTTACAGGTTTTGCTTGGCTGGTACATGACTACTACAGACTGGATTACTGCAATGTGCTCCTTGTGGGGCTGACCTTGGAGACAACTTGGAAACTTTTACTGGTCCAAAATGCTAGCTGGAGTTCCCTTTAGAACTCCTAAAATAGCATTGGTTGCCTGTTTGTTTCTGGTACCAATTCAATATACTTGTGCTTAAAGCCCTGAACAATTTATGCCCAATACCTAAAAGATCCCTTTATTCCCTGCAGATTCTCTTGGGGGTTAAGATAAGCTCTTCCAGGGATCTCAGAAGTTTGGGGTGCATGTGCTTAACTCAGAAGAAGGCGTTGACTGTGGCAGCTCCTACATTGTGGATTTTTTTCCTCCCAGAGGTGTCTGGCAGCTTCATATCCTGAAGATGCACCTCTTTCCCCTGGTTTATTAACAACTTGGGGCCAGTTTACCTGTGGGATTGCCTTACCCCAAATATGCCCATTCAGCGGATCTATGGAACTGGCATTGTTACAGGTGGTACATAATCAGCGGTGGAGCAAGACAATCGGGCGCCATGGACAGCACATATGCCCTGAGCCCAGGGGTGGAGCTAGCCACTCGTGGAGCGGGACCAGTCACCCGTAGGGGCGGGGCCAGCTGGGGCGGGACGTTCCACGGGGCCTCCGAGGAGTCTTCCGGCCTCCTCCCACTCAGCCGCCCTACAGCTGAGGGGGAGGCGGTGGGCGGACTGTTTGGGGCAGTGTGGAGCCTGCAGGTGCCCAGGCCACCGTGTCACTCCCAGGAGAGACGCATTGCTCGGGCACACTGCAGGCCCCGCGGTGAGTGCCACCCGCCATTTTGTTAACCCCCTCAGTGGTGACAACTGGTTCGCCCCGCCCCTACCACACACACCCTTCCTCCACCCCTGTACATAATACTCATTCTGCATTTGTAAGAAATCAATCTTTCAGTGTGGCAGCACTTACACTTTGGAACTCTCTGCCTATTGACATCAGGCAGGCACTTTCACTGTACTTTTTCGGTGCCTGCTCAAAATTTTTTTGTTTAGGGAAGCTTATACAGGTAACTTAGAATGCTGGTGCTTGTTTCAAGCTGTTTTTCAACTTACCATTCATTTTAATTATGTTTGAATATTTTAAATAGTTGCTTTTACTGAAAATCTCATTGTTTTTATTCATTTTGTAAACCACTTTGAGGTTTGGGGGTTGGTTGGGGTTTTTTTTACAATCAAGTGGCATATAAATTTTATTAAATGATGTTATTCTTTTTTGAAAAAAACAAAAATGAAACTTGATGGACTTCCCAATGATGATGTACGTAAGCTGGCTGCTGATGTAAGGACTAAAAGGATTGCCCTGCCTGTCTCTGCTTCATTAGGGTGACCAGATCAAGAATTTGAAAACATTTGTTGGTTCATGCTCCATCATATACTTATTGCTAGAAGGTGAACTTTTGATGGAGGAAGGACCCATGCATTATTTCCATTTGTTTGTTTAAAAAACCTTGTGCAAAATCCTCAAAAGGTTTTTCTAGCTTGGGAAGTTTAAATAGCCATTTATAAGTTTACATGAGTGGCTTTCCAAGGCAGAATTCCTCTTATGTTCTCTTCAAATTGGCTGTAGCAATGGCCCTGGGGAGAGAGGAAACGGAGGCAGTTTGGACATCTCGCATTCTGTGCTTTCCAAGCTTCAAGGGGCCCCCACACCACAGTCCTCAATCAACTTCTTCAAACCAACGTGGCACTGAAAGCCTGACAAATGCTGCAATAGAAACTTGAAGGCTTTTTAAGTGAACGTCCAGGGAAGCTGCAAGAGTCAAGGGCTTTTGTTGTGATCATGAAAAGTAGCAGAGTTGGAATGAGTCACATACACGATCTCTGAAATGCCAAAAATCACTGTTGCAGTTAATAGACAAATAATTTGAAAAGCACTTGACAAGTTCTCATTTGCAGTGCCTATAAATCTCCATATCGTGTCATTTTGACAGATGAGTCTGAAAACAAGGCAGCTAAATCAAATGGGAGTTCTCCCCCGCCTTCTGAATGTGCAGTTACTTTGCCAAAATATTTAATATCAACAGGTACTTCTGGCACAGGTGGATTTTTATTTATAAGTCACAGAATCACTAGGCAGGTTCTGAGTTTAGAGGAGCATGTCAATTTCAAATGTAAACACACTGGCCATGCAGCGAGAGTCCTTGTGAATTAGAATTTCATAAGCCACTAACAGAAAAGCAGGATGTACAGCCGAGTGCTGGACTAGATGGGTCCTCGGCCTGATTCAATAGGACTCTCCTTATGTTCTTATGATGCACTTTGCACAGACACTCAGAGGAGCGGAGGAAGCTGGCTTATATCACATCAGACCAGTGGTCCATTTTGCTCAGTGTTGTACTGGATCAATCAAAATACTCAGTATTGTCTACACTGTCTGGCAGCAGCTATCCAAGATTTCAGAGCTAGCTGCATATGCTAACTTATCACAGCTCCTTTATCAGTTCAGGAATGTTGGATTCCCTAAAACTTTTTATCCAGCTCCCTAGATAGCTTTCCAAATTGCTTTTTCCTTCCACCTTGTCCTTAGGTTAGCACATCACCTCATTGCCTCCACATTCCCATCTCCCTTCACTCCCGATTCATGTTTACATATTTTAGCTGTCAATTCATGTTCATATTATTTATTTGGTTATTCATGTTGACATTTTGCACAAGACTGCTCTTGCACAAAACCTCCATATTATTATTATAATTAAAAGCTTGAAGTATGTTCTGCAAATGTACCCTCAACACGCAGCAATTAGAAATAGCCACACTTCTTGGGCTTTTGGCTCCAATCAGGTGTGGTATCTGTTCTTATCAGTTTAATATCTGATACGTCCTCTATTTGAGGACTATATATTTAATGGATTTTTAGAGCTGGGAGACGGAATAGGGGCTTGCTTCATCCACTCCATGCATCAGCCTGGTATTGCAATACCACTAGGACGGTGCATCCACACACAAAAAGTGCTCGCTTCGATAGCATATATACTAAAATTGGAACAATACAGGGAAATAGCCACACCTGGAAATAAGCATTTATTCATTTTGACCACCAAAAGCTTCCTGAAGGGCCAATTTAATTTTTAATTTCAATACAGCTGTTTTTGCACAAGAGCAGTTTGGCACAAAACAGCTGTTTTTGAAATTGAAAATGTATCTACTGCAAATGTGCCTTGAACAACAACTGGTAAAAATAGGCATGCTGCATCCTTTGCTTTGGGCTGGTGGAAAGAAAATGACTTGCGTTATGCTCAGGTGAACTGAAGTAGGGGACATGGCAGTAGATGGTACACAGAGAAATGTGACCACATTAAAAAACAACTCTTTCACACAACACAAATATATTTGACATGCAAATATATATTGGATTGTCTTTCTTTAGCAGATTATCTATGGATTGGGAAAATCTGGATTAATGGGGGTGGGGGTGGGGAAGAGAGAGAGATAGGACACCTTTTCATTTTTTTTCCTGGGAAGGAAAACATTTTTCTTCTTCTAACTTTCACTAATTAAAAATCCAAACAAAACTTTTTTCCTCTCCAAATTTCTAAGCAACTTGGGTTTTCTTTTATTTGCCACTGTGAGTTTCTGCAGCACTAGGACTTTCTGACACTGTATTTCAAATAAAAAAAGGCAAAGGGACCCCTGACCATTAGGTCCAGTCGTGGCCGCCTCTGGGGTTGCGGCGCTCATCTCGCTTTATTGGCCGAGGGAGCTGGCGTTTGTCCGCAGACAGCTTCCGGGTCATGTTGCCAGCATGACTAAGCCGCTTCTGGTGAACCAGAGCAGCACACGGAAACGCCGTTTACCTTCCCGCTGGAGCGGTACCTATTTATCTACTTGCACTTTGACGTGCTTTCGAACTGCTAGGTTGGCAGGAGCTGGGACCGAGCAACAGGAGCTCACATTGTCACGGGGATTCGAACCGCTGACCTTCTGATCGGCAAGTCCTAGGCTCTGTGGTTTAACCCACAGCGCCACCTGCATCCCTTCAAATAGATTCATTAAAAAAAGAAAAAACCCTTTGTTGTTAAATGATAATTATAGGAGGCAGACAATATTAGAACAGGTTGTTTACTTGTGTGTTCTAGACTGTTACACAGGCCCCAACTCTGTCCCCATCCCCCAAAAAGAGCAAGTTAAGTTTTCTCAAGCATCTTATTTCTTCACAATAAGTGCTCCAAGGCCTATTGTCCATCTCCGGAAGAAAGAGAATTCTTATTTTAGATGAGCAAAATGCACCATCTAGTGGCATTTTCAGATTATCTTCCCATGGGTTTCTACTTGTGCCATCACAATGTATTATTAAAGTATTGTTAACTTGTATTCAAGTTAGGTTGCTTTTACTCCGATTGAAAATACCACTGCGGACCTAGGGAAGCCTATAGAATTGTTTGGAATATTATTTCAAAGTGCAATGGTTTGTTGGCTTTGACTTTGTGGACTTTGACTTTGTTTTGACTTAGTATTTCTGTCTCTTTTGCTCCCTAATTCAGGCATTGCCCATGTATAATTGTCCCTGACATTAACAGCAAAACATGGGTTCTTTTTGCAAAAGGAAGGTTTGACAACCAATTACACTTCACTTATCAATTTACATAGCTTAATGGGAGTTGCACAATTTCATGGAAGAATTCTCTCCTTAAGGAAAGTGATCTAAAACCCTTTTCAGTGAGAAAATGAACATTCTGTATGCTTGATAAAAAAATCTGACTGAATTTACATAGAACATTACTTATTCAGTGATTCACACTGTGGATGAACACTTTGTGCTGGCTAGGATACAATTCAATAATAATACTATTCAGTCCCCTTGGGAGAGTGACAGTCAAATATCTACTTCATCAGAATATTTAAACTCTGGTGAATAATGCTTCTCCTCACTTAAGTATTCCTTATGAGGTTACATTCCTACTGGAACAAACGGCTGCCCAGGTTCATTAGTATCTTTCACAGAGAACAATGGACTAGTTCATTGTCTCAGAGGTGCTTCTTTTATCCATCAATTCAACACAATGATTAAGGCTGCTTTTTACGCTTTATTCATCTTGTTTTCTTGCACTAAGTTCTATAGCACACATTTACTCCTAAATGTTAGGTTTGGTTACAAAATGGGATTACAGTCATACCTCAGGTTACAGACGCTTCAGGTTGCGGTTTTTTTGGATTACGGACGCGCCAAAACCCGGAAGTACTGAAATGGGTTACTTCTGGGTTTCGGCGGTCACGCATGTGCAGGAGCACTAAATCGCGCTTTGCACACGTGCAGAAGTGCCGAATCGCACCCCGCACGTGCACAGACGCGGCACTGCAGGTTGCGAACGTGTCTCCCACACGGATCATGTTTGCAACCCAAGCGTCCACTGTTTTCCTATTGTCAACATGACAGAGTGAGCTCAGGCTTGCCAGAGATGTTAAAAATAATTTAAATTTCTTTGGCTACCTTTGAAGCAAGAGGAGGAACAGGCAATTAGTAGGTCCTCTGTATGGAGAAGAGAGAGAAATGCTATTGGGTGACAGAGAGAAGGCAGAACTGCTCAAAACTTACTTTGCCTCCGTATTCACCCAAAAGGAAAGCAGCGCCCAACTTAGCGATAACAGAATAAATGATGCAAAGAGGGAGCTGCAGCCCAAGATGAGCTGTGGGGAGACACTGCAGAAAAGGCCAGCTCTCCTGTTGCCAGACTCCAGACCAGGGGTGGTAGCTTGAATAAAATATTGGGGAGGGGGGCGGTAAGCCCTGCCTCACAACACTGACCACAAAACATGGTGCTCACAGACTATTTGAATGGCAATGCCCATGAAGTTTAGACCTCTTGTGGAGGAGGCACACAAAGGATAATAGAATCTTAGAGTTGGAAGGGACCCAAGGGTCATCTAGTCCAACCCCCTGCAATGCAGGAATCCTAGCTAAAGCATTCCTGACAGATGGCCACCCAACCTCTGCTTAGAAACCTCCATGGAAGGAGAGTCCACCACTTCTTGTGGGAGTCTATTCCACTACCAAACAGCTCTTACTGCCAGAAAGTTTTTCCTGATGTTTAGTCAGAATCTCCTTCCTTGTAACCTGAAGCCCTTGCCCTCGAGTCCTACCCTCCAGAACAGGAGAAAACAGAAGGGCCTCAGATGATCATGGCAAGGTCCAGGTTAGTTCATGTGGAGAGAGGAGGTCCTTGAGGTATTGCGGTCCTGAGCTGTTTAAGGCTTTATAGGTCAAAACCAGCACTTTGAACTGAGCCCAGAAACTAACCAGCAGCCATAGCAATCAGGCCAGGATGGGTGCAGAATGCACTGGCGTAGCCCAGGGGAGCACCTGCCCGCCACCCTAATCAAGCAATGATAATCTGCAGTGCTGGATTTACGTATAAGCTAAACAAGCTATAGCCTAGGGCTCCACTCTCTTGGGGACCCCCCAAAAAAATTAAAGGAGGGAAAAAACACTGGTTGTAAATTTCCAAAATATAATATAAAAAACAAATAAAACTTACATACAGAATGTAACATACATGTTTGTGTTGTGTATGCTCCTAGTATGCTCCTAGTAATGGGCCCCGCCTGCTAACATGCTCCCTAAAATATCACTGGCTTGCTCATTTCTATATATAAGGTGCCTACATTCTGCTATTTATAATTATTAGTAGTTTGCATCATGTTTTTACACCTGTTATTATTTCATGTTACAGTTTCTAGAAACTAGATTATGAGTCTTTGTAAATTGTGTTTCTAAAGAAACTTTCGTTCTTGCCAAATGCCAATGTGTTTGCATTATTAAGTTTGTTATGAATAAAAATCATTTTAAGTTAGAGCTTAATCATTATTTCACTATTCATATACTTCTTAATTGTATTTCAGGTCAACAATTACTTTTATTAAATACATATTTTGTTCTGTGCAAATGGTTTTAGATACCTATTAGGTCCATAAATTACCATATAGCACCTATTCGACACAAAAAACCCAGCGATAATTTGTTGTTGACAAAGAACAGCTGGACATATAAAGGGCCCCATTACCTTCAGCAGCTTAGGGCCTCGTCAAACCTAAACCCTGCCCTGCCCAGGGGAGCACCTGCCCGCCCACCCCAATCAGCTAAGAAGCTGCAAACCGGCAGCATCCCGTTTCCTCCTACAGAGCAGCTGTTCCAGCGCCAGCGGCTCCTCCCCGCTGCCCTTTCCTAGCTCTACTATTTCTCTATCCTGAAAGCGGGGAGGAGTCTGCAGGTTGCCCGTCATCAGCTCGGAAGGAGATGCCGCAACAGCCTCCTCGCGCCGCGTAGCTCCTCCCTCCCTCTCTCGCGCCAGCCGCGGAGCGATCCGGGGCCCCTCCCTTTCCCCCATCCCATCCATTGCTCGGCGCTCGGCTCCCCCAGCCGTCTCCCTGCCGCCCGGCCACAGCCTCGGCGGAGAGCCGCCCCTCCCACCCGCGCCATCGGTGCCTCGGCGCTCGCCCAGCTGCCGCCCGCGCGAGGAGGAGGCCCCCTCTTCCCTCAGGTCAGTCGGGGCGGGATTCGGCCCTTCAGGTGCCGTCACTGAGGCCGCCTCCTCCTCGGGCGGGGAGGGAAACCGCCGCCCCTGCCCCTCGCGCAGGTGTGAGGTGGCCTCCTCCGTCCCACTTGGGGGGATGTGGCGGGGGGTCTCTGCGGTGCCGGGGTGGGTCGGGCGAGGCGGCTCCCGGGGTTGTGTGTGTGTGTGTGTGTAGACGTCGCTTTGGGTCCCCCCCCGCCCTGCCTTCCCATACAGTAGTTCTCGTCCATACTCCTGGGGTTGCCTCTTCATGGGGAGCGGCGGGTGTGTTTGTTTGGGGGTGAAGACGCCCCCTCCCCCAGCAAGGCCACGGCAGCAGCTGGAGTTCCTCCTCAGGATAAGGATTTCGGTCCCCCCCCCCAAAAAAAAACTCCCCAAAGCAGCGAGCCTCTTTCCTGCCCCGCGTTGGCTCCTTTCCACTCGTTTTTTTAACGTCTGGGGTTAGATAAGAGCTGGTTGGTCCCAAGGGATGCCGCTCCTTTCCCTGACAGGTTGGCATGTGTGTGTTCGCCTTTCACAGCTGTGTGATGCGAAGAGATTAAGGAGATTAAAAAAACCAAACCACCCCAACCTCTTTCTGCATCACCTGTCAGGCAGCTGTTGTTGCCTGTGCAGGAATCCTGCTTGAACAAAAGGAAGCCTCCCCGCCTGCTGTTTCTGAGAGGTGCCTGGGCCAGCTGTGTGGGTGTGCGGCCTGATTCGCATGCCCAAACCAGGAGGGAACAGCATCTTGGGCCTCGCCTACTAGGAGCAGGTTTGAGGTGGTGGCGTGCCAAGGTGGAATGCACCACTTCAGGTGGCGGGTGAAGGATTGGATTTTTGGATGCTCCCCGGTGGGGAAAGGCCCTTCTAGCAAGCAGAGGGTTGTCCTAAAACCTTTCCCCCTGGTGTGATAGGTTTCTGTTTACAGGGAGTCTTTTTAAACCGAGTGTTTGCCTGCAGTCCAAAGTGGTACATGCTATTATACTGCAGGTGTAGACTCAACCCTTTCTCTTTTGTTCTGATGATTTGTATGGGGGAAGTAATTGGGAGATTCCAACTGGCTTGTAACAAACATGTCACAAGGGGCTGGATTATAACAATGATCTGAAGAAAATGGAGTGTGCGCCGTGATTTGTGTGATAGCCCACTTACACAGAATGCTAAGTTGATGAGGGAGTCAGTGTTTTTGTGTTGAAGTATTTTTGGATTTCTCTTAGTTGAACTATTCTTGTCTTACAGGCTATGATTCCTTTGAAACAATGAATTGGTATCTTGCCTTAATATCTAGTTCTGTCAATGTGCATTTTTTATTTTATTTAAATCATTTCTATACCACTTTATTTTTGAAACAATCTTAAAGTGGTGTAAAACTTACCTTAAAACATCAAATAGAACATTTCAAATTAAAACATTGCAAATTAAAGTCTAGTGCAGAATACACATTTAAAGCAGCATGATTAACAGGAAAACAAAATCTTCCCTTAAATTAAAAAACCCCATTACAAATAAAAAATGCAGTAATACAATAAAACTTCTTATATACAGCATCATTAGCAACTAAACAAAATAATTGAAATGAAATCCGCACCTATGCTTCCCCTACCTCAGTAACCACTCACAAGTACATCCATAGCAATTTTCTTTTGCAAGCCTCACTCTGCATTCCTACCAACCATACAGATAACACAGCTAACCCTTAGCCAACCTTTTCTCACCAAGCAAACACCTTGTAGCAGATTATACCTTTTTATGTTGAGCTAATCAAACCTGGATGTTCCTTATACCACCCTGTTTTTTTCTCCACCATATCCCTTTTCTTGTGTTCAACACATGTCGAGAGAAGCATGATGAAAGAGGATGTGGGGCTGTTTGTTTAGCCTTGTCTCAAAGTCATACTGCTGTTCTGCCCCCACTGCTGCCACATTGAGCATAACCTCTACACCATGGGTACAATAAGGCTGTCATTCTGTCATTTCTGCTTGCCAGATGGAACAATCTCCCTTCTCTCCCATCCACAGCAGATTTGGTGAGGGACCAGGAAGAGAGAGAGAGGAAAGTCTCATTGTGCTAGTGAGTCGGTTGCTGGGGTGAAGGATGACTTAAGCACAGCCCAAATTTACAGAGTAGGAATATGTTCATTGATAAAGCAGTCAAATATTGTGCAAATACTTTGCTTTGGAGAACAACCTATAAGCTTGCACACAGCCCACCCCCTTCTTCCTCTCCTTTGCATTCCTTTCCTTTTGCACGTCCCAATCTTCCCCACCCTAACTGCCTTGTTTGTCTTGCCAGTTAATGGCCTGGATGGAGCAGTTCAAAACCTCTGAATGTTTACTAGACAAGACAAAATGTTAACCTCGCCCCAATCATGTTTGAGGAGGCTCACTTGGCTTCTACACATGGGTTTCTTTTAATTGGCTTCCCCATCCTGCCCTATGCTTCACATTTTATCTAAGGGAAGCAAAGTTCTGGCAAAAATGTGTGTGCATTGCCTTCTTATTTCAGAGTCATTTAGGCTGTGTACACTTGAGAGAAAATTTCATTGAATTCAATGGGACTTTCTTCTCAGTTAAAGCTCCCACATACAACACACACACACACACACACACACACACACACACACAGGATTACACTGTAAAGTTTTAGGAAGGTTTAGGCTGGTCACACAGGATTTTAGTGAGCCTCCTAAAAGCCCCCATAAAGGTTGCTGTTAAAAACTGGTTAATGGATTCAAGGCCACAAACAAAAAGAAGGAAGCAATTAAAAAACAAAACAAAAAGGAAAACCAATATCCAGAAGCCAACAGTATCAATGCCCAACACATTGCTGCCCATTTTGCTTTCCAGTGATTTCTGAAATTGTTTTTGAACTCTCCCAAGGAAACAGAAAACCTCCCAGGAAAGCCTATTTGGGCTGAAACACATTGGGTGTTAACAAAAAAGTGCATTACTCTTGAGATAGCTCTTCCTTTTTTGTCTTTAGAGTTGATTCAAAATAATAAAAGGAGACATGAAATAAAATTCCATGGGTCGTATCCAGCAAATAGAATGCGTTCCTTCTGTGCAATTTAACTTCCACTTCCTCTTTCCCCCCAATGTAAGTCCACACACCCAAATCAGCTCAGGGTTTTAGCCCAACTCTCTGGAGCAGATTTGGGCATAGGGGGAGGAGAAAGGAATTATAATTGTGCAAGCAGCAGTTATTCTGCTCATGCAATGACTTAGCTGGATTCAACTCCATAGCAGCAGCTTGCTTGGTCTACTAAAGAAAAAAGTGTACCGTTAAAGGATTACTAAAAGATCTGTTTGTTCATATGTATTATGATAGGTTTTATATGAGGATTAGTTTTTTAAAATTGTGGACGTTGATAATTTGAAAGAAACAAGTTTTGCATTTTGAATGCAATGTACTCTACATTTGGCTTGTTTAATAGACTTAGATGGAATTTTCACTTTCATAAGGTATTTCTAGAGCATCCTAATTACTGCCAGTGTTAATTTTTTAAGCTGACATACTTATCAAATGTACATGACTTATTTATTTATGAAATGGATATGATACATGGTGATTTTTAATTATGTTACCGTTGGGTGTGTATGCTAAATTTATAAATATAAGAAGTACATAAGACTTAATAAAATATTAGAGAAAGTTACTGAGTTAAACAGGTCATCTTATTTAAAACTGTTCCTGGATCTCTTTCAGGGCAATGTTTTGCACAAGCAACAGGAGCAAAAGCTACTTTCTTGCTATTAGCCTACTTCTCTAGTGATGAATGGCATGCCATTGTTCCACTGCTGCTGAGACCTGGAGTGTGTCAGTATCTTTGGAGTCCTTGGACCACTATGGCAACGAGCTACACACCTCCATTTGATGACCCCGGGGAGGTGAGAGAGGGTTTTCTGTGCCCCCTTTGTCTGAAGGATCTGCAATCGTTTTATCAGCTTCAGTCTCATTATGAAGAAGAACATTCAAGTGAAGACAAAGATGTTAAAGGACAACTTAAAAGTAAGAAAGGCAGTAGCTGCTGACTGTTATGATGTAAAATATAACTATCCACCATATTTATCATTTGTTGACTTGTATAATTAGCAATATATCTTCTCAGAAAATATTATATGTAGAAGGGTATATGTTTTTGAGTTACACAAAACTTCATTAGGAAGAATAGAAATGCAAATAAAGTTCAGTTATACAAAGTAGATAGAAAGTTGGTTACAAATGCAGAATGTTCATTCATTTCTGATAGCACAACTGACTTTAGGCCATGAAAACCTGATATAGGGTTACAAAATCTTGAAATGTTTTAGCTATTCAAAACTTTGGAGAACTTTTCCTTCATTAAAAGAATTTAATTAGCATTTACTAAGGATTAAATACATCTTGATGTCATTTGGATTTGATTTTAGTGTACAATTCCTTATGGAAGGCTTTACAGAACAATGTTATTATGGTCTTGCTGGTGTTAGCAGCTGTTACACTTACTTAGAAAAAAACCCTGTACCTTAAGAGTTTGCACATATTTCTGCCCCCAAGGACATATACGCAGCCATATTGCTTCTAGTTCAGGAGTACTCCTGACTGTCATAGTGATTTTGACGTATCCACCTTTGCTCAATGATGCTTTCAAACACTGAGAGTGTCTTTTGGGAATGGCATGGGAACTAGAGCTTAGTAATTGTACCATTTCAGCCATTGAATATACAAATTAGTAGCAAGAGCTGAATAATAGCTTAAGCTATAAAAATACAAAAGAAATGTAATGTGTTCAATCACTAATTATGGGGTACTTTTTCCTGTTTAAATAGCCAAGAACTCTGTAGTCAGTTCACAGTGAATTGCAAAAGCAAGCAGTTGTGTTGAAGTGCTAATTTTCTTCACTTGTTACAAGTTGTTTCCCAGTTCTTTGAAGGGTTATTAAATGCGTCATTGTTCTACCTTTATAAAGTGCTCTTGTATTTTACTTTGTCCGGTGTTCTATTTCACAAATTGCTTTCCAAATTAAGGCTGTCTCTGGATACAGAACATTCCTTTGAGGTGCCAATAATTGGACTGACTGATTAACTAGCACATTTGTATTCTCGTCAGGTTGAGCCAGGTAGAAGTATTTTATTGGGATTGTATTCTTATGTGAAGCATTTACACAGGTCTTCTCACCTTCAGGACTTCCCCCCACCAAACTTGTAATTGCATTCCTCTGAGAAGGTAAAACATGATTCTGGTGGTCAACAGATGCAGGAGGTGGGAGGCAGAACGGTCAGTTATATTGCTCAAAGTCTTAGAGGCAAATACCTCAAGGAAGTTTGGAAGAAGATGGGTAACTCTTACAAGGATGCTTAAATAAGTGTTTGTGTGTGTGTAATATGTAGCATTTGATCTTCTTTCAGATCTGGTCCAAAAAGCTAAAAAAGCAAAGAATAAATTGTTGAAACGAGAAGATGACCGAACTGATGGAGGCCCTCAGGAACGATATGAGTCTTACAGCTATGGTGGAGTGGATCCATATATGTGGGAGCCCCAAGAATTAGGTAAACAGTCAAGAATGATGCAAATAATGCACAGCTTTCACTGGGAAGCCCCCTGATCTCCACTGGAATCTATGCATAATGATGCAAAGTTGTCAGGAATTAATAGATCTTTTAAATAGAAGATATACGTGAAACACTAGGGCCACAATCCAGTGCAAAACTATACACACACTTAAGTTCTATTGCTTAATTGCTTGCTTTGTTCTTAAACATTTTTGCTTAGTTTTGTATTTGATTGAGACCTAGGATTACATTGCAGTGCAAATAGAAAATATGTAATAGTGTTGTGCCATTGGTTGTTTTAATGTAAGAAGCTCCACCATGACTGCAAGAACTTGTGGCATGCTAGTATGTGAAAAAATATATTTTTAGTAAGTTGGGCTTGACCAGTAATTGAGAGATAAAGACTGTAATCCTGTACCCACTTACCTTGGAGTAAGCCTGATTGAACTCAGTAGGACTTGCTTCTAACTAAATATGTATGGGATTGTACTCTAGTAGCTTGTAGTAGCCAGGGAATGTTGTTGCTGTTGTCTTCTGAAATCATATAGGCAGAAATAAAGAGCAGTATTTCATCAATTAAGATCACAACAGAATGTAGTTACACATGTGCACAGAACACTATGGTGAAAACATATCATTTCATTTTTTAACATTGAATTTCAGCCTAAGGGTGAGAGAGGAATAACAACATGTTAAACTGCCTTTTAACTAAGAATATAGAGTTGAATGACTTTGGCAAGTTTTCTAACAGTGTTTCTTACCAGGTGCTACGAAGAGCCATCTTTCTGATTTTAAGAGACACAGAGCAGCCAGAATTGATCACTATGTTGTGGAAGTCAATAAATTAATAATCAGGTTAGAAAAGGTAAATGGGTTACTCTTGCATTTTTCACATAAATGTGTGGAAGTTCATTTTAAACTATATGCTACTACAGTATTGCTTCTGATATGTGGAGAATAGTTTTGTTTGGATCACAGTTTCAAGTGAACTGACTAATAGGTGGATTAGAATCCTTTGGATTCCACATGTCTTCAAATATTGCTTGGTTGTAGCCTTGAAACTGCCTTGGTTGCTCTGGTAGAATACATTTTTGGAAGAGAGATGGCTGGGGAGTGACCCCTGTTTGTTTGCCTTGGTCTCTTTGCAAATTTTGATATTGTTGACCACAGTACCCTTTTGAAGTAGTTGTGGGAGGTGGGGGATTAGGGACACTGTATTATAGGCATTCAGCTCTGACTTTTGAGGCTTCTTTTTTATTTTTTCCTTCTCTGTTAGAAGGACAATAAAACCTGCCCAATACCAAGATAAGTGACATAAAGGAATGCTCAGGGAAAGATACTGATTTTAGCGAAATAAACTTAGGAAAGCAGACCCTGTAATATTTTTGAGTCCTGTGCTGAACTGTTGTAAAGAGTTCTCTAGTAGAAAACTTGTATTAAGACCTCTGGTTTTAATATTTTTACAGCTTACATCCTTCGACCGAACCAATACAGATTCTGCAAAGATAAGAGGTAGGTGCAAGCATGTTCGACCTTTGCTAATTTGGATTTCATTAGTGATGTTCGATAGATTTTCTCATTCTATTCCAGCAATAGAGAAGTCTGTTGTGCCTTGGGTTAATGATCAGGACGTGCCATTTTGTCCAGACTGTGGTAACAAGTTCAGCATAAGGAACAGACGTCACCACTGCCGCCTTTGTGGGTCTATCATGTGCAAGAAATGCATGGAACTGGTCAGCCTCCCATTTGCAAGTGAGTACAGTGGTATAGATGTCTTGGACCCGTGTCTCTGATGCCGGAACTAACTTTCTCAGGTGGGGGGTGCTCTGTGGATCTGAGAAGCGGGGGGGGGGGGGAGGTGGCAAGGCCCAGTCAGCACCAGCTTCAGGCAGGTAGGGATGGTTGTAGGGGGTTTTCTGGAAATCCTGGATTTACAGTTTTTCTTATAAATGGCTATCTAGGACATAAACCTCACTTAAGGGCTCTAAAGGCTAAAGATGGTGATGTGGGGGGTCCTGATTTAGTTCTTTCTAGCAACTGTGCTATAAAATTGGCACTTGATATTTCCTTTTTATGATGAGTTACTGGAGTTGAGCTGAACTGAATTTTTGAACCCATGTTCAAGACCAGCGTTCTGTTGGTTGGACCGTTGGCTTGTGACCATTGTATCTTCTGGATGTATCATTCCAGGCAAACTCACCACTGCTAGCAAGGAAGCCTTGGCCTCTCATACTAGCCCAAACTGCTCACCCAACAGCATTCAGGGCTCTCGCCGTGGCAGCATCAGTAGTGTGAGCAGTGTGAGCTCTGTCTTGGATGAAAAGGATGACGATCGCATCCGCTGTTGCAGACATTGTAAAGACACTCTGCTTAAAAGAGAGCAACAGATTGATGAGAAAGAGTACACACCAGACATCGTGAAACTTTATGAGGTAAAATGACACTAAATAAACAGGAACTGGAAGTGAAGTGGGATTTTCCCGTTATCAATAACTTAAGCAGTATTATTATTATTATACAATATACTAGGTGCTCTTCACCTTAAAAACAAGATAGGCCTGTTTCAATGACATGTAACTTCCAGCTAAATACTTCTAAGGAATAGGAAACAGGAAGTAAGTTTAACTTTATAGTTTTAAAGAAAATTTTAACCTGGTATTTTTAAGTGGGTTTCTTTTAAAGTTGGGTTGGCTGAGAAAAGATGTATAAAAATTATACACTGAAACTGTTTACTCTAATACAGCCCAGATCCAGTTCTGGTCCTGGTTATTAACAATGCAACTTACTCATCTAAGCATGCCAATAAATTGATTAAAACATTCCAGTTGCCTTATAGCCTCAGAGTAAACTGGTTTTGTAACTTTTCAGAAGAGAGACCAGTTATTGACAATGATACCTTAACAGATGTGCAGTCTGAACCATGTTTACTTGTAAGTAAGTCCTACTGAATTCAGTGGCTCTTACTTCCAGGTAAGTGGGCTGAAATTGCAGTCTTAGAGATCTTAATTAGAAATGGTTTTAAAATCTGGAGTTCCACATTTACAATCTGAGACCTGGTCTCCCGAAAGAATAGATCTTGATTCTCTGGATAGCAACTACTACCAAATATTAAGTTGTTACACACAGAGGACAGGAAAAATTGAAGGCATGTGAAGCAATTGTGTATCTGATTTGTTGCTATAACTTTATTTTAATCTATTAATTTTATTGATTAAAAAAGAAACTCCGACTTTGCATGGAAAAGGTTGACCAGAAGGCCCCAGAATACATAAAGATGGCGGAATCATTAAAGTAAGCCTATTCATTTTTAATAAATATGCCTTTAATATTTAATGTTCAAGAAGAAAGAAGCTTGTGTTGTCTACACACACACGCGCACACACACACACACACACACACAACACACACACAAACACACACAAACAAACACACAGATCATTAAAGCCCGGTTGTAGTTTCATATTAATGGCTGGATATAAAGAAAAAGGAAATTGTGAGGGGTGGGAGGATGCTTGTGGGCATGATGCATAAGCTCCAGTCAGCAGATTAGAAAAATCAATATTCTTTTATTCCCTTCCACATTATGCTCAAGATGCATTCTAAAGAATTCAGGCAAACTTGAAAGCTAGCTCGCTACTTTGACATCTCAGTACGTCTTGATAAAGTTATTACCCTCTATTGCTTTCATCCCCCCCCCCCCATTGGATCAAATTGGCTACCTAGAATTTTTGTCATATTAACAGTCTATGATCCAACACAGATGTCACTTCCAGATTCTGTGAAGTCCTTCTGAGGTTATTTCTAACCTCACCAACTTTGTGTGATGCATACACAAATGTGTTGTCTGAATTTGCCCTTATCATGTGCTCCTACTTTTTCTCTGTGCTAAACTGACTTTTTCGTTTTACAATTTTATATTGGAAACCACCCTTTGATCATTGGACAAAGGATAGAAATTTAATAAATAAAATGAAATTCAGTGCAAAGTCCAGTGCTGAATAGTTTGATCTGAGATGGGACCAGTAACAGGTCTTTTAACATGAGAAATTGTTCACTTGCAAGATATTCATCACACAAAACCGATATGTAAAATTGTTATGTAAGCAATTTTTGCACTATCCAAAAGTATGAACTGCCCTTCAGATAATAAATGTTAAAAAGTATTGTTAATGCTTCCTGTGTTAGCACAGTCAAGAGGAATATTTCCACATTTCTGAGTTAGTAAAGATGCTACATAGGGTTTTTCTCTCTGTGCTTTAACTTTGTTGTTTTTGTAAAGTGTGTTTGTTGGATGTTGTGAGACTCAGTGGTGTTGGCAGGCCTGATGAACATGAGGCAATTTTGCTTGCTATCAGATAAGGGTCTGCGCATGCAACATTGTCTTTGTTGCCCCCAAAGAAGAGCCTTTGAAATAAATCTGTCCCAAGCTCCTGAGGTTTCATCTTGTTAACTATGAGCAACACAATTTCAACTTCTTGTGCTTAAAGTGTCGTACCTAGAAAGTGCCACCTTGGCAAGCTTTTAATGTAGGGCCTTGGCTCAGTTTTGATGATGGAACTCCGCCTCATTTCTAAACACATTTGCTGAAACTGGTGCACTAGTGTAGGCTTCAACAAAACCACTTGCCAAGGTAATTGTGGTAACAATGCATGTTTTCTTCCAGTGTTGGAGAGACAACTTACAGTCTGGAACATGCTAACAGTCTTAGGATGGAGGTGCAAAAAATGTATGAGTTAATAGATGCTCTAAGGTAAGTGACGGAACTCAAAAGAGGGGATTTCTGCATTTGTATTTTGGTTTTTGTGCTTAATCTTTTTATATTGTTGCAGACTGCCTTGAAATCAATTTTGAAGGTGGTGGTGTATAAGTAAATTAATATGAATTGCCTTAGACCACAATCCAAGCATACTTAAAGACAATAAATTTCAGTCAATAAATTTTGATTGTAGTTTGTATTGTGATCTTAGTTGGGAAATATATGGCTCAAAGACTCAGTACATTTTAATCAGTCAGTGCCCGAAAGAAGTAAAACTGATTTGATTGGGCTACTTTGGAAAACGCTTCAGTGTGCATTTTTTTCTGTGCGTGCGCATGACAATACAGTCCTGTTGTTGGAGAGTTCATGAACGTCAGTGACAAAATACTGTGATGAAGTGTGTACTTCAAGCAATGCTAATCTATCCGTTTAAAAAAAGTTACCAACAATTTACATTATTGTAACTGGGACAACATAACCAGGAAGACTATTTCATATGCTTACAATATTGCTCATAGTTGACTGTTAAGTTTGTATTGCTGATACACTTGTGGTTTTTGGGTTCAGCAAGAAGATTTTGACTCTGGGACTGAATGAAGAACCACAACCTCATCCCCGAACATTGCAGCTTCAGAGAATGATCAGATATTCAGCCACACTTTTTGTTCAGGTAGGTCATCTAGGAGGGAGGAATACCTCTTAGGTATACAGGACACAATATGACATACAAATGTTGCAGATAAATATTTTTTAGGATGGTCTAAGTTAGGGGTGGGAAACTTAAGGCCTGAAGGCCAAATGCCTCTCTCTGTGGCCTTTAGAGTCTCACCAGGCTGCACGCTTTACCAGCCTTGTTCCACATTCTCAAGTTCTGTTGCTCTACTGGAATGTATTCTTTAACTCTGATAATTCCTTTTGCTTACCAGGATAGAGATCATCTTGCTTGCTTTCCAGGCAGCTAGCTTTACTTTTAGCTAACTAAAAGTATTTGAAAGTTACTTGAGTCACAGTGATTGAAACACTGGTACTTTATGTAAGGTTGAAGCTGAGCTAAATTTCACACACGTTGCATTTGGGCTTTAGAGAGACACAGACAAACAAACAACCTGTGACTTAACCCAATGCATAATTAAGGCTGCAGTCTTATACACTTGTGCCTGGGAGTAAAGCAGATTTTGCTCTGAGGCTTACTTCTGAGTAGACGTGCATAGGATTGCACTGTAAGCCTCACAGCTCAGTGACCCAGATCAGTGATAGTAGGAACATCAGAGTTGGTGAGAGTCTTTATCATCTTCTTTGACTGCTCCAATTTTTAATAGATGAGCCAGGATCCACATTCCATCTAGCATGTGCAAAAGAGAAGCCACACTTCCTAGTGAAAAGTTGCTTTTGGTGCTGCCTGGGAGCACATATACTGGGAAGGGGCTGCCCCGCCCCCCAGCTCAGTGGTAAGGACAGTGAAGAAGAAGAGTTTGGATTTGATATCCCACTTTATCACTACCGGAAGGAGTCTCAAAGCAGCTAACATTCTCCTTTCCCTTCCTCCCCCACAACAAATACTCTGTGAGGTGAGTGGGGCTGAGAGACTTCAAAGAAGTGTGACTGGCCCAAGGTCACCCAGCAGCTGCATGTGGAGGAGCGGAGACACGAACCCAGTTCCCCAGATTACGAGACTACTGCTCTTAACCACTACACCACACAGTGGTAGCAGGAACCCCAGAAATAAGCAGAAGTGTAATATGTCATTCTTTTCCTCTTGCCTCTTAGCTGTCACACCACTGTGTTAATATTGACTTGTAAGTCACATTGGGGATTTTTTAGGTCGAAAGGTGATTTTTTATTTTTTTTTAACAAAAGCAAGCTAAGATAATTCGGAGCTTCACTCCAGGTGCCTCTACCCTAAGAGATTTGGTGGGTGTAAGAGGCAGAGCTCCTTTACAATATCCTCCCCAGATACCCTTTTCTGGCACTTAAGCTTTTGTTTTTTAGGTGTCAGATACTTTTATATTTTTAAAAACTTTTTAGCTGAGTTGACGTATTAATTTTAATGCTTTTGGTCCAGAGATAGGCTGAATGAGTGGAAAAGTTGCATGGGAGACAGCCCTGCTGAATTCCTCCAAATTTCACATCATGCTGCTGGCCCCACCTGCACCCCATCCTGTACCATCCCAGAAGCCCCTCAATGTTCAGAAGCAGCCTTTTTTTGCAGAGGGGGGAGCGCAGGGAGCTGTAGTGCATAGGGGAGCCAGGTATGCCCTGTTTCCTGAAAGAATTCCACTTGACTCATTTTTGATCCAACTTCTTGTATTGTAAGCTGCCTTCACCATATTTGATGGAGAAGTGTTTAATTTGCCCCCCCAACACAAATTAAGTATAACTATGATACATTATGTATTTTGTGCCGCTTCCTGTTTCTGAATAAACTTGAGAGCTTGATAGCCCATTCCTTTTTTAAAAACAATATTTTGAAAACATTTCCTCAGGAAAAATTGCTTGGTCTGATGTCATTACCAACCCAGGAGCAATATGAAGAATTGAAAGAGAAAAGGAAACAAGAACTGGACAGAAAACTGCAGATGGAGAGACAGGTAAATATTTCAGTCAGTATTGAGACACCTTTCTAAGAGTTGTTTTATATCTGTATGTTGATTAAAACTAACGGCTCTTTAATATCCTGTTGAAAGTCTTGTATGCCATGTTCAATGAAGTAAGTGGGTCATACTTCCATATAATGCAAATAGGAGCAAACGAATACAACTAATCCTTTGCAACTTTAAATGTTATTTCCACACCTGCTTTATTTATTGGTTTGTTTGTTTACTTGTGACTAGGCAACACTTGAAACGCAGAGACGAATGGAGGAGAAGCACATGGACTATGCTTCCAGATCTTTGGTAGCATCTAACGGTGAGGTGTCCTGGCCAAAACGGGTTGCAGTAAAGAAAGCTGAAGGTTGGCTGCCCACTGCGAACTTATCTCGCCAGCAGGAACTCACAGACCCACTTCTGCAGCAGATTGACAATATAACATCCTTTATTAAACAAGCCAAAGAAGCAAATCGTCTCGATGAGGTCCAGATGTTGCAGGAAAACCTGCGACAACTTCAGGATGAATATGATCAACAGCAAACTGACAGAGCTATTGAGCTTTCTAGAAGGCAAGCCGAGATGGAGGAGATGGAGAGGGAACAATTGCAGATCCTTTGTGAAAAGGAATGGGAGAGGGAACATAAAAAACGAATGTCTCAGCACTCACGGACACGTTCCTTGGATTTCAGAGAAGTGAAGCACAGTAAGTTAGAGATTGGGAAGGAGAGCATAAACCAAATAGCACAGGCTTTGGACCTTGATACTACTCAGAATACAAGTAACCCAGCCTCTAAAGCATCTTCACCATGTGGTGGTGACAAGCTCCAAGCGCAAGAGAGCCCAGTCTTTCCCGGGCAATTTGTAGAGATCCAAGAGCATGACAGCGTAATAGAGCAAAATAAAAATGTTCCCATAAACCCTTTTGAAGATGAGCCAGTAATTAGCACTCTAAAGAGGGAACCAAATAATCCCTTTGCTGAAGATTCCTCCACAGTGGCTCCCTTGCCCACCCAAACCTTGCACAGTGATAAAAAAGAATATAACCCATTTGAAGACGATGAGGATTGTCATCAAGCAAATGGAGTAGCTGTCAGTGCTCCGAATCCCTTTAAAGATGCTGTTGGAAATCCATTCCGTGTGCTCACAGCTCGTCAGGAATCTGGAAATCCATTTGAGGAAATGTCTTCCTCCACGAATCCTTTTGAAGAGGATGATGATAATGAAGTGTCAAGGGAAGACATCATAGAAGAGGAGCTACTGCTCCAACAGATAGATAATATAAAAGCTTATATTTTTGATGCCAAACATAGTGGGCGGATGGATGAGGTTGAGGTGCTGACTGAGAATTTGAAAGAACTGAAACGCACACTAGCAAAACAGAAGGAGAAATCTAGCTAGTTGCTGTTTCCATGCACATACAACTTTACACTTCTCTGACTGTCCCAGAGGCAAAGGCGGGCAGGTGGAATTAAAATGCAAGAGGGAATTTTGGGATTGACTCTAATTGTCTGCACTTTGGCGTGGGTATTTCCACTATTATTCAGACTTTGCTAATACTGTCCACACTATTATGATTTTGTAATAACCTAAAACTGTGTCACAGACCATTTACAAATCTAAAACGTATCACAACCAGTTTCTATCACAACCTAACCTCTTAACATTGTCATGCTTCTTGGCATTCCTTTTATTTCAGATGTAAACTCTGTAGGCTAATACGGAAACGGATGCTTTAAGGTGCAGGAAAATACAATCCTTCCCTCTGTGTTTGGTTGTTGCAGTATTACGGACTGGCCTTCTAAGCTGGCTTTTCCACTAATAAGGGATCCAGAGTGTCTGGTAAATTCTGTGTCAAGCATGAAATAAGATGGTGCCTTTAGCAAATGTGTGTAACTGCCATCTATGCTAAGGGCAAGTGTTAAAAAGCAGGTTGCTGAGATGCAGTGTGACCTGCACAGTACCAAGGCCAATGATCTGACTGTGCAATACAAAAGATAATATAAAGGGATTTTAAAGTAGATTTGGGTAGATGTGATGTTATAGACATAATATCTGTTTTAGAAAATGTAAACCCCAATGAACTTCTGTTCCCTCCATCACCTGTTTTTCAGGGCTTTTTTATTTTAATAGCTTCCTCTAGCGAACCCTGGGAACAGCACCTTTTGTTGAGGGTGCTGATTTTTCTTGTTGCTTTCTCTCAGAAGTTGCAATTCTCAAAATTCCCTGGCTAGCGGAAATGCTATGACTGTTAAAACGATAACTGCAGCATGTGTGTGTGTGGGGGGGGGAGCACCAGTTATATACTATAAGGGAGGAAGTCTGATTTCAATGGAAAAGCAAACTGTTAGCCAACTATGATCTGATCATGTGAAGATGGCCTTCCCTCAGCTTTTAAACAACACTTAGCTACCTCTCTCAAGGTTTGACACCTGTTTTGAATATAAAATATACTGTCCCCTTTATAAATCCAGAATGGGATCAGGGTGTGTGCTCCAGGAGAGCACAAAACTCAGATGTTTGGGAGCTTAATCTACCAGCCATTGTTGCTGTGTAGTTTCTATTATTGCTGTGGAGGGTCTGTGCAAGCCCATACCCTGTCAATCTAGAGGCTGTGAACCAGCATAGCTTGGGATTGGGTGGTTAATTTTTCCATATAAAAAACTGGTTAATTATGTCCTTTGGATATTTCTTTACTCACTGGATATTTCCAGTTCAAAATATGAACTGGAATTTTGTGAAGGTATAAAAATAATTGTATGTAACTGAAGGGCTATCAAACAATTTCTGGTTTCAGTTCTGCTGAATGAACATGATTTGGTCGCATTTGATTATTTTTTTAAGAATGAAGAGCAATTTGAATGTCACACATGGGGGCTGACTCCTGAGGATTATTATGGACTTCTAGAAATCAAATTTTGCTTCATTCATGAGTGGGGGAAAGGCCCAGCCGTTGGGACCTGAGTTAGCAAGACACTAATAGCTGGTTCAGGATTTCTAAACCTGAACAGTAATTCAAACTGTTGGGATTCCAGAAAAAATGTTTACAGAGATGTGTTGTTACTTGGAGGGTGCTTAATATGGTCAAGAGCTAAAGTAGCACTTTACGGAATCAATTCTATATATCTTCTTTATTTGGGGCATGGCTTTAGGCGATTTAGTAAAAACCCCTTTCCTTCTAGTTTCCCTTTCATTTGATTTTTCTGTCTGCTGGGAGGAATGTGCTCAGTTACATAACTAATTTAATATACATAGTATATTAAATACATAGTGTTTCAGTGGTAGCTTTGGTGGGCCGGGGTAGGAGGAAAATGAGCTCAGCTTCAAAATTAATCTGATTTACAAAGTATTGACTAAAACTATGTCAGCTTGTTTAAAAAGCACTCAGAATTGTGTTGAGCCATCCTGTGGAAACAGACCTGAAGACAGCTCTGAGGACAAGAGTACTAAGGGCAGATGACCTAAGAATTTAAAGTCATCTTTTTCTTTTTCCTAATTGGAAATGACTGGGATTGGGCTTGCGGAACAGGTGCACCTAACAAATCTAACAGGATAGGCTATTATCGGGTAACCAGAGATGTGTAGTAAATAAAGAAATTTATGTATATAGCTAAAGTAAGCAAGCACCACAGCTTTTATGTGACTACCAGCTAAGGAGCAGTGGTTTGTCTAAAACAAAACCATCTATATACTTTATTCTAGGCAGCAAGACACCAGACTTAACTGGAATACTTTGTATATCCCAGCCAAAATGAATGTTTCAGTGGCTTTTTGTTTTTTTTTTACATTTAAAATATGTTTCCTTGTCACATCAATTCTGCCTTGTTTTTAGGTACTCTGTAGACTAATACTCTTTAAAGACATAGTATTGATGTATTTTTACTAGTAACGATGTTGGTTTGTAGCTCCATGACTGCAAGTCAATGTGAAATGTAACTAGCCTTCTTGATAGGATGGTGGTAGACTCACATTTTGACAGCCTTCCATTTGTACTACTGAATTTACACTATGAAACAGAACAAAACCATGCCATTGTGAGAATTAACATTAAAGACATCCATTTATACACTTGCATGCACTACTCTTAATTTGCAAGCTTTGAAGAAATAAAATAACATATTGGTTTGTATGTGTGATTTATTTCTCATGTTAAATAAGAGGCCCAAGTCAGCTGATGCACTCTCAATAGGCCCCTTCCCTTTGAGGTTTCAACATCTTCTGTGGCCAGTGTGTGTATATGGGCCTCACTGGGCTATGGGGAGTCCTCTCCTTAGGATTTCCCCTGAGAACAAAATTAATACTTTCGTAAATTTATGCATGGTGCCATTTTAGGTACATAGCAACAGCAATTATAACTTGAACATTGCAAATAGAGGGAATGGTGTGTAGCATTGTCTACTTATAAGTTGGCAACCCACCTCTGAACTGGTTGTTGGCTGAAGATAAAGCTTCTTTGTAATCAACATATTTACATCAGCTTTAAATGATACTTTTTTCTTGTACAAACATAAAGTAACAAAATACAGAATGGTTCTTATTTACAAATGGGCCTCTTCATAGTATAGGCGATACATCTACATGAGATTTAGCAAGGAGCTAAGAACAGCCTTAGCCAAAATGGGAGAAATGCAGTAAATTTTAATGCCAAGTTTTCTCAAGGCCCTATGGTTTTGAATAGAAAAGAGTATATTTTGACTAAACTGCCTCCACCCAGTAGCTCTTGTGTTTTTCATATGGGGCAGCTCGACCTATTGCCAGCAAAAGCAGTTTGGGGGCTGGTTCAGTTTTGTTACTTCACTCTAAACTTTAATTTCCATGCCGTGACAATTTAATTCCTGCCACATGTACATTACACAAACCTGCCTCCTTCATGCTAGTTGGATAGACAGGCAAGGAGAATGACCAGCCCTGAAATCTAGCTAACCACTGGAGATCTTTTTAGCTACCTTTGTTGCCTGGGACTTTAGCAGGCATTAGTCACTCTTTAAAGCATGTCTTTGCTTTTATAAACACTAAAAGCTTGTTTCTTTTTAAAGACATCCTGTTTAACCATAAGCATCTCTAGGAAGTTAAGCGGGCACCCAATACAACCCATACCCTGCCCTCTTCCATTACTCCTACAGATCTGCAGCATACCCAAAACTTGCACATAATCCAGAGATTTGTTAAATCCAGAGCCTTCACCACTAAGCAGCTAAGACCAGGCACATATCATATAGACAGGATTCTGTATTTGGATGGTTGTATGTTACACAAAGGGTCGCGGGTGGCGCTGTGGGTAAAAGCCTCAGCGCCTAGGGCTTGCCGATTGAAAGGTCGCCGGTTCGAATCCCCGTGGCGGGGTGCGCTCCCGTTGCTCGGTCCCAGCGCCTGCCAACCTAACAGTTCGAAAGCACCCCTGGGTGCAAGTAGATAAATAGGGGCCGCTCTGGCGGGAAGGTAAACGGCGTTCCGTGTGCTGCGCTGGCTCCCCAGATGCAGCTTGTCACGCTGGCCACGTGACCCGGAAGTGTCTGCGGACAGCGCTGGCTCCCGGCCTATAGAGTGAGATGAGCGCACAACCCTAGAGTCTGTCAAGACTGGCCCGTACGGGCAGGGGTACCTTTACCTTATGTTACACAAAAAAAGCACACGATTCATTAAACCTGGGTTCGACCAAGATGTGTTCTCCTTTGATTTAAAAACAAATGGCAAACATGTATATTCACAATCCAGTCCATCACAAGAACAATTCCAGAATTTATTTAAAAGATTCATCCTTACTTGTTTTAAGTAAGTCCAGATATTTTTCTGTTACTTAAATGGTGGTTTGTAAAAAGACCAATGTGTTGTCATCAGTGTTAAGATGCCCACTTTCTTGTCAGTCTGAATGCTTTTACTCCCTGCTGTAGAAAGCTGGCTTAGGAAGCAGCACTCTCTTTCATGGCAGTTCTATATTTCCCAGTCATCTCCTTTGGTAATGGCACTTTACCAGGGCAGGGAATTTGGCCTTCAATTTCACACATGCATTCCCGCAAGTGGTACTTTTTGGGGCCAAACGTTGCGGGATGGCGTAACTTCATTTTCTCTTGTGCTTCTCCCTGCAGTGTTTGCCTACAAAAGAAAAAGAAATAAATTTGGTGTAAGGACAAGAAGTGCTAGACAGTGATCAATGCATTGCAACAATCAAACTAGTTCACACATAATTCTTGAAAGTACAGTTGAGGCACCTGTGTTCCTCCAGATGTTGGGAGTGCAACTCTCTTGACCAAACTGACTATGGCTATTAGAAGTCCCCAAACATGGAAAGCCACTGGTTCTTCCTCTCCTCTCATGCATTTAATAGCAAATTATAATTGTTAACAATTACTTCCTCTATCACAGATGATTGTTTGGTGTTTGATATGCTGCCTCCCTTCATTTCATGTTTCATGTCAAAACTGCTGGGAACACATAACTGCTGTAATAATAGTTCTGCCCTTGAGAGCTTAGGGCTTCTCTCGGTATTAAAGCTGCTCCAAGTCTGCTGTGCTACTCATCTAGCATCACAGGGCTGTATAGCCCTAGGACTGTATGAACATTAATCACTGCTAAGCTTGACTTCTCTAAGCTCCCCAATATTTGAACATTTTGGGAAGTGCTGCAAAACCTTTATCCACAACAAGCATCTAATGTAAGCTTGTAATTAGCAGATTACCTGGAAGAAGTAAGCATTGCCTCCAGGTGACCAGGCTTTTGTAAATTTAAAGAATGAAGGTGTTTTTTCCCAGCCTTCTCAGGCCCTCAAGTGGTGCCCATAAATGGCTAATAAGGTCATTTATGACAAAGGATATGTGGGCTACATACCAGAAAGCTTATTTTAGGGTCCAGAACTCAAGCCTGCAGGAGGATGGAGTTTTAATAGCATGTTTGTGTGCATTTAAAACATTGCCCTTATCCCAGTCCAATTGAATGGGGTAGACTCAAAAGTTTGGATCTACAGCCAAAAACAAGCAGAGCCATATATGTATTTATGTGCGTGTTTTACTTACTCGCTTTTACCAAGAACTTTCTTAACATGTTCTGCGATCTCTTTGTTAGTCTTCTCTTCCACATCAACCAGGACTTGCTCTCCACTATCTGCAGAGGAGAGAGCATGACAGGGTATCTACAGGCAGCTGTCTCAACCAGGATGCTCTGAGGAAACCGTCTCCTTTGGAGAGTGGCACTACCCATTATTTGCCCACCTGTCAGTCTTGGGAAGATGTTTGCCTAAGCAGAAGGTATTCCAATGCACTTCAACGAAAGCTAAACAAAACCAAGCATGTTACTTACCTAAATAGAATTTTAAGAATGGCGATGGTGTCATGTTCTTAAACATCACAATCTGAAGCCAAGGGTTTTTGTACTGAATCTGAGGTATGTTGAAGAACACAAATTTTCTGTGGAAAGAGCAGGAGAAAAGTAAGGAAGACAGTGGATGCACTCGGCCTTTTAGAATATGAATTCAGTGAAACTTAAGACTCTTGCCAAAGAAAAGGAGAAGAAGGCAGCTCTGTGTGTGAGAGAGAAAAGGCATCAGATTCAGGAGCCAGAAACCCAAGCTCAGAGGTGGTTTCCCTCGCCCTCCAGTATGTCTCATAGCAGACATATCCGCATAAGCAATGCCAAAATAGAGGGCATGTCAATCGGTTCCTGAAAAACCAAAATGTCCATGAACACTGAGGAAGAGTAACAAATTTACTGTGGTGTAATTAAAAGCCACAGGGAGCCAATATGATGCAGTGGTTATATTGAGCTAGGATGACAGCCCTGGTTCAAAGCCATGCTCAACCCTTTGAGGCTTTCGAGATGGTAACTGGCTCAAGTTACTTCAAAGGGTTGTTGTGAAGATAAAATAGAAGGGTGAACTGCATGCACCACATTAAGGTCTTGGAAAGAAAGATGGGCTGGGCATTATTTTATTTATTCATTTCATAAAATGTATACACCATTCAATTGCTAAAAAATAACATCATCAAAGAGGTTCACAAAAAGGAATAACAATAACAACAGCAAGCTGTTACTTCATCTGACTGTATGAGGAAACTGTGCAGTCTCAAAGCAGGCCGAGAAACATTAAAGGAACATTAAAGGTAAAGGACCCCTGAAAGTTGAGTCCAGACGCGAACAACTCTGGGGTTGCGGCGCTCATCTCGCTTTACTGGCCAAGGGAGCCAATGTTTGTCCGCAGACAGTTTTCCTGGGTCATGTGGCCAGCATGACTAAGCTGCTTCTGGCGAAACCAGAGCAGCGCACGGAAACGCCGTTTACCTTCCCGCTGGAGTGGTACCTATTTATCTACTTGCCCTCTGACATGCTTTTGAACTGCTAGGTGGGCAGGAGCTGCCCAGAAAGCAGGACTAGATCTAATGAGCTTGAACTACAAGAAGGCAGACATTTCAGTTGACCATTGGAAGAAACTTGTTGGTATCAGAGGAGCTAGGCAATGGAGCTAGTTATCTAGGTGGGTGGGTAGACATTTCTGGAGGTCTTCCTGTTCCGGATTTATCCCGCACCGGAGCAGGCAATGGACGAGGACGGCCTGCCCGGGACCAACTCCAATCCCGTATCTAGCAGTTCCCCTACGCCAGGGGGGCAGCTCGGTTTGCCTTGGGCTCCTTCCCCAGTCCCTGCACGAAGCACACGACGAGCGCTTCAGCAGCGCGGCAAGCGCGGAGAGATGCGCAACTATCCCTGGGACAGGGGGACGGAGGGAGGCTCCTTGCTCGAGGGGTACCCGCTCACCTGGCTCCTTCGCTGAGAGGCCCCCTCGTGTTGTAGTTCACCGTCATCACCTTCACGGCGTCCTTGAAGATGATGTCGCCCTGGCTCAGGTACTGCAGCGTCCTGCGGATGGGGAAGCGGCCTTTCATCGGCATGGCGGCGGCAGCCCGGCGCGCACCGCGTAGCCAAAGGCAGCGGCACGAGTCGGCGGCGGCGCAACTCCCTTGCTCCGACCCACCCGGGCGGGAGAGGAAACGGAGCGCCGATCGCAAGGGGATGCGGGAAGTGTAGTTTCCGGGAGCGCGGAGGAGGAGGCGGGACGAGTCGGAGGGCATGGGATCGGAAGAGGAAGTGCAAGCATCGGGGGTCTGTTTACACTGCGATCCGAGAGAATAGTGAGAGCGAGATACCTAGAACTGCGCAAACGGAGAGGCATTCAGTAAAATGCACAAATGCGCATTCCAGACGTTCGGCTGGCGGCGCTGATTTGCAACCACCGGCATATACTATTTGAGTGCATGGGAAAGTTACGCAGGCTGTTCTCACAACTTTGCGCTGCACGAGATCCTGTTCTGATGCTGCTGCTGCGAGGAAACGCCGCCAGTGGAATGTGGAAATGCTTCGGCTCGTTTGTAAAGTTGGAAGCGGCGGCTTCAGTACAAGGCCGAGTTTTCAGTATTGAAGTAAATGAACTAGGAGGGCAAAGCTTTGATTTCCAAAAAAATCTAGTACCAAATTGAGTATGGCATCTTTCCCCTATGGAACCACGTTTTTTTCTTAAACATACTCTAAATAATATATGGTGACCCTGATCATATGTGGAGAAAGCCAGCTTCTGTTAAAATAAAAATCCAAAAAGCAAGGTTCTCAAAATGTGGAAAAAAGGAAATGCATCTCACACAGCTCAGCACTCAGAAATGTTCAAATGCTTCCTTTCTGGCCAACAGGAATTGTATTAAATGGAGTATTTCACCATGTGGAGCTTCTTCCATGATTGTTAAATATGTATCTTGCCGCTCCACCAAATGATGGTCAAAGCAATTAACAACACAAAATACACTTAAAAATAATCAAATATAATAAAATATCAGTAATCTCAAAACAAAACAAAAACAGGTGTAAAAAGTCAACATATTTTCAATTCAGCCAGTGGACCAAATTCTAAATAAAAATATATATATGCTGACTGTAGGTCATCAGAGATGCTCCTTTTGCAAGGAGTTAAGAGACTGGCATCAGCAACTAAGGCCCTCTCCCGCATTCCAACTGAATGCCCTTCAGAAGTAGGCAGGAAAGAAAGATCCTATGAGAACCAGCAGAGAGAAAGTGTTTGGTTTTTCAAATACCATATTTTTCGCTCTATAAGACGCACCAGACCACAAGACGCACCTAGTTTTTGGAGGAGGAAAACAAGGGAAAAAGTATTCTGAATCTCAGAAGCCAGAACAGCAAGAGGGATCGCTGCGCAGTGAAAGCAGCAATCCCTCTTGCTGTTCTGGCTTCTGGGATAGCTGCACAGCCTGCATTCGCTCCATAAGACGCGCAAACATTTCCCCTTACTTTTTAGGAGGGGAAAAGTGAGTCTTATAGAGCAAAAAATACGGTAACTCAGAAGTCAAGTGGGGCTTTGTAGGTCGCAACTAGTCAAGAAAACAGCGTTTTTCTCCATACAGTTAAAACTGCTTCAGTACTCTAGCGGCTAGCCAGTATCCAAAGAGCTATTTTAGGCATGCCCAATGAGGATTTTTGATTTCCTCCACTTTTAGGCAGAAGCCAACCCCAACCACCGCAAACTGCTTTTAAAATCCTCCTTGTCTGAAAAGTCATTTGCCCTATGGCAAGGATGGGAAAACATTCTTATGTTGAAGAAACACTTCGATAAAACCCTATTAGGCAGGCAAAATTACCGGTAGATGAACAATTCTTTGGATCCTAACATTACTCTCAAGGCATTCTCAAAGAATATTGTGAACCCATTCAACAATTTTTATAGTTATGCCATAATTACCTGCTCTGAAAAAAGAACTCAGAGGCCATAAAAGGGTCTTTATTTATTTTAATAGTATAAACCTTCTGTAGGCAGAAATATTAAGCCACAACAATATAATGCCACATTTAGACAGCATTTAATAAAATGCATAAGCATGCACTGCAATACTCTATATACACACACAACAATGCAAATTTCTCTTCATGACTGAAGACACTGATTAGATATAAAAATTCAGATAAAAAAGAACATGCTATTTTAAATGCTATCACATTTACAAAGCTGATTTCACAAAATAAACTGTGAGGAAGCAACAGCTTTTGTCAGGTTTTAAACCTTGTATTTAAAAAAGAAGATACAGAGACAATAGACAATGAAAAGCACAGGGTTACAAAAGGTACCCCAGGGAATTGTCACCTATCTTGTGGCAAATAGGTTAGCTTTAGTAAGAGCTTAGCGCTTGAAGGGTTTTCCAAATACATACAACAATTATATAATGGATAAATATGAGCAGTTGTTTTGTTACAAAACTATTGGGAACAATGGTGTTATTTAGAATTAGTGGTTAGTCACAGAAGTCTTTTCGGCATATGAGTTCCATAGATACTGCAAGTAAATATACTGTATTTTGGTCAATAGACTACTCAAAACTCCTCCAGCCTTATGGTAAGATTTCTATTTTTCCACACCCTTGCCCCTCCAAATGTGGTACAGAAAGCAAAAGTAACATAATTGTTTCCAGAAACAGCTTAAATCATCCATTGGCCAGAATCAGAAATCAGGTTAGTACCTCTATTACAGGGGATTGTACCTTTTAAGGAACAATAAAAAATGGGGAAATCATTTTATGATAGAAGTCTTCTATTCAATGTTAACTTTAATTAAAGCAAACAGAGTACCGATTGTCATAACACTAAATCAATGGAGCTTCCTGCCAAAAATGTTTCAAAAACATCCACAGCTGGAATATTTCTTTTTAAAAAAACAACAACAAAAAACCCCCACTATGTACATTTATTAAGCAGCAGGTCAGGAAATGGAAGCTGGGCAGAAATGGTTCTCCAAGGATTGCACGCCCAACATAAAGGAGCATTTAAATTCTGCAAGTGCAAGACTATGCAGGTGCTAGATTTTATACTACTAGGAGCACTCCTTAGTTCACCAAAACTTTTAAAAGATCAGACCTAGAGCACTGACCAGTAGGAAAATGTATGGAGATCAGGTCTTAGACTGTATAGGCATCAGGAGGATTGTTAAGGTGGTGAAGAGAACAGCAAGCTTCATTTTCCAAGAATTAACTTTGGGCACAGTTCTTCCTAATGCTAGTACAATACAGTCGTACCTTGGAAGCTGAATGCCTTGGCTCCCAAACAAATCGACTCCTGAACAATCAAAACATGAGTGTTCCAGTTTTCGGAAGCCAAATGTCCAGTGTGGCTTCCGACTGGCTGCAGGACGCTCCTGCAGCCAATTGGAAGCTGCACTTTGGTTTTCGAATGGTTCTGGGAGTCGAAGGAACTCCCGGAATGCATTCTGTTCAAAAACCAAGGTACCTGTATGTGCAGTGATCCTCACAAGAGACCAATTTCTCTCCTTTCCTCTCTGGATGTGGAAGGATGTGGATATGGTGCCAAGGCATTGTGGAAAAAGCAAAGTGTGTGTACCTCCCAAGTCCTCCATCAAGCTCCTGCCGCCCTCCATGCTATGCATGTTACTTCAATTCTAAAGAAAGCAAAGATTGGATGATGACATGGGAGGCACACACAGACCTGCCATAGCCTATAATATCTTGGCTTCCCGCTTGGGTGCATGGCTCTCATCCACACATGCCAAAAGAGGAAGGGGAGAAATGTGTCTTTCTTGGAATGTCGACAGAGATCTTTCAATGTACCAGGAAGCATCTTGTCCTTTGTTTACTTCTTTCATTAAAAGGAAACGTCTCCCTTAAAATATAGTTCATAATTATCTCGGACCACATTCTATACGACTCGTGCATGCTCAGCTAGCTGTCATTCTTGACCAATTGTTGCCGTCTGAAACCAAAGTTTCTTCCATGGGAAAAGAAGGAAAGAATGCCTAAGCAAGCCAGAGTAACTATATAAACAGGTTTTAGGGAAGGCAGGACAGTAAGAAATATTGTCTGTAACACACAAACTACTTTCCTGTACAGGTTATCTGGAAACCTTCAATAGACTTTCACTAGTAGCAGAAGACAATTCCTAAAAGCTTGTTTTTTTTTAAAAAAAATATTCCTTTTAGTGGTCTGTCTCTAAAAAGAAATGCATTATATTTGCCAGGAAAGATATGGTGCCATGTATTACGTAGCTAGCAGATAGTGACATTTATGACGCTACTCCTGCAGTTTGCCTTATGCTCAGTTACACAAGATGGTTGTCAATACAAAACTACACACATCTGTTGTGCAGCAACCTTGTTCCTTCTCATTAGCAACTTCAAGGGACATACAGACATTATAAACACAGTGATGAAGCTTTACATGCTTTAGAAAAGAAGACTGTATATATATATATATATATATATTTAAAAAAAGCAAAACCTTTCAGAAGAGTTTTAAAAACCCCCTTTGCATGTTGTCAATAACATAAGAAATGTTTATGGTCCACAGATGCAATTCACCAAACACTATCACTGCACAACCTCATTTCATTTCAACAGGGCTTGTGTGTATTTAGAAATAAGATGTGGAACTATTAAATAGTTTCAGTATCTAAGAAAAAGTGCAAATACATCCTGGGTTTAGAAACAGGTACCTACTCTACCAAGGAACGTGAGATGCAAATGATCATACCAGGACTGAGCTTTGAGCAAGAAATAAAATTTAGGAAGCTCAATCTTTGCAATGCATTTATAAATCTTTTTTTTTGTTAACATATAGAAATCTGATATATATGATTACATGACTGTACATAGTTCTATATACATACATACACGGTTTATATTACACTGTACATAATATACCAGACTAAGTTAGATACAAGCACATAAAACATCATACACACAAATAAATATGGCCGGGATCCAAAGCACTTCTTTAGGGGAGCTCAAGAGCTTGGGTAGACCTTATTTGACTCCTCCCCCATCAAAGGCATATTATTCCTCCCTCCAATGTTACATCACAAGTTGGTTTTGAAGAAATAGGAACACCTACAGACACATACTTTTTAAATTATGACTCTCCTTTCACAGAAACTATTTGCAGAACTCAGAACCCCTGTAACTCATGGCAAGCGAATCTCTGGGGGAGAACATGATGTTAGTTGGCTTGCCACATAGGCTCTCCCATAATCCACTGAGGCTTCAGACTAATAGACATGCATGTCTAAGCCCATCTGAAATCAATTAAACTCAAGATTGCCATCTTATTTAACAATTAACAGGGCACACAGTAAATTTGTTTTAAATGCTAATGTTTCCAATCTTGTAGATAGATAGATAAATACATGTATCTTACTGATCTCAAAAGGAACTTGCTTCCAAGGATGCTTACTAAGTAACCCTAGACAATCTGAACTATAATCAACAATGAGCAATTACATACACCTTTTTCCCCTTAAGAATATGGAAGCTAGGCTAGATGGGAAACAGTGAATGACGAAACAGGTGCCTTTTCGCAAAAAATTAAATATTGAAATATTTCATAGCAGTCATTAAATGACACTATTTAAAAACAGTACTTCAGCTGGATCCAAAATAAAGCAGAACTAATTTAATTTAAGGTTTGTGGATCAAGCTGTGCAAACCTGCAACACACAGATTTCAGTGTAGCAGACATCACTTTTAAAAGTATATGCTCCTCTGAGTTTTATAAGGAATCATTTTTGGTCTCAAAATTGTACTAAAATTATTTTTAGGATATTTTATCATGTAAATTACAAATTTCTTCATTAAAAGTGCACACTCAAGTCTTGACACTATACATACTATAAAATATATGATTATATCTTAATTTGTTTATACCACAATAGTATAGTAGGCTCATCATGTTGGGTCTTTTGTCATTTTTAATTAAGACAAGAGTTGATTAATTTTAATCATGATTTTGACATCGTATTTTCTTTACTGAAAGACGTTCAGTGCTCACAGTACTATTGACTGCAAGTGCATAAATTATTTTAGGAATAAAGTCAGAGCTAAACAGTAAGTCAAGGAAACACAACACTGTTTCACTTCCTCTGAAGCAGTTCTTGTGTGAATTAAAGGAAGTGACACCCAATGTTGTCTGTCCACTTACGCAATAGAAATCTGCTTGTACAAGGGTGCTTCTGGAGTCTCTTCTCTACCCTCCAGCCCCCTGTGCCCCCATAAAAACTGCTCCAGAGGGCCTCCCAATTCTCATAAACAAGTTTTGGAGATTCGGAATGGGGAAAAGGAAGAAATAGCCCACTGTGAAGGCCACTTGCATTACTTTGTATCTCACCCTGTTTTTTAAACATTTTTAAAAGTAGGAAGTGTAATTGATTTGGATACACCCAGGAGCTTACTAAGCGAATCATCATTTAGAGCAGTGTAGTTTAATGATCTCCGAGGCTATGCCAGCTTAAGTAATCACTGAACTCCTTCCTGAAATGTAGGTTATAAATGAAGATTCTTATGAATGGGGGTAAATAGGTGACTGAACTGTGACTGGTCCTGTAAGACATCCCTCCAACATTCCACCTGAGAGCTTAACTAGAAAGACAAAAAACAACCTTGTTGGAATATGATCTCAACTGAAGAGCAATCTGAGTTGTTTTTGTGTAATTAACAACACATTATCTTAAAAATAAAGCAACACAGATCAAACAGAAAATGGCCAGCCCTTGGAAGCATTTTGACAGGTTATGACACAATAAATATTTCTTAGTACTCCAGACTTTAAAAAGAATCCACAAAGTTATGTTATGGGAGCAGGGAGTCCCCCTTCATGCATGATACTTTTTCTATATAGAGGTAAGATCTCTGTAGAAATATATTTCCATGAGCCCTGGAAAGTGGGGAAATCATTGAAATGTCTATTTTGTCAAGAGATTTATGTGTGTTTGGATACAGTAGAACAAAGCACACCTGAACAGATGCAAGCATGTGGAAATGGGCAGCTGTATGATATGCATGCAGCTGACTGCTAACTTTTTCCTACAGAATTATGCCCAGGTAGAGAAAATGCCATGCGCAAAGTTGCTCAGAATATAACATGCTGTATTGCAAGTGGAGGTTGGAAAATGGCAAGCAGTGGAACTATCATAAGTCCCCCCAAAGGGACACGACAGAGCAAGGGGAGACCTATTCTAACCCCCTTTCAACTGGGTCATGTGACCTAGCAACCTGGCATAATGTGACAAGTGAAAAAGGCAGTGTCAGTCGAATTCCTCCTGAAAGGGGTTTGGGATGGGGAAACTCAAGCTGTTTTAAGTTACACTGACTTACCATAGCTAGGGATTGCTCAGAGCAGCTATAATCCTGGGAGTAAGTTTCACTGAACCCAGTGGAACTTTCTCCTGAGTAGACACATATAGGATTTGGACCGCAAAACAGAGTTTCTAACCTTTAAGAAAAAGACTAAGCCTCAAATTCTGAAGTAACCACAGTACTGGACAATGTGATATGCCAAAATAGTATTCTCAAGTGTCAGACAGAATGAATGAGTTTGAAATTATAATGTACTAAAGAACACATTTGCTGTTTTTGAAACTGATAGCATCCTCATCACTTAGCGACTGATGCAGCACAATAAAAAGGCATCTTATGCTACAGCATTTATAAGTAAACAGCACCAGGCTCGAAAATCTCAATGGTTACCCTTTACAAAGCCAAGAAGTTAGAATGCTCTTTTCTAGTGTGAATAACTTCTACGGCATCTTACTCAGCTGACAGCAAAGCCATAAATCTTGTGTCACTTATGCTGTAAACATTTAGTAAAGTTTAACTTCAAATAGTATAGAAATCTCATGGAAAGGATCACACTATTAATAAACACATACAATTGGAATTTTGTAGCATAAATGATTGTCTCCCACAGCTCTTCCATGTTTTCACAGAAATCACTAGCATATGACTGCATTTAAAACACAATTATTCATTTACCCTGAATGCTATTAATCACTTACCTTGCTCATACAAGCAAGAGGATGACAAAATCATAGCTTTAACAAGAAGTGCTTTGAAAGTGCTGATAATGACTACATCCTGGTAATTTTAAAATATAAATTAAAATATATAAAATATGGGCTTGGATACAAAGAACCCTTAATCAAGTGAAAGCACTCCTGCTTGCTCAAGGGTGAGTGCGTTGACAATTTTCTCTGCCAGCTGCAACTTTCCATGTGGCACTCTGGAGCATGACCTGACCCTTAGGCAGTAGCAGCCCATGTGGTGGCATAGATAAGGACACTACTGCTCTCCTGGCTTCTGAACACAGTGCATCACTGACGATTACCTGGGGGTTTATTTATTTATATTATTAAATCTATATACAGCCCTTCAGCTGAAGATCTCAGGGCTGTTCACAAGATAAAAATGCAGGATAAAAACACAAAATAAATAGTTGAGAAGAAAACAATAACCCCATCTCCCACAAATACATTTAAAAGGCCATAGAATATTGATTAGCTAAAGGCCTGATTGAAGAGGAACACTTTCGCCTGGTGTCTAAAAATGTACAATGAAGGCGCCAGATGGATCTCCCTGGGGAGAGCAGTCCACAAATGGGAAGCCAGTGCAGAAAAGGCCCGTTCTTGGGTTGCCACCCTCTGCAACACTCATGAAGAAGGCACATGAAGAAGGGCCTGAGATGAGGAGTGAGGAGTCCAGGTTGGTTTATAAGGGGAGAGGCAGTCCTTGGAGTATTGAAATCCTGAGCCGTTTAAGGCTTTATAGATCAAAACCAGCACTTTAATTGGGCCTGGAAACTAATTGGCAGCCAGTGCAATTGGCAGCCAGGATGCAGTTGGGCTCAAACAGTCTTGCTCCAGTGAGCAACTTGGGGCTGGGTGGCAAGAACCAATCAGACTTGCCAATCAGATTTGTGTGGTATGACAGAGCCAAACACATGCCCTCATGTGCCTACACAGCCCTGAGCTGCTCACCCCTCTCCATCCTGTGGAGAATAGAGAGTGTGCCAGTGGCATACTGTGTCTGAAAATCAAGAGCAGTGGTGCCCCACCTGCACTGCTGCATGGGTTGTTACTGCTTAGGAGTGACTTGGCGTGGCTGCATGAAGGAAGAGGGATTAGGAGAGAGACTCATTTAATGAGCAGAACTCCACCTGCAGTTCTTTGGATCCAAGCCAGCATTCTTACTTAAGTACTTTTTAATAAGTATTCTGATATTATAGAACCTTTTTTTGCTCACAGATAATTTCCAAATAAAAATCTTGCTCAGCAATTCCCTGTAACCCTTTCATCAAAAGGCATTAAAGTATTTCTTCTGGCAGAAGTGAATCCTAGAAAAAGCGTTTTTTGCAGGTTTTAAAATCTTGTTTTTCAATGTTGATAGGAATAAGTTGTTCTTTCAATGTGGAAAAGAATAAATTTAACAAGAAAAGGGAACATGATCAAAATATTTATACACAATGCCAAGGTTAATCAGTGACTTATGATTACTTGGTTGATCTGTGAAGACGCACTGATTTCTTCTAGGAAGATGAGCCTGTTATTTGGCCATTATATTCTGCTGTCTCCATTTTCAATATGTAAGGGATGATACTGTCTATTGGAACATTTCCAATGAGCCCAGTAAAAAAGAGTTCTTCAGTAATGCTAGAGCTCATCAGTCTAAGTGCTGGCAGGCGAACTAGAATCCGGGCTAGTCTGAAATAAGAAGACAGTAGAATATGAAAAGGTATACATCAGGTTACCAGTTTGGCATCCACTTATAGCAACTTGATTAGGTGAAAAAAGAACAGAAGAAGAGCTTGCTGAGTCAGGCCAATGGAACATCTAGTCCAGCATCCTAGAACCCTGTGCTTTGTAGCAGGGTTTTTTCCCCAGGAGATGGGACACACACACACACACACACACACACACACACACACAGGAATGTACAGATATATTTATTTACAACCCCCCAAAATAGAGTTTATGATACAGGCAAAATGCTGTTTCCCTATCCTATCTTGAGAAGTTGCTTGAAACAGAATTAGCATAGACAGTTAGTAGTTTCACTGTTCCATTCATTTCTGTAGAGATAAATAGGAGCCCTGGTAGCTTAGTAAATTAAATGCAATTTTTAAAAACACTGAAAAGGGAGATATGTAGATGAAGCACCATGGGGCAACTGATCCCATAACTATCGAAGAGCAGATGGATTATGAAATGATTCAAGTTTGCCAACATGTTTTACAAATATTTTTAAACAGCTCACAGCAACCCCACTGGCTTGGGAGAGTTCAAATAATTTTTAATCCAATTTTGTGTTTTCATACCTATCTGACTGTTTTTTTTCTTTTCAAATAGAGAATAACCTCATAAATGTATGAGGTTCTAAATGTAACTATTTACAAGAGCTTAAAACCATATTCTCCTTTTATATATGTAGCAATAAGACCATTATTTTTAATCTAAGTTTTCAGAGTTTTAACAGCTTGTATATATTATTGTTACTCACAAATCCTCTAGCTAACAACACTAAATGTTGTTACACTTTACTTGTGGATTTTATCACCACTGGACACCTAAGCCAATTCAGGTCCCAATGGGTAACAGAGGGGGAAAAGAATACAACTCAGCACACATCTACTTGGAAACAACAGGAATTACTTCCAGGTAAGTGCGAGAGAGAGAAAATACCTGTAAGTATCTTCTGGATACGTTTTTTGAACATAGTCTTGTAACTCCATCTGAGCTTTCTCCTGGAATTTTTCTATTTGGCTGGAGCTTGTGAGACCAGGGTGATCTAAAGAAAACACAAACATGTAATTGTGCATTTACTTGACATTTATTTTTAGAAAGAATCTTCTGTTGAAATACTTCCAGAGGCAATATATGCTATCGCATGACTTTCTGCTTTCCACAGAAAATAAGCAGGTTGGCCTCTACACAAAATAAATGGAAACAAATCTGACATTAGAAATAGTAATATTTCAGTCTCTTGTGACACTCAAATATTTGTGTGCCATTTATACATTCTTTTAAAGTTATTTCAAAATATTTATATACTGCCTGTCATATAAACATTATCAGGTAATGCACAAAAGTAAAAACAATGAAAATATAAAAAGGTAAAGGGACCCCTGACCATTAGGTCCAGTCGTGACCGACTCTAGGGTTGCGGCGCTCATCTCGCTTTATTGGCCGAGGGAGCCGGCGTACAGCTTCCGGGTCATGTGGCCAGCATGACTAAGCCGCTTCTGGCGAACCAGAGCAGTGCAAGGAAACGCCGTTTACCTTCCCGCCGGAGCGGTACCTATTTATCTACTTGCACTTTGACGTGCTTTCGAACTGCTAGGTTGGCAGGAGCAGGGACCAAGCAACGGGAGCGCACCCTGTCGCGGGGATTCAAACCGCCAACCTTCTGATCGGCAAGTCCTAGGTTCTGTGGTTTAACCCACAGTGCCACCCACGTCCCGAATGAAAATATACAGTAGACTAAAAACACAAAAATATTTAATATTCTTCACACTAAAGTCTCTTCAAGATAAGAAATGATTACTATACATGAAACTGGGAGACAAATTACAGAGTTAAATATTAGAAGATGACTGCACTGTTAATTTGCTTCTTAAACAGTACAAATTTATTGTAAGTTGGGTGTAATAGGTAATAGCATTTTCCTTTATAATTTTTAAAATTAAAAGCTACCAGACATATTTCTGTTAATATTCCACATCCAATACAAAACATTGTCAGCTTTGCAAACAAAGCCTTCTCCCAAACTTTAGATGTCCTGCACAATTCAGCTCTTTACTCAAAATCAACAGCGGAGGGCCAGTTTTGTCATCAAGTATTTCTTCTGACACAAGGACAGGTAATGTCTCTGCAGACTGCATCCCACGCTATTAATGTTTCCTCCTGGAAAGCCTAAGTTAGCACAAGTGGTGTGCAGGCTGTAGAAAAACTGTAGCAGACTGGTTGCAATCCACCAGCCTTACACTGTCTGCTTTAGGGTTATCCTCAAGTGTATTACTGAGTATTTCATGCTGCTGGGGTTATTCCAGATGTGGACAGATGAAATAGCAGCAAAAGGGTGGATTGATGATATAGCTTTTAAGAAAGCGTCTGGCTAATACTTTGATATTAAACATAAGTAAATCCCAATAAAACCAAAAGGAAAAATAAACAAAAATATGTCAGTTAATTGAACTATATTATGAAGTACCTTCATTCGTAGCATTTTCTTCAGCATTGGATTTAACTGGTGTCAGAGTATTAAAGGTAAAGGTACCCCTGCCCGTACGGGCCAGTCTTGACAGACTCTGGGGTTGTGCGCCCATCTCACTCAAGAGGCCGGGGGCCAGCGCTGTCCGGAGACACTTCCGGGTCACGTGGCCATCGTGACAAAGCTGCATCTGGCGAGCCAGCGCAGCACACGGAACGCCGTTTACCTTCCCGCTAGTAAGCGGTCCCTATTTATCTACTTGCACTCGGAGGTGCTTTCGAACTGCTAAGTTGGCAGGCGCTGGGACCGAGCAACGGGAGCGCACCCCGCCGCAGGGATTCGAACCGCCGACCTTTCGATCGGCAAGCCCTAGGCGCTGAGGCTTTTACCCACAGCGCCACCCGCGTCCCCACAGCGCCAACCGCGTCAGAGTATTACCCTCTTGTAAATTGAGCACCAAAACAGAATTTAAGAGAAGGGAATAATTACCAAATGCCTTACCAGGACTAAAGAGGACTATAGCTTTAAGGTAAGCATATTCATATCCATCAATATCAAGCTTAGCCATGCTATTACAGAACTCCTGAAGCTTCCAGATGTGTTCCATCACTTGTTTTATTCGGTCTCCGGAAAGTTTATCTACAAGTAGACATTACACATTCTCTTAACAGAGCGCAAAACTGTAAGTCAACCAACTATCTAGACTTTTTCAGATGACAACCAGTTTTAAACTGTTCAAACATATGCAGTCTTTCATGGAAAAATGTATCAAACTGCTAAATTTCATTCTTTTTTCCACATGTCTGGTTACTCAGTGAGTTTTAATTTGTAAACCAGAAGCTTCCATATGTACTGAATTACAGAGGCTTTGGAATATGACCAAATGTTCACTGGAGACCTAAGTGACTAGTTATTTGAAAGACAAAGCTTAATGTAATAATGACTGACAGTTTCCCTCTATAAATGCTTATTTAGAAATATATGCTTTATCTAGCAGACTGGAATCTTACCCTCATTTTTTGAATGCTTCATAGATTTAATTGAATGTTTCTATAACTCTCCTCCATATGCCAGAAACTTACCCCTTGCTATTTTGTTAACAGTGGACAATCTGAAAATTAATGAAGCAGTGTATGAGGTAAGGAGGTGGTTCTAGTTGGGAAACTATAGTATTGGTGCCAGGCTGAAGCGTGTAAGGGGGAAAGATGGAATGGGTGTGATAACATTTCAAGACTGTTGACTCCTTCATGCTATTTTCAATTTTTTCTTAAAATGATTGAGGAAAATCCAATCTTTGTTGTAATTTATCAGAATTTAAGAGCACTTGACATTTTTCTTTAGATGATAGGTATAATGTTGGGGACTTTAAATTGTAAAGGTTTGTGGAATGATTCCTTCTCAGTATGAGGCATTTTTTTGGTCTTTATATTGCAACATTTGCATTTATGCAAGTCAATGCAAAAGAGCAGTTGCCATTTGTAGAAAAAGATTCTGAACAGAAAGTTGCCATTCAATAACTAGTTCCCCATTTTCCTCTGTTAAGAACTGCATGCTGCATGACCTATATATAAAATAAGCAAAGTTCACTATTTCCTAAATATTTTCCTTGGCCTATGTTGGTAATAACTGTAGATATTTATGACTCTTCTGCCACCATATTGAAAACCTTTAATCTACATTTGTTAAACAGTGCACAAATAGCAGGCTGCAAGTTGTCCTTTTCTCTTGATCAAAGAATAGCAATGATCTTGCTGTTTAATCTAAACTACACCCCAAATCTTGGGGCAAGAAACATTGCTTTAATTACTCTATCTATCCATGGCCTTCAAAAATTGGTTTAACTCAAAAGGCAGTGCACTACAACCATACAGTTGCAGCAAGCTCTCTTATCTACTGTGATCCTTTGCTTTCCACGAGGCCAGTAATTTCACTGTGCCTGTTCTTTCCACAAATCTGGGATGCTGGAAAATCTTACAGCCCTACACTTAATCAAACGTAGGGCACCTACCTCTCCATGGCCTCTGAATATCCTGCCTCTTTCCTTGCCCAGAGGAACTACATCAGTTCTGTTGTTTTTGAGGGCTTTGCTTGGGGGCGGAACCTGCCTATTATAATTAAGTTTGAAAGGATTTAACAAATTAAATCAGTAAATGCTGGTAACTGCTAACTTTATTTTTCTAGACCCATAACAAGCACAAGACAGCCAAAACCAAACCCATCATACTAAAAAGTTCTCCTGTAGATACATGAGCCTGCAACTTAGTAATATAGTATTACGGTTCTAGCAGATGGTTTTTGTACAACAACTGATATTTCTGTTATCTGCTGGGCAAAGGCAGCACTCTTGGGACAGACTCTGCTATATCCAGAAATGAAAGTAGGCAAGAACAGAAAGGTATGGAATTCCAGATGTACATTTTACTCATGTTTATTACTAAACATTGACCTTTTTTTTTTGCAAACCATGTAAGGTATTCCACAGTTCAGAATCTCTACATCCAGTAGGTACTCTCCAACTGGTACCTATTCTCTTTGGAAAGAATTAAGCCAAAATTCATGCATGACACTGTTGTTTCTCAGATAGTTTTTCTAGTGCAGTTAAGTGGCTATTCATTGGCTTTCATACAGTAATTGTTACTGTCAAGTGCCTATTAAATAGGCTACAATCATTGTTCCACATTTAGAGCTCCATTTAAAACTTCTGCCTATAATTTTAAAAATAAACACAAAAAGCCAAAGGACTCTTGTGTTTTTCTGAAGAACTATTTGATTTGGTTTCATAAATCTACTATGAAAATCAGTAAATTCTTCAAGGAAACCTTTATGACAGAAAACAAATATGTGCACAAGAGAATAAATATTACAGTGGTTGGTGTATTCCCCTCTGCCTTGCTGAGTGGGCAAGGTTTCCTCATCAACCACTATGTAGCAGCTGAATGTACGACCCAACATGTGTGATCCATGCCTTGTTGTTAGTGAAACATTTTTTCTAGAAACAACTTAGTAAAATTTTATTCCCACCCAACAGATGCTTTTAGCCCCTAGATTCTATACACATATACTTGGAAGGCAAGTCCTAATGACATGATTACAACTTGTTAACTGTGCTTAGAATCACAGCTTTAAAAAATAGCCACACATACCTTCCTGTATGCTGTTCTGTAGATGGTTGACAATGGCTGCCAGAATAGTTGACAAGCTCATCACCTGTGCGCATTGGGCAAGGCCTAACGTAAACAGTTCATTCCAGCATGCACGCACGAGGCTTGTATTACAGTCCTGCCTAAAGGTGCAAAGGCAAATAAATATAGTAAGATTTATCAGTATCATTTTTCTGCATAGATTATAATTCTTTTTTGTAACTACTGAACATTAGAAGAAGAAGAGTTTGGATTTGATATCCCTCTTTATCACTACCCTAAGGAGTCTCAAAGTGGCTAACATTCTCCTTTCCCTTTCTCCCCACAACAAACACTGTGTGAGGTGAGTGGGGCTGAGAGACTTCAGAGAAATGTGACTGGCCCAAGGTCACCCAGCAGCTGCATGTGGAGGAGCGGAGATGCAAACCCGGTTCCCCAGATTACGGGTCTATCACTCTTAACCACTACACCACACTGGCTCTCACACTGGCTCCATTAGGATTTTATTGTAGGTAAGTTTATTTTATGCAACAGTATTACATGCAATGTTTGACTGGCTCGTGTTGCTATGCTGAAAAGAATGGTGGGATTTGTGTTAGCTTGTAGGAGGGCAAATGTTCCCATTCAAAAAACAGTTACAGCTGGAAGAAAAATTGTCCTGAAAAATGGACAATATGGCCGCTGCTTACAAAGTCCCTTGCTTGCTCCCCTCATTCCAAACATGTTTTGAGATCCTACCCCCATCTTGGTAGTCTCCATGCTGAATAGCAACACAGAAAATGTAATATTACATACGAACTTACAGTCAAGAAAAAACCACAGAATCAAGAGAGGGAGAAAAGAAGTCACAGGCAAAATATCTGACAAACAGAATATCAGCAGTTATGCAATACACTACTTCATAGCCTGTGCCAAAATGTTCCCAAGTTCTACAGAAATCTTCAAAACACGATAAAAAGTCAGTAGAATCTTGATTACAGAAAGAAAACCGTAGAACCCTTATTTAAAATAATGTGCTGGTTACTTTGAACTGCTTAAGCTCCCTCCCACAATAGACATAAAATAGTCTAGCAAAATACACAATAGGATCTGTGTAAGATTTTCTGATGGTTTAACTGAAATTGATAGCCGCATTACTAAACCATGGTTTACACAAGAGGCCGCTAATGTGGTGCCCAGGAGGTCTTCCTTGGTGCCTGAGAAGCTTCTGAGCTCCCACCTCCCATTCACTGTCCCCTTGGTCATGAGATGGTGAGGGTTGTTACCTCTTCTTCCTTGAAGAGGGCTGAATGAGGAACTTGCATATTTCCACTTCCTCTTTCATCTCTATGAGCTTTCCAAGGTTCAGGTCAATTCTAAAGTGTGCATATAGGTACTTTCTTTCTCGTCTGTGTGTGATTAGGAGGGGTGGCACCCCCAGCACTTGCTCAGAAATCCAAATGTACCCATGGGTATAAAAATATTGGCAACCTTGGATTAGCACAGTGTTCATGAACCTAGCCTCATAGGGATTGCACTTTCCCCTCCTCTCTTTTTTCCAGGAGGACACTGGAAACCTTTATTTAGCTTTTCCTCCAGCTCAGCATATTGTTGCATCTGAATTTGGGGTTGTGGTTTAACAAAGAATTTAGTTTCAGCAAGTCAGCTTTATAACCCAGAAGCACATGAACCAATAACAAACTAAGGGTGAAAGGAATATGGGGTGTTGGAAAGGCTTTGGTAGGAAGGGGAAATAGAGACTGGGATATATAAGGAGATGGAAAAGATTGAGTTGAGTCTAGAGAGAACTAAGTGGGGACATGGAAGAGTCAGGAGTCTGACAGGTGGAAGAGTGAGGTGTCATTTGATGTGTGATAATTTCATTCTTCACAGCTAGTTTAGATTGAGAAGATCCCTCCAATTCCTTATGTAAAAAATTAAAAAGAAATCATCTGCTCACCCTAGTGCTTGAAAAGCAGGAATGGATCTAGCCCAGTGCATGGAAAGAAAAAGTAAGCGGGATGCTGACTCACAAATGTAATGCACATTCAGATACTCTGGCATTGGGCTTGGCATGGTTAACTGTAAGAGAACAGAAATGTACATGTATAAAAGCCCATTTTCATCAATTCTTTTAAAAATCGTTAATAGATGCGTTTTGGATACAGAACATGCTCAGAGCCTTTCATTATGAAACCATAAATATACCATATGCCTTTATACTTTATAGTGTAAATTTTTTAAACGTTCAAACTCTGTAACAGTTTAATCCAGCTTTCTTAATATAAAGTCTGCCCCATTAAAATGACAGCTCAAATGAAGCCACACTTTGTATTCAGAAAGAATTGGTTTGAATTTAAATTAGGGTCTGCAATACAGTTAGGGATAACACTTCAAGACTGTGAATATAGCGTAACTCAGGTACAATGCATAAAACTATTAGCAATTTGAAAGGTCTGAAATTTACACATATATTGTGAATTCATTTTTGTATTTTACAGATGTCTGGCATTTGGTACATAGTCATAAAACTCTTCCATTTTATAGTCAAGTAATGTGTCCTGCTCTCAAATTTTACGAAGCTGGAGAACTTTTTCAATCAAAAAACTTCAGTAGCTGCCAGAAAGCATGTGTGGTCACATGTATTTAATTTACCATTGGGGTTTAAGGGGTAACCCGTTGCTCCCTCCTTTATAAATTGTAATATGGGCATCAGCTGAAGAGATTCCAATGAAATAGTTAACTCTCAAGGAAAACAGACAGCATGGGAAGTGAAGATGATGTTCACTGACTTATTTTTGCTTGTTAAAAGTTGTCGTGGTTTTTTTTTTAAGAGCTTCTTGGCATATTTGCCCAAATAAATTAAGGGAACACACACACCTTAAATGTCACATGAGTATCTGTAAGGAGGGGTCCTTCAACTTCAATGATTGGCGTAGACTGATCCCTACTGATTACATGAATGTTCCCACCACCTGTGGGATCCATCCCATCTGCCAGATTCTGAGCCGTTGCTCCATCTGTGGTGTTAAGTGCTTTAGCCAAAGTATCAAATGCACTGCAAAGAAGAGTAAGTCTATTAAAATATAATTATACTTATACTTATACTTCTGTCACTTATACTTCTGTAAACAGATACATATAATATGTATCAATAGTGAATTAATTATCTGGCCTGCTTAACATGTCATGCATGGAGAGCCAAACTATAGTTACCAGGGCTGTGCAAATGTGTGGGTTCCCAAAGAGAAACCTGCAGCTGCATTTCTCCTTCCTGGTCTTTTTTTTTACTCTTTTGCGGTGCTGAGCTGAACCAAAGGTTGGCTTAGTGTGTTGTCTGAATGTACGCTCATGGTCAAGCTGTTTCTTCACTACTGAAGAACTATAAAGGTAAAGGTAAAGGTAAAGGTACCCCTGCCCGTACGGGCCAGTTGTGTCCGACTCTAGGGTTGCATGCTCATCTCGCTCTAGAGGCCGTGAGCTGGCGCCGTCCGAAGACACTTCCGGGTCACGTGGCCAGCGTGATGAAGCTGTAGCTGGCGAGCCAGCACCAGCGCAGCACACGGAAACGCCGTTTACCTTCCCGATATAAAGCGGTCCCTATTTATCTACTTGCACTTAAGAGTGCTTTCGAACTGCTAGGTGGGCAGGAGCTGGGACTGAACGACGGGAGCTCACCCCGCCGCGGGGATTCGAACCGCCAACCATACGATCGGCAAGTCCTAGGCACTGAGGTTTTACCCACAGTGCCACCCGCGTCTTGACTATAGTCAAGATTTATTCAGGCAACACAGCAAGCCACAGGTTGGCTTAGCTCAGTGAAGCAGTAAAAAAGTCCAGGAAGGAGTAAAGCAGCTGCAAGTTCCTCTTCAGGAGCCCACATAAGAATATAAGAAGAGCCGGCTGGATCAAGCCAATGACCCATCTAGTGGGCAAATGCCTGTGTGAAAGAAGGATTCAAGCACAAGAGCATTATCCCTTCCTGTTGCTTCCAGCATCCGGTTTTCACTACTGCCTCCAATTGTGGAGGCCAAATATAGCCATCATGGATAGTGGCCATTGCTAATTCCTCTCCTCCTCTGTCTAATTCGTTTTTATAGCCACATAGGTTGGTGGTCATCACTGCCTCCTGGGGAGCAAATTCCAGAGTTGAACTATGTGCTGCGCGAAGAAGTACTTCTTTTAACTGTTTTGAATCTTCCAATGTTCAACTTCATAGGATCCCCACAAGGTTCAAGTGTGCCCTTTTCTGAACCTTTTCCAATTTCACAATACCTTTTGAGGTGAGTCAACTAGAACGGTACACAGTATTCCATGTGAGGTAACACCACAGATTTGCATAATGGCTTTATGATGTCAGTTTTATTTTTGGTGTGGTCCTGGTAACCCACAGTTCGGCTTACTGTGACATGCGAACCAGGCCACTGAGTACTTATCCTTTCATTACCAAAATGGCAACTTCTACACACAAAAGGGAGGTATAAGAACTCCAAGGGCTGAATTCCCCACCCCCACTTTCCAAAGACTGAACATTGTCAGTGAATGAAATGAAACAAAATGGCTGGAACTCTGAATAGAAGCATTCCACACTGAAAGTTTTTGTTCTAGGTCACACTTGTATCCATTACAAACTTAAAGAAAGTCTCTGTAGTAGAATCCCATGACTAGAAAACAGCAAATTAGAAATAGTTTAATAGAAAATCCCTTCACTGTCATAGTATCTTCACAGCAGCATTCTGTTATCTTGCTATTTATAACCCATTCCCTGAAATGCTAAACAGAGTAATTAAAGTTATGCAGGTTGAAGACAGAATCTAAATATAGAACTTGACAGTGATGCTTTAATATAAGGCATTGCCTATTATCCATAGCCTGGCATGCTGCTGCTCTAGTTTATTCAGTTAACTAACTACATATAATGGACTGGGAGATAATTAAGTTTTTAATATGAAGTACCTACCGAGTGATCTCACTTGCAGATTGGTCTTCTTGTGGAATTTCAGAAGTGTCTCCATTATTAAGCGACTCATTGAGACTGGCAAGTGAAGTTACAACATTTGCTAGCGTCCCCAAGGCACCTTGGCTTGTCTCAGCCTACAAAAGAAATATATATATATATATATATATATATATATATATATATATATGTAAAGAATATGTGTTAAGTCAACTTATTTATTAAAACCATTATGCCACTTTCCCAACATGGCAATGGAGAGAAAATCAATTTAAAACTACATTGAAAAAGAAAAAAGAGAAAAATAAACAAAATATATATTGTCCAGTTGATTGAGCCAAGTCTTTTTTCTTCATTGCTGGGATATGCTCTACTCCACACAATCATCCTACAATAGTTTTACTGAGCTGTGCTCCTTGTGAGGAATGATGTATTCATATATATCTGCACAGAAAGCACCTTATTGAAGCAACAAAATATGGACTGTACAGTGAAATCTACGGAAGATACCTTGGAATCTGTAGCCAGGAGAACTGTACCATCTTCTCTTATTAGCGGCTGCTGAATATTCACAAGCATCCCTGAATCAAGAAGGCCAGCTGATCTGTTCAAAAAAGGGGAGCATGAGTAATAATCTATTATTAAAGAACTACACCATTTCCCTTTCAGATAATTAAAAGTAGTGGCATGCCTTTCAGTTTTGATAGATTTCTCTATCAAAGTATCTTCAAGTTTGAAAGCAGGATAGCTAATCCATGGCACTCCAGATATTGTTAGAAGCCAATTCCTGTCAGCCCCAGCCAGGGATGACTGGAGTTGTCATGCAACAACATCTTGAGGGCCACAGGTTAGTCACCTCTGATTTAAAATGTGAATATTGGCTATTCTCCTATAGACAGGTAAACACTTTAGGACTTGGACCCAGATATCCTGTAAGCAGTCCACTCATGCAATGGCCACATTGCTGAGAAGGAGTAGAACGATTTTTACCAATTTATCCTCTACCTTGTATGCCGCCCCCCCCCCCGAATGTGGACTAGAAGTTTAGGGGATCTTTCTGGAACAGGGTGAGTGGCTACTTGGGAGGGAGACTGCAGAAGGAAGAGGAAATTCAGTAAAAATCACTTCCCCACTTGCTCCAGCAAGAGCCTTTGCTGGATCACAACGCCTTCTGTGAAAGAAAGAGGCCCTTTCATTTTGCATGATACAACAGAGATGAGCACATGACAAGTCTTTGTCTCAGGGAGTTTACAATATCAGAGCCTCATTTCAGCCTGAACAGTACAAATCCTGTGAGGCAAGGTTCTGTCATACATTAAGCTGTATTGTGTCCTTTATAAGAATAAGAAGCTATATTTTCTTATTAACATCATGACTTAAGACAGGTAGCATCCAAGTAAGTACGTATGGGAAGTTCCATACTGATACATTATAATAGCATTTGAACTCACAAGAAAGAACCATCTCAAAACTAGGGACTAATTAGAAACCAATTGAGTCACATTTTAAATGCTATCTTCTATTTCTGTGACTTTGAAAGAGCTCAGAATTACATACACCTCAGTAAGATTCATTTGTCACATACCTAGCCCCATCTTTATCTGCTACAAAAGTTGGGGTTGCTATTAGAGGACTTCTCAAGTCCTTTCTGATATAGATTTTTTCTGTTGAAGCAGCACAGTTCGTTGGCTTCTCACGTTGCACATCAAATGGCTTCCTTTCGCTCTGTACAGCTAAATCACATAAAGATACAGAGCTTTAAAAGTAAATCATTCATTCAAAGACTTGTAAAACATGTAAATTCTTAAAGCAAGACTTTAGCTTGTGTAGTCTTAGCTCAGTTTGGTTCAGTGAAAGTGAATGCTTTGCACCAGTTACAGTTCTACCCAATAGTTCTATCCAATAGTTCAATCTCAGAAATGTGGAGATGGCTGATTACTGGTGGCACTGTGGTCTAAACCACTGAGCCTCTTGAGCTTGCTGATTGGAAGGTTGGCGGTTCAAATCTGTGCAACGGGGTGTACTCCCGTTGCTCTGCCCCAGCTAGCAGTTCTGCCAACCTAGCAGTTTGAAAGCACGCCAGTGCAAGCAGATAAATAGGTACCACTGTGGTGGGAAGGTAAACGGTGTTTCCGTGCACTCTGGCACTATGAATCATACCTAAACCAGGACTGGATACCTGCAGACATGGCAGCATTATTAAGCATAATAGATACCTACAAAGCAGCTTCTATTCAGTAAATAGTGACCTCATTGCTTCTACCATCGTATAACTTTCATGTCCATCCTAGACATTACTCATCACTGTCAAGCCATGCCATTTTACATAGTAGTGTTCCAATGTTCTGCCTAGTTGTACTGTCAGGCTACTGGATCTCATGCCCTGTGTTTTCTTATTTCTTATCATACTGCAATTTTTCAAGGTATCTGACCATTAGATACACCTTTCACTATGAATAGCATCTTAGCTATTTTTGTAATGTGATTGGAATTTTATCAAACCTCAACCACTGCTGCTACATGGTTGAAGTAACAAAAAACATTTTAAGTCATTTAATGCTTATTTCTAACATTCACAATGCAAATGATCCAAAAACTATGGCTTAGAATATAAAACATTAAATAAATTTTGATTTTGGATAATAAAATTTAAAAAAAGAACAATAGAAATTGATTTTACCCACAAGCCTCTAAACTATACTTGACAGAACAGGCTGTTTGTCTATGAATATCTATCACTTGATAGACAAAGAACCACCCTGTGTATTTTAGACTCACATTCCATTTTCATTCCCATCTCAAGGCATTTTTTTAGCCGACAAAACTGGCAGCGATTCCGATGGTGTTTATTGATGATACAGTCCTGGTTGCTACGGCAACTATAGGTCAGATTTTTCCTCACACTCCTTTTAAAGAAGCCTTTGCATCCTTCACAACTGATAGCACCATAGTGACGACCTAAAAAAAAGCCAGAAATTAAGAATATACAACTAATGTGACAGGAAGATGGATTTTAGAACTATTTTTATAATATGCAGGGTACTTTGTTCAGATGTTGCTGTGGTTTGCTTTTCAGTTTTTTCACATTTTTAATATGCATTGTATTCCAATCAGAAGAAAATCCTCAAGTATTTGCATGCATTTTCAGGTTTCACACAAGTCTCATGCTATTCTGTTAGTTAGACTGGGGTGTATTTTGTGCTTAAACCCATCAGTGATGTACTAGTATGGTTCTAAAATGGTTATTCATAGCATTTATTTTATTTAGAATATTTCTTATGGAGCTTTTCAGCCTGAAGGCAGCCCAACAGCATTCAAAACACAATAAAACAAGGTTTAAAAGTAGAAAACACAGAACAGTTAAATATATGCCAGTGTAGGGCCAGCTTAACTCATAATCTAAGTCATGGGCAAATGAAACACATCAGACTATAAGCCCAATCTCCTTGCCAGGGTGGAAGACTTGAAAAGGGGCCTCTGAGGATGATCGTAACATTGAGGCAGATTCATGTGGGAGAAACAGGTCCTTAAAGTACCCTGGTCCCACATTTGAGGCATTTATAGTTAATAAGCTGTGGGTTTCTTGTAAGCAAAAAGTCTTCACCATATAACCTTAAAGGTTACATCAATATTTTCAACTGTGACCAGAAACAGATCAGGGCTTTAAGATTGGCATGATGTATGCTGCATTTGTCTGGCTCCCAGTCAGCAATTTAGCCACTGAATTTTGTGCAGGAGTGGCTGACATGGCAGGAAGGGGCCACAGCGCCCCTTGATGGCAGCAACCCTAAAGGGTGGGGCAGAGTGGTGGTCAGGTTGGGGCTGCACAGGTGCACTGATACATCCAAGCAGTCTTGACCTTGCCAGTGACCTTTCACCCCTGTCTAGGTAAAGAACAGTGATGCTGCTGCTGGGTGAGTGCCTACACCATGTTGGCCGCTCCTGATTTTGTGTCAGCATTAGGAGTCCTCATGTTGCATGGCACAAATTAACCATTAATAAGAGAAAACCTCTCTTAGGGGGGTAATGTTGTTTGGCATGAGTTTTTGGTGCTGTTTCTTCAAACAATGTCCCTCCTATGATTGTTAGGCAGCAATGAGTTGACTAAAACAAGGTGGACAGCTGAAGTGGCATTAATGCTGAATTCTGCATTAAAAAAATGAAAACTTAGCCCTATGCCAGATTTTGAATTTATGTATCTACCCACAGATATTCAGAAAGCAGAAAATGCTATCTATGCTTTCATTCAGCTCAGGAAACAAGAATGGCCTTGTTATTGTGTTTCTGTTGCTAACTGGTGTGATGTACGTAGGAGCGTCAAAATATTAGAATTTGAAGTTAAAGTAGTAGAGGAGACTATATTTGGAATAATCCCCAGGCTTACTCTGATGGTGATAAATACTGTATTTTCTGAGGGTTGTATATTTGGATTGTAAGCTTGAGTTGTGCTTGCATAAGGATCAAGATGTATAACAGCTCTTAGGGGTTGATTTTAAACTTCCATCTGTTGTGAAGCTGCTATCCCAGGCACATCCAAATGTGGCCAGGCAATTCATGTCATCAATCAGAAGCTTCCTCAACACCACCTATGCCATGTAGCAGCTTATTCTTCTTCAGGCCCTCAGAATATTGCTACTTACTCTCAGGAGAAAGTGGAATAGAACTACACTCTGCTGGGCAATATCTAGCTTGAGCTGTTTTGCCAGAACAATGTTCTAGAATCAAATTCATCTGTTTAACAATCCACAAGTGCCATTTTTTGACATCAGTGAACACAGTCAATTTCTTGCACCGCATCTAATAATTCTCCTACAGAACATACCTGATGCCTTGTCTCCACAGACAACACAATATTCTACTACTTGGGGTCGCTGGACATCAGTTTTAGCCAACAAACGTTCCACAGAGGCAGAGTCAGTCACAATCTAAAATGAAATATTTAGAAGGCTTACAGTGCCACTCTCCATCTCAAATTAAACAATTAAATGAAAAAGGAGCTGCCTAAATATTTTAAACATAGTTGTATCAGAAGAAGTCCCATTCAAGTTAACATAGAAGAAAAGTGAAAGTAATGACACGATTTTAGGTACTTTGCAAAGAAAGAAGAAAGGGGGGAAGTATGGAGACTCTGGAAAGGGAGATGTTCTATGCAGAAGTAGCAGCAGTGAGTAAGTAACAAAAATGCAGAAAAAATGAGATTTGAAAAATAATAAAATGGATAAATATGAATACAGTGAGAAAAAAGGGGGGAAAGATACAGAGGTTCAGGCATGGTTTGAAGACAATGTGATAAACCTTATATTGGATTAACAACAGGCCAATGGAAAGAGAAAAATCACATTAGTGGCAGCTCCACAACTAAATGTTTTCTGGCTAGCATCATATGGCAGGCTTGCTCCATACATTCCTAATCAAGCCAAAAGTCTTGCAGACTAGCATGCCCTTAAGGCAATCTTCTGGAGGCAATTTTTATAACTCCGTTCTATATCTTATTGCCATCTCCTTCTGGAGAGCTGTTGAATTGGTGTTTGGAGTGACTAGCCTGAAATTAAACCTGGACAAGGCAGAGGTACTATCAGCCAGTAGGCCTACTAGAATAGGGATAAAATATCAGTCTATTATGGACAGGATGCACTCCTCTTAAGATCAGGCCTAGGAGTACTTCTGGATCTGGTCTTGTTACAATATGTTCAAGTGGCCTGCAGTACTTTTGTGTGCAGCTTCAGCTGGTGTGCCAGCTCTGCCCATTACTGGTGCAGTCAGACCTACCATTGGTCCAACATGCATTAGTCGCATATTGACTAGACTACTGTAACATGCTCTATGTGGAGCTACCCTTGAAAAATTCCATTCAATTCAATTGGTGCTGAATGCTGCCAATAAAAAATTCATGGGGCAAACTGGTGTCTTACTGTATCAGCTGCCCCGGCTGCCCCTTCAGTTCTGAGTGCAATTCAAGGTGCCAGTTATTCTTAAAGCTCTGAACAGTTTAGAATCAAACTACCCACTCTTCCCATGTGAATTACCCTATCCTTTAAGACCAGCTGTTCTGTGACAATGTACAAGAGTTTTCTCTGTGGCAGCACCTGAAACTCCCTGCTCCCAAATAACATCCTATTTGCATTCTGCCAGTATTTTGAAGATGTCTTTGACTTGCTTGTTACTTAATTTAATTTATTTATTGTTCTGGCTCTCATTGCTCTTGGTCTCTCAAGCTGCTTTTTGTCTTAGTTTTTTGGTAACCTGTTTTAATTATGGTTTGTTTTATTATTGTGCTTGTTTTTATATTTTGTTAGCCACTTTGAGTGAAGAAGCAGGATATAAATTATTGTATAATTAAGTAAATAACCCTGCGAGGAGCTGATCAGTAGCCACCTCAACATTTTTTTCAGATAAAACAAGCAATCCTTCAACAGTAAATCATTTTAGATGAATCAGATTGTAACAAGACATGTTATAACTGACCATAAAGCATATCCATTGAATCAGTATATATAACAATCCAGGAAAAACTATATACCTTCTGCCACATATAACATATAACTCATTCTCAGATACAATTATTTTTGTTTAGCATTCATATTTATTTATTGTGGTGAATATGATTACTTTTTGTTTCACGTGTACATCTTATACTTGCTGCATATATCATCCCATGAAACAAACATTTTATTTTTAATAAGCTATGCAATGTTTCCTTTGCTTAATGGCTGACACATATACCCTTATTTAATTGCTGTGTTTACCTGTATTCTGCCTGGCACAATGTTATCTGTGGTGGTGAAGATAAGTTGCTTGGTATTAGAAGCCTCAGGTGCAGCCAATATCACTTTGCCTGTTCCTGTTCCGTCTGGACTAGCCAATATAAACTGCTGCTTTGGGGAAACTGATGAGTCCACTGCTGTTACTATTTGGATTTTCTGCCCTGTTTGCTGATCTGTGACAATCTATAACAAAAATGGAAATATTTTATCATGTGAGATTTAACAATTTAGTAGAATCATATTTTATAACTTCATAAAGTGTTGTTTCCCCTCCACTGCTAGGTTATATGCACAGTTTGGCCACAAAAGGGTATAGAAGAAGTAAAAAAAATTATGTACATGTTATGTGTGTGACAACTCAGAATGCAAATCAGTATGGAATATGAATTGGCTACATCCAATTGGTGCATTTGCACAAGTGCAAAGACTTCTGATCCAGGAAGAAGTGGATCAGTAGAAGAGACTATTTTTGTATGTTTTCTCTCCCCACTACAGCCCACAATTCCCCCTGAAATTTTGTTTTGAAGGGTCCCAAAACAGGTTTTTCTTTTGAGGGAGGGGGATGCTGGACTGCAATAGAGGGGAGGAAACTGGCCTCCCCATCTCCATTAGTAGATGCCTCATTTGGAACAACAGTGCTAGAAGGACCAACTGGATTCCACCCAATGCACACACTATCCACAGTGCACAAATAAGCAAGAATAATTTCTTTGGCGAGATGTAAACATAAAATACAGTTCCAATAATGAAACAAAACCTGGCAGTAGTTAATTAATAATTATTAGTAATAATACTGTCTTCTTACTAAGGATGAAACTGAACACATAGAAGAAAGAGCTAGGACCAAGTGACATGGATGGCAAGAAAGCTGCTGCAGTGCCTGCAACATCTGTGCCATGCTTGTCTTTCTGCCTGAGAATGTGCAAAACTACACCTGAACCAAGAAAACTCACACCTGCAGAGATACTGTAACTCATACTTGAGTTGTTGGGCAAGATGAGGAATTTCTTGATAGAGCAGAGTGGGCTGTCCTGGAACAGTGAGGGGTGCCCCTGGGAAGTGAGAAGACTGTCCAATGCATAAGACAAACAACTGAAGGAATAGGACATACAGAAGCAGGACTGTCAGAAGCCATGCTCTGTCACTGGAGCTGCAAAACTGATTACATGCCCCCATCTCGGACACTGATTCTGGACCAGAGGAGCAAGGACAGCAGTTGAAGACCTCAGTACTTGAGGTAGCTCTGTAAGGTACAATGTACAGAAGAATTCCTGTCGCTTCTCAGATGAGGAAGAGAGATGAAATGGTGATTCCCTACTGAAGGGGACTGAGACAGTAGTGTGCGGAGCTAACAGGAGGTGTGCTGTCTTTCAGATGCAAAGATTCACAATGCGACAGAGACGTCTTATAAAGCCTACTGACCTCAACCCTTTCCTGATGATTCATGTGGGTACAAACAATACTGCTAGTATCAACACACCCTTGATGTATAACAAGGGACTATGAGACTCTGAGTAGGAAGCTGACGGGCCTTGGGGCTCAGGTGTTTTTTTCTGGTTTTCCTTCCTGTTGAAGGTTGTGGCCCAGGAAAAAACTGGAAGTAAACCACTGGCTGCACATGTGGTGTCATCAGGAAAGGTTTGAATTCTTGTACCACGGTCTCCACTTTGTTGAAGGAGGACTTCTGGCAAGAGATGGATTGCACCTTATGGTGGTTGGCAAGAATGTGCTTGCTAAGAATCTTGTGAATCTGATCAGGAGAGATTTAAACTAAAACTTGAGGGGGAGGGAGACAATAGTACAGACAGGAGAACAGCTGGTACTGGGGATAGCAGCTTCACTGATGCACAGGAAACTGAGGTGGTGCTATAGCAACCTATCAAAGGGCAGGAAACTATAAGAAGAAAACAGCTGGAGGGAATGACACATGGTTTCACTTGTCTCTAGACCAGTGTTTCCCAACCTTGGGCCTCCAGCTGTTTTTGGACTACAACTCCCATCATCCCTAGCTAGCAAGACCAGTGGTCAGGGATGATGGGAATTGTAGTTCAAAAACAGCTGGAGGCCCAAGGTTGGGAAACACTGCTCTAGACTACTGCACAGAGAATGGGAAGCAAGGTGAATTTGAGCTCTTAATACAGGATGGCAAATATGAGCTAATAAACATTACTGAAACCTAGTGGGATGAGACACTTGGCTGGAATGCAGAAATTGAGGGGTATAACCTATTCAAAAGGAATAGACCAAATAGGAAGGGGTGAGGGGTAGCATTTTGTGTAGTGTACGCTTGTGAAGAAATCCATGACTTGGCACATGCAAGGCGGATTGAGAGCATTTGGGTAAAAAATGTAGGGGCGGGGAAACAACAACAGTGACATAACTGTTAAAGACCTCAAAGCTAAACTGAAGACATTTGACAAAGTCCCCCATGATATTCTTGTGGAGAAGCTGATAAAATGTGGGCTGGACAAGATTACTGTTAGGTGGATTTGTAGTTGGTTAACTGACCAAACCCAAAGAATACTCACTGATGGCTTCTCATCATCCTGGAAAAAAGCAACAAGTGGGAGCCACAGGATTCTGTCCTGGGCCATTGTTGTTCAACGTCTTTATATATGACGTGGATGAAGGAATTGAGGGGATGTTCATCAAATTTGCAGATGACACCAAACTGAGAGGGGTAGCAAATGCTACAGAAGACAGAATTGGAATTCAAGATGACCTCAACAGATTGGATAACTGGGCCCAAACAAACAAAACTAATTCCAATATGGACAAGTGTAAGGTTCTGCACTTAGGCAGAAAGAACCAGCTGCACAAAAATAGGGGACACCTGGCTTGCCATGTGAAAAGAATCTACAGGTCTTAGTAGACCACAAGCCTAACACAAGCCAACAGTGTGATGCAGCAGCAAAATAAAAGGCTAATGCTATTCTAGGTTGCTTCAACAGAAGTCTAGCTCCAGATCAAGGGAAGTCATAGTAACACACACTTCTGCCTTGGTCAGACCACATCTAGAAAACTTTGTCCAGTTCTGGACACTACAATTTAAGAAGGATATTGACAAGCCGTAACAAGTGTAGAGGAGGGCGACCAAGATGATCAAAGTCTGGAAACCAAGCCTTTATGAGGAACGGCTGAGAGAATTGTATGCTCAGCTGGAATAGGAGGCATGATAGCCATCTTCAAATATCTAAAGAGCTGTCACATGGAAGTTGGAGTAAGCTTGTTTTCTCCTGTTCCAGAGACTAGGACCCGAAACAATGGCTTCAAGTTACAAAAAAGGAGATTCAGATTAAATATCAGGAAGAACTTTCTGATGGTGAAAGCTGTTCGACAGTGGAACCGAGTCCTTTGGAAAGTGGTGGACCTTCACTGGAGGTTTATAAGCAGAGGTTGGATGGCTATCTGTCATGGAGGCTTCAGCTGAGATTCCTGCATTCTTGGGGGTTGGACTAGATGACCCTCAAGATCCCTTCCTACTATGATTCTTTTAAAATAAAATTGTTTTATGATTGAAAATACAGTTTTAGCAGCTAGAGAGAAAAGTCAGATGATATAACCAAATTCACAGGTGGGAAAACCCTTATACCTGAATGCGCTGTGGTGAAGCTACTGAAGAATCTGTGGAGATTATCTGGATGCGTTGGGAAGGGCTGGTCATCACTGGAGATTCAGATAATGTTGTCTGTACGGTTTGCACCTATATTGAATAATTTAAAAACTGATTTAATGCATGGCAAACACAATTGTGAAAATGGTTAAAACTCAAATACTAAGTACTTCCAGCAGGAAATGTTTATCTGAAACAATTCACTAATACTCCCATACCCAAAGGACTAACACTTCCTCTAACAGGATGATCAGCCATGAAATCGGATGCCCCAGTTTAGGACTATAGATAAGATGCTACTTGTCTAGTGTTATGGTAGTAAGTGTTGCACTGATCACCAAAAATCATATACAAAATTAAATATGGGGTAGTACTGATTGTTTGGGCATTTTAAAAAAAAACATTCACAGACATTTCCATTATTGAAAGGAAAGTTAGACGTTTCCTTCTACAACCAACCAAATATTGAGTCATCATGATCACACTCTGTAACAGTGAACTCAGACGCTCGAGTGCCTGAAAATGAAATAGGGTCATTTAAAAATAAAGGAGTGGTTTCTAGATGAGGGCTTCCTGGATAAGCAGAAGTTTGTTTGTCTATTTATTTGAAGTAACAAAAATGCCTGCAAGGTTACAAAATGCAAACAACAGTTTGTATCAACAGAAGGGGGAGAAGGGAGGACCAACGGAACCAGAAGTTACTGAGACTGGAAGCAGTTAAGACACAGAATGTTGGAACATCAGTTGTTTGTGGGAGAAGAGGAAAGAAAATGGAGGTTCAGATTTGGAGCAGGCAACCCTGTATATGGAGTATTTGGAGAAGGCCTTGAGGAGGCCCTTTCCTACCCCTGAGCCCTTTGCCCAAGAGACCTGAAGAGGACTGCAAGACTCTTGTTCCTGGCTGTATATGGAGCCCAGGACAGCAGCACTCCACTTAGGAGGTAAGGATAGATTGCGGCACTGTGTTGCAAATCCACTTGTTTCCTCTAATACTGAACTTGGGTGGTTCAGTGACTATCCTTTTGGCAATGAATTGGGGCATATAAAAATAACAACAATGGTTCTGCATACTCAGGGGGCTCCTTGAGTATGTAGAATTATATAAAACATTATTCTGATTCTCCAGATAATACACCACCAGCCTAAATGGTCTATGTTTACTTCTTTCCAGAACCCTGGATGGCATATGGATGTTGTCAGCTGAGGCGAAAAAAAGAAAAGGAACGGGAGGAGGAATTGGCCAGGTTGAGATGCAAACAGCTTATAGGACTCTGAAGGTGGGGATTAGGTTTTCATGAATGTGTGTTGTGGCATTAAAAGAAATCCCCCTCCCACCACAATATGGGGAGGTATTAGGAGTGGTGGAAGGAAAATGGCTACCAGTTTCCAGAAACATCCTGCTCACCTTATATAGCTATAAAATGCTTAGGTTCAGGGCTGGAAGTAAGCCTTAACCCTGTTCCTTTTAACACTATAGAGTCCAGCAGGGAAAGGAACAAGGACTTGAAGCCTCCCTCTCAGAAGATTGACAGGGACAACACTCCTTCCCTCCCCCAGTTATTCTCTCCACCCCACAAGCTAAATATGGTCAAATTCAAAACAAGGCAACTTAGAACTATGCTTCTTCCTGCTTGTGCAAGTTTTGCTAAATCAGTGTGTGACATGCAAACACAGCCACTGCACCTTACAGGTTGGCGTGTTTTTGTCACAGAAATTTACCTCTTTTTTCTTGCAATTACACACCTATGACCTGGGTTATAAATCTGAGTTATCTGCATTTTGATTTGTTTATTTGGTCCTTTGCCTCAGAGGACCTGCTGCCTGGCAACTGCCAGCAAGGGAAGACTGCTTCCATTACAATCCAGTTGCTCAGCTTGCCCGCCTTGCCTCAGAGGATTTCGGTGGGGCTGTTACCATATACAACAAGGAAGAACTAGTTTGATGGCAGGAAATGTTGCCTGAATTAGCCTGGCTCCATTAGGATAATTTTTGTATCCGTACAGTACTAGATTTTTTTGTTTCAGTACTAGATTTTTTTGGTAGCCTCTTCAACAGCCTCTCAGGACCACTAATTGGATGTGGAAAAGAGGGCCCTTGCATAGCTTCAGGAGATGTACCAACTGTGCCCTTTTCTGTAAAAAGCAGGTCTAATGTTGGTCACATAAACTCTATAGAAAGTTGCTTCTGAAAACTATTCAGGAACTTCAGCTGATACAAAATTTGGAAGCCAGAGTTTTGTTGCGGGCCCGTTTTTCAGAACAAATACTTTTCATACTGTTCAATCAGCATGGAGTACCAGTTCATTTCTGAGCACAATTCAAAGTGCTGGTTATCACTTGGCTGAGGATGGAGTAGCACAGTGTGGAAAAGGGAGGATTAACCCATTGCTCCTCAACTGCTACCCACGAAATCCCTGTTTGCAGCAATTTAGTGGGGAAAGGCCCTTTTGTGCAAATGATCCTCCACAATCATAATTTCCTTGTAGGAAATGGGCGGGATTGAAAAGGGGCCAGGGATTCCCCACCTGTGCCCCCAATGGTTGAAACCAAGATACATGAAGGATAGTTTAGTTCCAACATGAGCCTGCTTGCCATATTCATCAGAGGCCCTGCTTTGCATCCAATTGCCACTGAAGACTAAGTGGTCAGGGCATGAGAGGGGCCTTTTCAACTGCACAGCTGGGCTGTGCAACTCCCAGTTCCAGGAGGCTCACGCTGCCCCATCTTTACCAGTGTTTTGGTGTGCTGCAAATTTTTGTTTTGCTGTATTTTTAGTTTGATTTAGTTTCTTTCTGCCTTCTATGAATTTAGCTGCTATTTTGTTCACTTGTTTAATTATTCTACAAACTGTATATTGCCTTAACTGATGTTTGTGAGCCACCATAGGCAGGATATTAGTGGGGGGGGGGGGGGTTAAATAAAAAGAGTTCAGTATGCAGTTGTTAATTTTTGTCTTAATTTAAAATAGAAGCATAAGTATAATGTGGGGCAGGCATAGAAAAAGTCAAATATTTGAGTGATACCTGAGATGTGTGTATGAAAGACCTCTCTATGGGATCCCTGTCAGTGGAGGACAGGCCATTCACCATCAAATTGGTGTGCAATTGCAGCAGTTTACTCAAGCTCTGCTAGGTACTAATGGCAGTCATTCACTTTTATGGGAGAAAGAAAAAATGGATACTAAGGGTTATTGCTTAGGTTGTGCAAACAAGCCGCTGGTAAATGTAGCTTCTGGCATCAGTGACGGGTCCAACCCTTCACCCATCTGTAGTTGCAGCCTGCTTTCTTTCACCATACGAAAGTAATTGAGCCTCAGAATCATGCACTCCCTCCTCCACAGCATGCTCAGATTCTTTCCATTGCCTGCTTAGTTCAGATGTTCACGGCAAACTATAGTTTGTCATGACTAATAGCACACTCCTGTACAGATGTATGCAGGAGTAAATCTCATTGAGTTCAATGAAGTTTATTCCCAAAGAAGTGGGTATAGATAGGACTGCAGCCAAAGTCGGGGATAGAATAAGGAGAAGGGAGCATGCAAGACCAAGACTAGTGTATATAATGCCAAACAACAACTTGGTACTGCATCTGAACCGAGCCATTGTGAAAGAACCATTTTTTCTATGTAAGAGAATCCAGGGCAAAAGAAAGAATGAGAGAGAGACACAGAGAGACTCCTCAGACAGACATGTCTTACAAATATGACAATATAAAGCATTTTGTAGCTATTATTTTGCAAATTCGGAATATGCATCTAGCAGTCAACCAAACAGAAAGTTCTGGCCACCTGTCATCAAATAAGTGATCTTGCTCAGTGTCCTTTCACACACAAGACAAACAGAAATTCTTACGTTCACAATTGTTCCTTTTAAAAGGTAAAGGTACCCCTGCCCTTACGGGCCAGTCTTGACAGACTCTAGGGTTGTGCGCTCATCTCACTCTAGAGGCCGGGAGCCAGCGCTGTCCTCAGACACTTCCGGGTCACGTGGCCAGCGTGACAAGCTGCATCTGGCGAACCGGCACCAGAGCAGCACACGGAAACGGCGTTTACCTTCCCGCTATAAAGCGGTACCTATTTATCTACTTGCACTTCGGGGTGCTTTCGAACTGCTAGGTGGGCAGGAGCTGGGACTGAACGACGGGAGCTCACCCCGCCGCGGGGATTCGAACCGCTGACCATGCGATCGGCAAGTCCTAGGTGCTGAGGTTTTACCCACAGCGCCACCCGTGTCAATTGTTCCCTTAAGCAAATATAAATTCTACAGAACAAAAAGCATGTAAAGACAAAACAATCCCTATCCAGGCTCAAGGTTCTTGTGTTAATTTACAATGCCCTTAATACCTTGGGTCCAGGATACCTCAAGGACCACCTGATCCGTTATTTCTTGAAGACACCACCAAGGTCTTTAGTGGAGTCACTGCCAGTGATTCACCATGGCTTTTATACACAGCTTGTATCTACCAGCAGGCATGCATTCAGAATTGTGGTCCCATTTTATGGAACTCCCTTCCAACTGAGGTAAAGACAGGTTACCTCCCTTCTGAACTTCCAGTGCCTACTGGAGGCTTTTCTTTTTGTACCTGGAAGGTATTCTGAATTAATTTTATTTTTATAGTTTTAACCAATGTTTATTTATATAGCATTGTGTTCCTTTTACACCACATTGAGACTATTGTTATTAAACAGTGCATAAATAAAAATAAATACAAAGGAATGATATTTTAATATGAAACACATGCAACAGCGTTATCTGGTTACTAATTATTTTTTACATTAAGAACACAATTAACTAATTATAATTTCCCAAGAAAAATATCCTCAGAATGTCACTTGTAGTCTTACAGCTACAGGGAGTATCATGGGAAAAGCACACAAAGCCACCATATTAAAATTTTATGCAAAATGTGTTAATTAGGTAAACACAAATGAAACATACAAGTGGTTTGCAGCTCCTCAGCTTGGTCCTTGGTGCTGTACTGCCTACAGATCTTAGATGAAACAGACCAGCTATGTACATAAACAGGTGATATCCAATAATGTCATACTCAGAACAGGCCCCCCCAGTAATCAATGTTACTCTGTGTATGACTAACATTAGCTATCACCCACACAATAAAATGGTATAAGACTCACAGAATGCTATTGTTATCCATAAGGAAAGAACATATGCTGAAAGTTCAAAAGCACAATGCAAGAGCTTTCTGTTTAAAAGCTAACTTTGCATTTTTGACACTGACAAAATATAGCAAATGTTGAGAAGATGCTGCATCATGTAAAAAAAAAAAAGGACATTTAACTTTAAATATTTAACTCCACTTTTAAAGCTACCCAACATGTTCTAACTAATTTATTTTGAATCCTATATATCTGTAGTTCTACAACTATTACAGTCAGTACCCATCGGTTTCTCTTTAAATCTCACCTTTATACACAGGTCAGAAAAAGGTTAGTCATCTGCAGCATTTGGCAATAGGTAGGGTAAACAGTTTACTTGGTATCAGATTTATTCCTACTCTGAAATTTTAACCTGTAATAACCCTTAATTTCTGTTGAGCAAAAGGCAGTATATTCTAGTTTATCAGGAAATACAAACTAAATCTTAATACGCTTGTTGTAGAAACTGCTATAAACTGTGGATTAAAATTCTGTGCTAAAATACTGTACATACTATCTAAAGAGAACAAGTAGTGCTAATTATTCAAACTATTAATTAGAAGTCAGCTTCCAGATAAATGGCCATTACTGTGAAATTAGAATATTCTGAATTTTAAATCAATTTAAACTAGGAGCAGTATTAGCAATATACTCTTAGTTAAAATTGCTGTTAAGTTAAAACATTTACAAGGATTAGATAAGCAAAGTGAACGGACTATACATTTAACATAAATGTTTCTTATTAAAAATAACACTCCCATCTTCAATAACCTTTGAATCATTTGCTTCCTGGAGCCTCTCGCCTGATACTGTACAGACTCTAGTACTTACAGTGTCAAATCCTTCTGCAGCTTTATTTACATTTTTCTTCAGCAAAGATCTTTGGCCAAAACAATCGAAGAGAAACGGAGAGATCAGTTTTAGTCTGTTCCCAAATGTTTGTATCCGAGCTCCATTTATAAAGATTCCAATCACAAAACCAGACAGAATTGTTTAAAAATGCCCTCTCTATGACCCTGCTCCTCTGAAGGTCAAGTACACTATCACTCCCTGTAACCAAGGAAGCAGAATCGACGTGTTCCTGCTGTTTTGCCAGCTGCTGAAGCAGTTTGTCTAATAATACAATTAATTTCACTGGGGGAGATGCACCCAGGTTACAAAGCTTTTCCTTCTCTTTGTCTCCCCTGTGCCCAACTACTACTGCTCAATAAAAACTACAAAGTAGCAAAATTCAAGAGAAAATAATTTGTCCAGCTCTTGAATAATTTTCAGACCAGTAAAATGAAAAAAGGAAACTATTTTGTTCCCTATGGGACTTATTTTATCTTTACAGTTCATTAACTTAATATAGCTAAACAAACACTACATTCTTGTGCACCCATCAAATATTTTGCGCTGGAATCAGTTTTATTGCACATAATGATAAATCCATTAATTTCATGGTATGTGTTAGAAGAATTAAGGCTACCATTTTAATTCTCTGGAGGAGCAACAACAACAACTAGATAACTATAAGTCTTGTAAATTAACACAACACACTAAAATTTCCGAAAATCACAGAAACTTCTGAAAAGGTGGGCGGGGACCACATTATGTTGATTCAGCTTTTTTAAAGTGCTGAAACCATGACATTACAAAACATTATATGCAATATACTTTCACTGCATAAATTTATGCATAGCGTCAGGTCATTATTGTTCAGAAAGTGGTTAAATTAAAGATGGCATTTTCAGTGACATGCTTTGTGCTGAACTGCAATGCTTCCCCCCAGCACTGGGCGATTTACTGTATTATTAGACCAACTACTTCAGCAGCTAACAAGACCATCCTTTCCGAGCAAAACTCCAATCCACATAATGTTTATGCTCATTTGTACCTGAGTCTGTCCGCCTTCCTATTTTCAAGCACCTTACTGGTAGTTAGGATAGGCACAGTTTGGAAACTGACAGGAAGGGAAAGGTCATAGGTCACCATTGGTGACAATCCCTCTCCCACATGCTCAACGCAAAACTCAAAGTTCCCTGCACATTTTCAAGGGGTATATTTCACTGTGCCAACTGAGAAACCAATCTCTTGCCCCTCTTCTGCACTCTGGATTAAACAGAAGATTCAGGGGAGAGAAGCGTTTGGCTTCTGACTCCATATTTTAACTTGATAACAAAGATTCTCACTGCTCATGCCCCTTCCAAAGACCAAAGCACTGAGAGACAACCACTCCCCTGATTTTTCTATGTGTGCCAGAGGACTCAAGGGAAGAAAGAGGAGTATGGCAACCACAAATAATGGCAGACTATGTGAAGCCAATATATGTTGCTTCTTTAGCCATGGGATATATAGAGGTTTGAGTACAATATTTCACCTAGGAATAGAGGGTCCTTGTTACATGAGGAGTAAGTAGATAAATCTGTTCTCACCCTAAAAGTTAACATTTTCTTTCTCTTCAAATGAATGGAATACAACAACATTCACCTGGTGGTGTCCTAGTGCCCACTCAACGTCAGTCTCCTCCAGTAATGCAAATAAGAAAATATAACATACATTCCAATAGTTTCATGGGCATTTTGCTAATCAGAAAAAAATAATGTATATAGATGTATTTGGTTATTCTGAACTGAAGACTATTTCAGAATTAACTCAATTAGCTGGACAGCTTGGCTAGTGATATTGAAGAGTAAAAATGTAGAAACAACAAATGCACTACTGTACATGACAATGTTAAGCACAAGACAGAAAACCCAAATGTAAAAAGTAGATGTTGCAATGCTACTGACAAAACAAAGGACTACAATAACTATATTGTGCAACAGAGGAAACTAGTTGAACAATGTTACTTCAAGGAACATTTCATTAAATTTTAACAAACCTTAATTTCAAATGCAGATTTAAAAAAACTGGGATATATCCTTTATTAATAAACAGTCTTTTAGCCTTAAGATATGGTCACTGGATTTAAATCTGAGAAAAATGAACACAGTATTTTCTCTAGATGATGGTGAGAAGGCTCCTGGCCATTTTAAAAAGATAGAGTAAGCCCACAACCTACACACATTTAACTTGTGTGCATTCACCTTTATGTGCATGGCATACATACATACATACATACATACATACATATATAAATAAATGAATGAATGAATGAATGGGGCAGGGTTCCAGGGAAAATGACTTTGGCAATCGTACCCACCATTGAACCTAATGGGTTTTGACTATACACAATGTTGGCTTTAGGCACGATCCCCAGAACATAACCCCCACATAAGTTAAGGGCTTACTGTATGCAAAGGATGCATAAATGAAATAGAACCCTACAATGCAGGTTTAAAACAGATAATGGGCAACTACTTATCAACAGCATAATCGATGACCTCCTTGACAGAAATACACAATCACTTAACACCCATTCTGTAAACAGTTCCTGTATGTTATTATAAGTTAGAAGCCTGGTGCGGAAATAAAAAATGTGTTGGCTGGGACGGTACAAGTGGATGATATGAGATTAGACTAATCAGAAAAACGTAGATTAGTTCACAGGTGACAGCAAGGCAGGAAGGTAAACGGCGTTTCCGTGTGCTGCTCTGGTTCGGCAGAAGCAGCTTAGTCATGCTGGCCACATGACCCGGAAGCTGTACGCCAGTTCCCTCAGCCAATAAAGCGAGATGAGCGCCGCAACCCCAGAGTCGGTCGCAACTGGACCTAATGGTCAGGAGTCCATTACCTTTACCTAACAGCAAATAGATCTGCTTAAAAGCATAAGAAATATCTATATGGATGAAGCAGCAGAAGCCACACTGGACTTGTTCAAAGACTTGCACATGCCTACAGGTCTCATCTAGGCCCTTCAGCCAGGCTGCTAGGAATATGCAGGATATAGGGGGATGGCTGCAGAATTAAGTGCGGCCCCACATTTTTTTCACCCAGCAGCACTGTATGACAAGCTGTCATTAGAAGGTGGAGAAGGGCATTACCCTCTGCTCTCCTGGTGGACATTTTGTTATATACAAATGAAGTTCAGTACAAAACATGGGGATTGAAAAATATCGCTTTATATTTTCAAGTGGAATAACCAGCATTTTATGAAAATAAATCCACTTTAGATCTGACCAACTGTAAAGAATAAGACAATTATATTTTCTTTTTAAGAACCAGTCAAGAGTTACTGTAATATCATCCTTCACTCACCTCAGCCACCTGCTGTGTCTCCACTATCTGCTGAGCCAGCACCTCCATATTGGTTGTCATGGTGAAGGAGGATCATTAGAGAACCTTTTTGGAGAGATGCCAATAACTTCTATCAGCAACAGAAAAATTAAAGCTTTTGCCATTTTATTACTAAGAACAATTAAAAATAGTACAGTATACACCCCCGTGATAGTACTGAACACAGTTTCAAACGTTTCATTATAAAACAGTGATATTATGTTACAATCATTAAATTGCTTTATTCATGAAAAAAGTAAAAATAACATTTTTAAAAATAAAAGAGGTACTGAGCTCCATATATGCCATCACCAGGTTGCCAAAAGGACCAGGAATCTCTTATTAGTAACTGTATTTGTGGATGAGCACAACATGGAGAGGCCCCGCATCTCTTTCAAGTTCTTCACACACTGCAGATATGTCTCTTATGCCAAGCAAGAGACAGACCCCTGACAGATTCACAGCTCATGCCACCATGAGAGACACCCACATCTGTTTAGAAATATTATCTCGTCCATTGAGTATCTCCCAGCTCATTCAGAGCTTTCCTCCCAACCAAAATCTAAGCACCTTTGAATAGGCATTAATATTGTTGGTTATTGTGAAATAACCAAATCCTGTGTTCAGTTTGTGAAATAGGGTTAATTTTATCAGATTAATGAAATAAGAAAACATTTGCCACTTTCATGAAATAACCATCTCCACTTAGTTCAGAAAGAAACAACCAGTAGTAGTCATTATCTGCTTTTGCAAGCCTTCACTAGCTGCTTAGCAAGGCCAAAGAAACTATGCTTCCTAGCTTCCATGCTTACTGCAACAGAGGACTGAACACTTCTTGCTTTCACATAGCTTTGAGGAAATGCAGGTGTATCCAACTGTTTTTGGTGGGATAATGGGAACTATAAAGTGACTTAACTATATAGAGCTAAAAGAACAAGCTGATTTCCAGATCTTTTCACACTACTGAAATTGCAAATTATCTTAGGATTTCACTTATTATAAAGCAACTAAGAAAATGCCTATCATTGTACTTTGTAAAGAGGAAAGAAAGCCAGAACACAGGCCTGTATATTACAGGATTCCATGGAGGCAGGCACAACACACTTTTCTGCATCATACACAGTGAACCTTTTTCACATTATTCTGCTTACCAAGGACCCACACATCTGTCACTAAACTATTGCATGTTCCAGGCGATCCTGGAAAGGACTGAAGGATGCAGATTAAGTTCACATAGGTTGGTTATTCTAGACTTCACCACCATGCGTGAACTGACACAAAACATGCTGAAGCTGTGTGCTACAGGGAGAGATAGGAATGAATGGCAGCCACTCATTTAGACAGAAGAGTAAGAGTTTGGTCACTCTTAAGTGACAAAGTATTCCAAAAGTAGAATGGATACTAGCTAAAGGCCAATCCTCTCCCCAAATCTATTTCCTACAGATGCCAAAGCACGAGTGTGGTGACCATTGCTGAATTGTAGCCACCACCACCTCTTTAGGATGTTCTCTTCCACTGTGCTGTGTTGTTGCCAGGAGTGATGAAAGCAACACAACCACCTCCCACAGAAGAAGAGGTGTAGTGCAAGATGGACAGGACAGCAGCTTAATAATGTAGATTGGTAAACATCACCACATCTTCTTGTGCACATTCTCTTGGTATAATCCTCCCTGCAGCAGCTGTGCTGGCAAGGAGTTGGACCAAATTCTCCCCATCACCCCAGAGAGAAAGGATGCAAACAAAACAGAGCAACCATAATCTGAAGAAACAGTCACATTCCTCTCCTCTTGCTATCATTCCATCTAGGCAATGCAACAGGGAGAAATTGGTCCAGCAGGACTAAAGAGCAATTTTCCCTTTAAAAAGTTCATTTATTTTATTTGTTTATTTATTGAATTTATTTATATACCACCCTATACATTTATATACTGCCCTACACCCGGTCTCAGGGCAGTTCACATACATTCTGAAATATGGCAACCCTAGTAGTGTCATCACTAATGGAACTAGGAAACAAATTATAGTACAGTGGTACCTCAGGTTAAGTACTTAATTCATTCCGGAGGTCCGTACTTAACCTGAAACTGTTCTTAACCTGAAGCACCACTTTAGCTAATGGGGCCTCCTGCTGCTGCCGCTCCGCCGGAGCACGATTTCTGTTCTCATCCTAAAGCAAAGTTCTTAACCCGAGGTAAGATTTCTGGGTTAGCGGAGTCTGTAACCTGAAGCGTATGTAACCCGAGGTACCACTGTAATAGTAATGATCTAAAACTACAAATTACATTTGGTTGAAGTATGGATAGCCAATGTTGTACCCCCAGATATTGCTGGACTAACACTCCCATACTGGCTGGGGCTGATGGGAGTTATATGGAGGAAACTATGTTGGCTACTGGGATGTGGGTGGCGCTGTGGGTAAAAGCCTCAGCGCCTAGGGCTTGCCGATCGAAAGGTCGGCGGTTCGAATCCCCGCAGCGGGGTGCGCTCCTGTTGTTCGGTCCCAGCGCCTGCCAACCTAGCAGTTCAAAAGCACCCCCGGGTGCAAGTAGATAAATAGGGACCGCTTACTAGCGGGAAGGTAAACGGCGTTTCCGTGTGTGGCTCTGGCTCGCCAGATGCAGCTTGTCACGCTGGCCACGTGACCCGGAAGTGTCTCCGGACAGCGCTGGCCCCCGGCCTCTTGAGTGAGATGGGCGCACAACCCTAGAGTCTGTCAAGACTGGCCCGTACGGGCAGGGGTACATTTACCTTTTTATGTTGGCTACACCTGGGTTAAAGGAATAAAGCACATTCAGTCTATAGTTGTGGCCCATGAGCTCCTCAAGATGATCTGTTTACTGAGCATTCATCCTCATTCGATTACACAGTTTATTTGTAAGAAAGGTTTATTCATTAAGCAGTTGTTCAGGTTTGTTTGCTGGAAAGTTTTAAGATGTACAGTACGAGTCTTCATTCTGATTTCCTTGTGAGGTTACACATCAACAATTTACCCCACACTTCTTAGTGCATCTCCATGTCACTTTTCTAACTGCAAAAATGAGAGTTTTAAAAATGCATTTGTTGTGTCCGAGTTTTAACCCACTTTAATTGTGCAAACCCAAATGTCCGGTGACTGGATCCCTCCTGCTAAATATTGACAGCCTGGGTTGACCTGTTTTTAAACTAGTGACGGGTTACCTTTTGTGGAACGTATGTTTTGCATCAGTTTTCCTGAATTTTTCTGTGGTATTGTGTGACACACTAAAATCATTTTCAAAATATATATTTGAAACATATTTGCAACAAAGTACATCACAGGCTTCTGGTTGTGACAATTTATACATTCCAGAAACACAGATGCAAAATTTGGTAAATTTCTGTTAGTGGGGACAGGCTAAGAGCACAATCCTACTCAGAAGCAAGTCCAGCTGAATTCAGTGGCGCTTGCTCGTAGGTAAGCGAGATTACGATTGCAGTCTTGAGCTCTGACACGCAATTAAAACGGTGTTCTTGAATTTGCTAAAGGGAAGAGAAACATTCCTAAACCTTGCGTTCCCACAGGATACTGTTGTTCAACGTTTTTGTGAAAAATGAGGATTAATTCAGCCAGGAACTACGAAGGCAGGAACGAAAGATTTGACGAGCGTCGCCCTCCACAGAACCCCTTTTCGCGCATTCTCCCGGCCCAACCAATCGGCTCTCGTCGCCAGCGGAAAGGAAAGCCCGCCCTCCCACCGCCACAACGGGTATAATTGGCCAATGCGACCGCCCTTCAGGCCACTTCCCCCCTCCGCCCCCCAATTAAAGTTGCGGGGGGGGGGGAGAGATAAGGAGAAAAAGGCACTTGAAGCACAAGATGGCGGAGTTGGCAGGTAGCCAAGTCTAAAAGCTCCGCCATTAGTCTCCCCGCCTTCCCTAACGTTCCTTCGCCCGTAACTGGTCGGGCCCGGTCGCGGGCACCCAGAGCGTGGCAAGCGGCAGCCCAGAGCGGGAGAGAAGCGGGTGGTGGTAGTAGGGTGGGGGGAAGAGTCCGCTTAAGATGGCGACGGGCTGCCCCGTATGCAAAATACCCGCCGCCCCCTCCCCTCCGCCCTCCCGGTGGCAAAGGTAAAAGGGTCGGGTTCAAGCCACTGCCTCCGCCCGCTCAGACTCCATCTTTTCTCCCTCGCTCGGAGCCGGTGCAGTTTTTGCGGCATCGCGGCCACGGCAGACCCCGGGAAAGGAAACGGCGCAGCGCCCGAAGCCCGCCGATCTCCGCCAGCACACCCCCACCCCGCCTCCCTCTCCGCCTCGAAAGAGCCGTCGCCCCTCCGAGCCCGAAACGCGCCGCGACCCGCTAGAATAAGGAAGCTCATTTACCTCAGGGTTTGGCGCCAAGCAAGCCCGGCGGTGGCTGCCTCGCAACGGGTCTCTGGCCAGGCCTGGGTTGCCCCCCCACCTTGCGGCCCGGTGAGGGGGGCGGAATAAAGGCAGGCGGAGGCAGCGGCACCGGAGGGGTTAACGTCTTGCCCTGCACGGAGCAGAGAAGGGGGGTGGGAAAGGAGAGCCGCTCTGTTGTTATTATTATTGTTTTCTGGGCGGGGGGGGGGTGAACGGGAGTCTTGTGCCGAAAGGTCAGAGTTCGTGACCCCGCCGGGCGCCGCTGCCGCCGCCTCTGCCGCCTGGGAGCGTCCCCTCGTTTCCTCTTCGCAGCATTACGCCGGCCGCGGCCCCCTCCATCTCTTCCCCCCACCGCCACCCCCTCCGCCTAATGAGGCGGGGCCGGAGCTGGGGAAGCGGCAGAGAAGAGGGAGGGGCTACCTGTGGTGGTGGCGGCGGCTTCGAGAGCCCGCGTGCCTCCTGTCCCATCCCACACAGCTTCCTTCTCTCCCCCACCCCCGCCATTCCAGCTCTGCGATCCTTAAGGCGCAACTGGCGGCGTCCGGGTTCCATGCTCGCGGCCTGCGCTTTGCAAACCGGGGTAACGGACTCCGGGCAGAGCTCTCCCTCGCGCGCCTCCTGGAACCCCGACGCCGCAGGCGGAAGAGCCTTAACCCGCCGGGCGGCGCCCCCGCCATCCTCGCCAACGGTATCTCGCGTTTGTTTGAAAGCGGCCTCTCAAGGGGCAGAAGTTCCCCTCAGGGGCATCCTGATCTCAGGCATGCGAGAGGTAGTCTCTTCGGGTATCCTGTCCTCGAGCATTGCTTAGAGCAGTGGTTCCCAAGTAGGATAGTCCCCGTGTTTTTCAAAAGCCAAAGCCAGGGACTTTTGAAAAGTTCGATATCTCTGTGGTGCTTTTTGTTGTGTGACAGTCCCCGGACCACCAGTTGGGAAGTGCTGGCTTAGACCTTTAAAAGTTAACAGCAGGGCTTTAAATTGGGCCTGGAAACTGACTGTAAGCCTGTGCAGATGGCAAAGTAATAGGTTGATTGTATTGGCCAGTCCCGGTAAACAAGCTTGCCCCATTTTGGATCAGCTGAAGTTTTCTGCATCTTAGATTGACCCATTAAAAGTACTGCCATGTTTTTTTACTGTGTCTGAAACTTTTTTAAATGCTTTTTTTTGCAAAACTAAGGAGAGACCCATTTAGTAAGCTGCTTAATATAAGTTTTGAGAGCATACAGAGGTGTGGCTACCAGGACATTTAAGAGGGCACCTAAGATTTGTGCTTGGCTATGCGGTCTTCTTTATCTGTCAATCTGTAAAGTGGTTTCCTAAGTAGCATATCTATAGAAATTATCGTTAGCGTCCTGCCTCTTTCCTGTCTATCAGTAGGTGAGAGGCATGCATTGTGATTTCTGATGTAAATTTTGAATAAACAAGTTTTAAGTTTTAAAATCTAGTAGTGGATACCACAGAATTCTAACAATGGGGAAAATGTTTCCCTATATTACCTATTTCTCTCTATTGCTTTCTTTGGAAAGTTTTGTGTACATGCCTTTTTTCCACCTAAAATTTATTTTATGTTGTGGGGTTGTGTTGTCCTAACATAACATTTCTGTGAATGATTGATTTTTAAATTATATTTGCTGTAATATAGGCCCTTCAAAATAGATACATGATAAATGGCCATGAGGTTATAATTTTTTTAAAAAAGCCTTACTTCTCTGATAACATTCTCAATAGATCTGATCTACCCAATGGAGTTGAAAATTGCCAAGCTTTATGCATTTTCTAGAAAACTAGTATTCTTGGAGTTCAAACAGAGCCTTAATGTGAGGGCTGCTTGTGTGTATTCTGTTCAAGAGAACATCCCTCCCTCCACCTAGGTCACAAGGATAATTTATGTTTCCATTCTTGTTATGTACAGACATAAGTTTGTTGCTGTTCCTGAACTTGGCAAATGATGGATTGTTATTAAGCCAAGATATCAAACAATTATCCTAGAAACCAAGAACCCACTGCAAGGAGACTTCTTACAGACAGCACTCTATTCTAAAATTGATATTCTGCAGCAAAGATAGGCCACCAAATAGAAACAAATGCCAGCATTGTTTCCCTCGGATAATATCTGCTTCACTATTAGCTCATTCACCTGCTTGTGTCCAAGTTGATATAGGCCATAACCTGCCAACAATGCCTTTCTGCTCCCTACCTATGACAAACAAGTTAGTCTCTGAAAGAAAACATGGGCATAAAAATTGATATAAAAGATGGCAATATTCAGAAATCGCAACATTTCAGTGTCCCAAGACCCTCTGCCACTGATCTCAAGTCACCATTCTCCAACAAAAGAACAATAAAGGGACACTCAGGTGTGAAATTGCTGAACTAGAATTTATCAGTGAGTTTCATTCTACTGGTTTAGGACTGTTCTGAAACCAATAAGTCCTCTCTTCCAGCAGAATGAAACTTTTTCAAGCCTCATGTTGTAGGGGAAAGGGAATGGTTAACCCACCCCCCCAGCTTCATTATCCAGGAAGAGTACCTTCCTGCCAGCAGTTAGGCTGGAAAAAGTTAAAATAATGTTTTCAAGCTCCATTGCCTGGAGGCGAATGTGTGTACATGTGTGTGGTGTGTGCATACACTTATGTGTGTGATTTGTGTGGTGCATGACCCACTGGATGCAGCCCCCAGAGGGTTACCAAAGAGGGCTGCTCTAGGTGAAAAAGCTCCCTACCCCATGTCAAGCAACCACAAAGTTGCATTTTTGTCTAAATCTGGGTGTTGGATTGAATTCATGTCAAGATGATAACTGACTGAAGCAGTTCAAGTTGTTATATTGGATGTAGTAAAAACAGGACAATGTGAAACATATTAAAAATCCAAACAATAGCCTGTTTGGCCTTTGTGTCACCAGAGGTTGGCACAAATGAAAAGCTCTGTAGACTGCCTATGGTGCATGTACGTGGTGTGCTGAGGGCTTTTAAGGGAGAACATAATCATGGAAGTAAAGGGCAGATAACATACCTGATTTGTGTGGTGTGATTCACACCAGACAGACAACTGGTTGCATGATTACAGTACTTCCAACTGGTTGAGCTGTGCTTTATAAAACTTTCAAAAGATGTTTAAACAACTCTTCATGGTAGAGGATCCTACAAGTATAAAAATGCCTCTTGATAACTAATTCTGGTTTATGCATGGCTGATTTAGAGATGAAATATTGATCCTGTTTCCTATAGTAATTTGCAAATATAGTGTGGGGTGGTTGAGAGAGCTATAAGAACATGCATTAAGTGTGTTTTAGCAGGCACCTTCACTGCTCTCTTTTTGGCACCTGCTAAAAACATTCCTGTTTAGAGACCCAGAACTATTTTAATATTTTAACTTTTGTATGTTTTAAAGTACAGTTGTAATTTTTCCTTGATTCTACTGTTTTATCTTTTGTAAACTGCTTTGAGGTTTGTTTTTACAATCAAGCGGCATGTAAATTTTATGAAATAATAAACAATGAATAATGATGATAAATAGCCACAATGCATGGAGAGACATTCAACAGGATAGGGCTCATTCAAGAGGTGAGCTTTTTGTGTCCATGTCTATGAATACAGGCATCTCAACTTGCCCAGGGGTCATGTTCTGGGGAGAACACATAAAGACAAAATCACATATAGTCAAAAGACATTCATTTGGTTCAGTGGCGGATGGAATTGCCAAAGGTTCCCCCCCCCCGGATGCCAGCCTTTATGCCCCCCCCCCCCGTTTATTTCAAATTGCTAAGTGCATAAAGCTGAATGCACACAAGTTAAATGTGCATAAGTTGCAAATTACCTGTACTATATAGCAGCCCAAATCATACAAGCTGCTGCTGATAGTAGTCTCATATTAAGGATGTTTTATGCTAAAACCAACCCTTTGAAATATATACAGAATACACATAGAATCATAGAATTGTACGGTTGAACGGGATCCCAAGGGTCATCTAGTCCAACCCCTTGCAATGCAGGAATCTCAATTAAAGCATCCATGACAGATGGCCATCCAACCTCTGCTTTAAAACATTCAATGAAGGAGAGTCCACCCCCTTCCAAGGGAGTCTGTTCCACTGCCAAACAGCTCTTGCCATGGGAAAGTTCTTCCTGATGTTAGTGGGAATCTCCTTTCTGGTAACTTGAAGCCATTGGTTTGCGGCCTAGTCTCCAGAGCAGGAGAAAATAAGCTTGCTCCATCTTCCCATGTGACAGCCCTTTAGATATTTGAAGATGACTATCCTATCTCCTCTTTTCCAGGCAATGTTGGATCCCTGATATTTTAGACTTAAGCTTATACCAATCTGCACACAGCAATTACAGCAATATTGGCATGCAAGACCAATCAGTCCAGTGCCCATTTGCTAGACAGTATTGTGGTTTTCTCATTAGGTAGATGGAGAGTGCCACCACAGCAAACCAACATTTGTAATGCAGAAATAAGTTAAGCTTTTTATTTATATACAGCCTTTTATTTATATACAGCTATAGATTTCTTGTCTAGCTAGGCTGAGTCTTTTGCTCCTGGTAATTCAGGCATAGTAGAGCATGCATACATGCATGCATGCAGGGTGTTGGTTGGCTAAATGCCCCCGCTCCAAAAGAAGAGAGAGAGGGTATTTTCCCTGGGAAGTTTAGAATTCATTGCAAAGAGTATCTGCCAATTTTATAGGTTCAGGATTAATTTATATAAATACTGATTTCCAAACCAAGAAGAAATGGCAACAAATTCCTAGGGACCTGGTATTTTCTCATTTTATTTTTCCATGTTTCTTAAAACAAGAACTAAATAATTACTGTATTTTTACAATGAGATTTGAGTAGTTGTTTGTTCTTCTGCGGACTTCATACAACAGTAGTTAAATGCTAGCACCAAAATGTCATAATACTGTTATTCTGTAGTGCATATAAAAAACAAAAAAACAAAGCAAAAACATTTAGTTACTTACAGTGCAATCCTATATCTGTCTACTCAGAAGTAAGCCCCACTAAGTTCAATAGGGCTTATTACCAAGTAAGTTGCAGTCTTAACCTGGGAGTCAATCCCACTGAACTGGTTTAGTTCTGAGTAGACAGGGTTGCACTGTTAGTGTGTTACATTTGGCATTTAACATTCTGTTCCTGTCAGTGCAATTTTTTCCCCTTCTGCGCCTCCACTTCATAATAGTATGATTTTAGCAAACCCAAATTTGAAACCGGAAATGTGACTGAAAGTTAACTTATTTGAAGGTAATGTGAAAGTTGTGTTTTCATAATTCATTTTTATATACTATCTGCTTTATGAAATAGAAAACTTGATAGTGAAGTAACAAATCCATGCTACTGTGTTTATTTCCTCCCCTAAGACACATAGATTATAGAAACACAACAAATAATTGTGTGTTTGAATTGGTGTGAACCTTTATACAAATGGGGGAAGATCAAACCCAGTCAAAAGTCTAATTAGGAGTTCAGGTCAGAGAACATAATATAAATACTAAGGTTATTATTATTATTATTTAACAAAAATGTATTTTACTGTACATCTGAAATTTTTGAAGGTAACTTTAAAAATGAATGAAAATCTGTTATGCTGAAAGATACAACAATATACTGATGCTGTGTGTCACAAAGACTGCCACTAAGGTACCAGTCCTACTTGGATTTGCTTGCCTAGAAGATCTCAAAATAAGCATTTGGGATAAAGGTCTGGCACAGAAATGTGTAGCAGTGTAATGGTCTATGGTGGAACTGATAGTATTGACATTGCAATATCCACATGGATTATGATATTTGATTAACACAATGCTTAAAATCCCCAACCTAAACACTTATTTCGTAATGCAGCATTAGGCTATGTCACTTTAATGCAATACTATGCCTTCCCCTCTCCATTACTTGGGTATAAAACACAGCTTTTCAAGCAAAATAATGCACAAACCCTTTGGATCAATGGGTATCATACCTAAAACATGGCTTCGCTCTGGTAGTCTCTGTGGCTTTAAAATGAGGCCCATCCTCATAAAAAACCCTTGAAAGAGCAATCCAGTTTTAGTATGCTCTGCCACTGGAGTTCTAAAAATGCTTCTCTAGGCTTTAAGAGAGTGCTTTTCTAAAAGCAGTGTGGAGATGTTTATTTGTGTTACTGGCCCTATTACCTGACATCATAAAGACATCACATCAGCCTCTACTGATACACTCTGATTGATAGAATAAACCAAAGCCCAGATTTGCAAGTGAGCATTGAGGGAGACAGTATCTCATCCTGATAACCAGCTGCTACATTGTGTGAAATCCACTTACATTTTCATTTACTTAATTTCTTGTTATGTTTATACCCTTTTCCTCCAGGGAGCTGAAGGTGGCATATATGCTTCTCTCCCCGCTCCCCCGGTTTTATCCTCACAACAACCCTGTGAGGTAGGTGAGGCTAAGAAAGACGGTGAGCATCATGCCTGAGTGGGATTTTGAATCCTGGTCCTGGTGCAATATGCTAACCATTATACCACATTGGCTATTTAAATACTTCCCGTCAGAGCCTGATTCAATGTAGCTTGCAAACCCATGGAGCAGTATGAGTACGTGCACCTACTGGAGATACACTGTGAGGTGTAATGGCTGCTACACATCTTCATAATCCTTTGCTAGACAAGGAAGCATTGGTGGCAGTGGCCACCAATTTGCTTTGTTGGCAGAATACAGTGGAATACCAGCCACCATTCTTGAAGTGAGTGGCACAATTAAAGAGTGTAGTTGCGTATATTTCCTTGGATGAAGCAATAGCCCCACTAAGGCACTCAGATGCACATGGTTGACATCATATGAACAGCGGTTGGCCCTGCTCTTGTGCTTGCTGCTTTCCCCCACCCTACACATTGCAGGAAATGTCTTAAGCAGGGAGCCTGCTTTAGGCTTGTGGGTTCCTAGGTATTTTACGTGATCAGGGTTCTAACTTGGCCAAGGAGCCTATGCACATACAACAGGTTTGTGCCTTAAGACCTTCATGCATCGAAGACAGGGATGTAAGAGATCGCCACTCATGTTTAAAGTACTCCTGCACCACTGTAATAGTCATGGCTTCCCCCAAAGAAACCCAGCAACTACGGGCAAAGGGTTGTTACGAGACCCTTCATTAAGCCACAGTTCCCAATACTCAAACTACACTTCCCAGGATCCTTGGGGGGGGGGAGCCACAGCCATCAAAGTGGTGCAAGAGTGCTTTCATTGTATGGTGTGTGTGCAGCCTGAGTGCCTGAATAGAGCTGGTGTGAACACTGAATGGAATATTTCTCCCAGCTTTCCTTATCTTGCCACCATACAGTTAAATGTTTTTCTGCCTTTGGAGTTAAGTGCTCCTGACACTAGATTTGGATTATGAATCTTATTACTATATTACTACTAAAAATCCAATGCCCTCAGCGATTAAAACAGTATAATAATTCTAGATACAATCAGTTTCAGACAACCTTATGTGAAGGTTTGCAATGAATTAACATCCTCTGGAGTGGAAATGGATGTATTCTTCAGTAGAATCAGGTTGGGCCTTGCAGAGGACTGATGAAACAGGTAAGAAAGGAGACTTACCACCATCTATGTAAATGCCAAGTTGAATTAACCTTTTTGTTCCTTACCATTGAAATGGTTTACCATTGTGTGGTTTACGCACATTTTCTTTGGCAGGAATTCCAATAAGCATGACACAGTTTCACCCAGGCACTGTAAATGGATTAGTGGTATGTCAGTCCAGAGTTCTTTAGATAAGAAGCTGTAATCTGAATAAAATTTAGGACACCATACTTCAGCTTCATGGCTGAAAGAGAAACAAGTTGATGATACTCTCTAAGTAATAGGACTGAACCAGTTGCTATGAGTGACTAAGCGTATCTTTTTGAAATAATGCATACATTTATTCTAAATCTTGAAAATATGCAACTGTATTATATGGGAGCGGAGTACAGTGAAGGATGAACTTGAACTTGCAGAGATAGAAAAAAGGACCATAAATATTCCTTGTTTTAAAGGTTTCCACCTGTAAGGGAATAAGCTTGAGGAAGGAACAAAATAGTCTTATACAAGTTCTCTCCTGTGTGTTTAGCCACATGGGGATATATACAGTTTCTTCCAACAGAAGGGTGCTGTTGCAAATATAAATGTGTTCATTCAAAGTCCACTTGGTTGATAACTGCTATAATACAGATGCTTCCTCCATGGCTTCAATCCATCTAAGAAAAAAAAAGAGTAAAATCATAATCATCTTATTGTATGTCTCTGTTCAAAAGCTCAGGCAAGAATTAACACGCATATGCAGAATGATGCATAGCCTAGACTTGATTTTTGGGGTTACGGGAACATTGTTCAGTTTGCAACACTGGCTTTTCATCACCTGTACTATAGCTAGGATGCCAGATACCTTCCCCACTTCCCTATTTGCATGGAAGATGGTTGCTATAATGTATGGACAGCTGTAGATACAAATAGGTTTCAGATTTGCAATCTTATACACACCTTGAACTCAATGGTCCTTACTTCCAAGTAGATACGTGTAGGATTGTGCCGTAAACCTCTTGCTTGTATGTTCCATTGCTCCATTATTATTATTATTATTATTATTATTATTATTATTATTATTATTAAAAAATAATAGGCCACACAGGTGAAATTTGGAAAATACTAGAACGAGTTGCCTGATGCATTTTCCACCATAGGATCACTTATTCACACTATCCCTTATTTGTATAAACATTCACTTGTGTTTGCAGAAGTGCATAGCTTCCATACCAACCTATGGCTGGCTACAATTACAGGTAAATGTAAGCTGGAGAAAGCACCATTGGACTTGCCTGCAAACAAACATGCATAGGTCCGCACTGTAAATTACAAGCATTCATGGTTTGGTGGGAAACAAACCTACCCTAACATAATATCGTGTATTCCCACGTATGTTCAAGCACAGCAATTACAGGAGCATTCTAGGACCAATACATAACACTCATTGGCCCCAAGTAACATGGTATGCTTGGACTGAGCAACTCCCAATTACAGTGGTACCTCGGGTTAAGTACTTAATTCGTTCCGGAGGTCTGTTCTTAACCTGAAACTGTTCTTAACCTGAAGCACCACTTTAGCTAATGGGGCCTCCTGCTGCCGCCGCACCGCCGGAACACGATTTCTGTTCTCATCCTGAAGCAAAGTTCTTAACCTGAAGCATTATTTCTGGGTTAGCACAGTCTGTAACCTGAAGCGTATGTAACCTGAGGTACCACTGTATTACACCAGAAATTCATTAGCCTTCACAGAGCTTCCCTATCTGCATCAATCCAAACCACCTCAGACCCTTTGCCATGGCCAAGCCAATTCTGTTGCTGGGTTAATGCTTGCTGGACTGTTTGTGTTAACAGATTGCACTATGTAAAGCTGATGCAAAAGCAGTTGTGCGCATTTAGCAGCATTCAAAGAGCTTCAAAAAGGAAGTGAGAGCACATTAGAAGAGCTAGAAGCATTGCAAACAGTGTTTCCCCCCACAGGTTAGTATGTTATCGTGGGCAGATCAAACACTCAGTACCTCTGTGCTGAATTGTTATCCTCTGCTCGGAAGCTATAAAACAGAGTTTGCTTGTGGTAAAGATGGAAAACTGCATTCACATTTCCGCCTTCCTTTTCTGGGGCAATTGTGAAACCCAGCAAAGGCAAACTCTCTGTGGCGACTTTATCCTGAAATCAGTGCAGAAGGGAAGATGGGCTTTAGAGGGAGGGAGCGCTACACACAGAGATCTGAGCTCTGAGAAAGAGAGTAGGCCCGTTTCTCATTGTACAAGTGAGTATGCCCTGGGGCCTCAGCAAAATATAAACAAAGCTGGGTTCCAGATAACCGTCTTTGGAAATGTCCCACTTGACGATCGTAGCGAAGTTCAGTGGCACATTTTAACGATCCTGAAGTGTCGTACAGGTTTAAAATAACCATTTTATGCCAGTGGGGGATAAGAGTTATCAGTGCCAGATACACTTTCCAGTTCTGTGCATGTAATGTGCAGTACACGATAGATAGCCTAAGAATGATCTCAAATGACAGCAGACCTTACCTCACTCGCTGTGTAGGTGTAGAGCACTTTCCCTTTGATGACAAACCACAGCTTTTTCCAGTGCCTTTTCCCCTTCTTACATCTGCTGAGATAGCCACTGATAGAAGAGCCCTCTCCTGAAGCTGCCACCTGTAAATGGGCAAGAACCAAACCATTCATGACAACAAATGCCTTGGAAAGGAACAGATTAATTTGAAGGACCAAGAATGTGCCACTCCCCTCTGATTTAAATAGTTTTCCATTCAGATATGTACATACCTCTGAAACAAGCATCGATGTTGGTAGCAAGAATATTAAAAGCATACCGCTTTGCAACCAAATGGACCCTTTGCACAACCTAGGTGTGTGCTCCCAGATCTTTGGCCATGCTGCCCATTTATACTGCTAGATTATGTCTATCTGGACAAGGGACAGTAGTTCTGAATAATCATGCACATGATCGGGCTGTAGGTGTCCAGAACATTGTAGAAAGCACAGACCAATATTTACTTGGCAAAACAGCATTTTTCAGTCAGATGGAAAGTAAGGTTGATGCTGCTAAATTAGGAGAGTTCTAACTACTAATAATTTGAAACACAAAATGCTGTGGCACTCACAGTTGGAAGATACAAAACTGGAGTATAAGACCATTCTTGTGGATTATCCTAGTGATATTCACAGTGGCATCTCTTGAATCCTAGTGTCTCATGACCTGATAGTCTCTATTTTTGGCAGGAACCCCCACATTAAGCAAAACAGCATATGATGTTTATAATGCTTCACCTTGGCTATTTTTCCAAGTGCATAGAGAGGCTGTAGTTCACATGTATTTTGCCACTGTACTGCAATCCTTTGTTGAGGGGAGTTTGTTAATTGAAGAGACGCAAAGGGGTGCTTTGGTCTTTATTAGCATTGCAGGGATGAGCATTCACAAGCCTTAACCTAGTGCACTTCCGTCACCCCTCTCTTATGTTGCAGCCACAATGAGGTCAGAACCACCTGATTCCCATTTTTAAACCACAGCTCACTGTGGTTAGCTTAAACCCTGGTAAGTGAACAAGCAAGGGTGATAAAGCCACAGTTTGAACTAACCACAGTTCCCATGAGTTTGAATATAATGGAGCTGTGGTTAGTTTAAAACTAGAAGCAGATGCTTCTGATCTCACAACTGCACCAGATGAGGAGATGGGGCAAGCTCATTCACTAACAGTAAACCATAGTTTAATGCTGCATCTGAAAATGGACTACTTACAGTTTATTTTTATTTAATTGATGTTTATGCATTGAAATGTGTTTTCAATTCCTTAAAGCTACACTGCTGTGCTTATTTGACTTTAAAAGGCTTCCAACTGAATTAAAGGGAAATATGTCCATATATCTGAATTTATTTGCTTTTATTACAATCAGATAAGTTTGGCAGTGTGAATCTAGAAGTTAGTAAGCCCCTGCAGAGTATGGAAAAATTAAAAGACAAAGTGAGAGATTGGCTACACTATGCTCAGATTAAAGAGGTTTTCAAGTTGGATAAAAAGATAGGATTCCAGGTGGAAAAATCGAAGTTAGAAACAGAATTGTTGGAGCCAAAGGTAAAGGTACTATCTAAAATGTACAACTTGCTGCTAAAATGGAACACACAAGATGAAACGGTTAAATCAGCAATGATAAAATGGGCACAAGATATGGGGTATAATATCATGTTTGCTGACTGGGAAAAGTTATGGACCACCGGTGTGAAGTTCACGGCATGTAATGCCTTAAAAGAAAACATTATGAAAATGATATACAGGTGGTACATGACCCCAGTCAAGCTTGCAAAGATATACCATTTGCCTGATAATAAATGTTGGAAATGCAAAGAATCTGAAGGAACGTTCTTTCACCTTTGGTGGACATGTCCCAGGGTCAAGGCCTTCTGGGAAATGATATACAATGAGTTGAAAAAGGTATTTAAGTATACCTTTCCTAAGAAACCAGAGGCCTTGCTTTTGGGCATTGCCGGCCAGAGGGTGTTGAAGAAAGATTATACATTTTTTATGTATGCAACAACAGCAGCAAGAATACTTATAGCTAAATATTGGAAAACACAAGATTTGCCCACCCTGGAAGAATGGCAGATGCAACTGATAGAATATATGGAACTGGCAGAAATGACAGGCAGAATCCGCGACCTGGGAGAAGAAGCAATGGAAGAGGACTGGAAGAAATTCAAGGACTACTTACAAAAATATTGTAAACTGTATGAATGTTAAGAAAATGAAAGAGTTAAAATAAGTTTGGCCTCAGCAAAGTAGTTAAAAAGAATTTGAGAGTATAATGAAACTTGAGTCAAAGTTAAATTTTGAAGAACACCAGGATGAAATTAAGATATTAATATTAATTTTTTCTCTTTTGGGAGATAAATTTAAAATGGGAAATATATGAATTGGAAAATACAAATAAGTATATGATATAAGGTGATAAATTGCTGTCTAGAAATTATTGAATTTGGAAAGCAGGAACGAAAGATGTGAGGAAGTCCAAATAGTAAAAGAAAGTAAGATTTGGAGTATGATATATTGTTGTTTTATTGTTTTATTGTATGTGTATTTCTTTGTTTGTTTTTCTCTTTTGTTCTTCTTTTCCTATGTATGTTGAAAACTTTGAATAAAAATTTATTAAAAAAAAAATAGAAGTTAGTAAGCCCAACACATATTTATTTGTTACATTTATATCTCCCATTTCACAAAAATAAGAAATGCCGAAGTCAGCTAATGACACTAAAATCCACTGCAGAGTCCATATATTCTTTTGACTGTGAGAAACTAACAGTGGGGAACTGTTTCAAGTGAGAAACCCTTGATCTGGGCTAGCTGGGTCTTGCTTCTGCTTCACCCTTTGGAATTGTTGGGTGTAACTACTAATAAAAAGCAGTATTGTTTTGATACCAGCTTTGGTTTCAAAATGGACGAAATTTTGTCCCTAGAAGATCGTGGCAAGGTAACTTGGGACAATACTAAGTTGCAACCTGTGACATTTCAATCTGTTCATGCTGCCCTCATTTTTATACATCTCAGTTGTGATCAATTTGACAAGGAAGCGTGTTGACAAGGAAGTGAAAAATAAAATATGTTTCCATACCGGGTGTTTGTGTATTTGTGTATGTAAAGTCTGTTTTAAAATGCTTTTAATTGTTTTTTCCAGATGGAAACATGAGAATTCCCCCCCCACACACACATTTTACGTGTTTCCATTCTAGAATATCCCTTGGTACAACAGCATATCCTAGTAGAAGCTCACAGTGACACAAGTGATGTGCAGAGCAGGCTAATTCTGCAATGCAGAAAATTACAAATACTGATCATAGAACACGAGCATTCCTGTCTTTTAGTTTCCTTGCCTTTTTGCAGGCATCCTTGATCCTACCTCCAAAAGAGCTGAAGGGATTTTCTTTTGTCTTTTGAAGGATGAGTAGTGGATATTGTGGAAGACAGAAGAGAAGGCACTGCCTGAAAACCTGGATGAACTTGTAGGGAAGCTCACACTTAGTGGCCGCTCTGCAATAGTAGATACAGGAAGAAGGGGAAAGAATTATTTGCTGTGCAGGCCGACCCTGTTCTGTATTCAAGTAACAGATCCAGTCTCAAAGCACTTCATTCTTATTTCTTGCAATGGTTTCCCACCCTTTCTCCAGAGTGCTTAGGACAGCATGCACAGATTTCCTTATTTCACCTTCCCAGTGGCCCTGTTAGGTAGGCTAGATTGCAAGATTGAATATAGCTGAGCTTAGGCTTTTTGGTTCAAGTCAAACACTCATCCTACACCACCAAATTGGATCTTTAAACTCTACACACAAACTAGGATGTGGCAGCGATGCATAAAAACACCCCTCAGTAATTAAGTGTTTCACACAAGTCAAAACTTCTGAGATATTATTCTCTGGGAATAACTGTGATCTTTGTGTACTGACTGACCCTACATTAAACACAGCATAATGTTTTCCCTCCAGGAGTGGCGGGGTATAGCTAATTGCTCCAAAGAGAACTGGCGCAGTAACCAGCTCATGCCTGCTGCCTGAATCACAATCTTGCTGAATGGCTGGTGAACACAAAATTAGTTCCGTGTCATGGGGGCAAAATGGCCACAGGAAAGTATAATCAAAAAGTGCTGCTCCCCAAGAAGCCTTTTGCTTTTGGTATGTGAGGAGGGACAGAGAGGACTCACCTCTCCTCCTCAGTTCAGTGTAGCAGCCATCACAGACTTTTGCAAGCCGATCTTTGAGGTACTTCAGAGGATACTTGTTTCTTGAGCAATTTCGGCATATAATCTACAAGAACAGAAGATGTGGTATGTATGCATTCTGCAGACCAGTGAGACATGAATAGAAAACAACCAAAAGAGACTTAAAAGCTAATCAGTCCAGGACCATCCAATCTCATTGCTGCCACCACTGCATATTCATCCAACACTCAATGCAATATGCCCTGAAGCGGAAACCAGGTGCATTAAGCAGAGGACAGGATAGAGAGCTTGAGATGACTCATGTAATGAAACAAGTCTCTTTAATTCTATTTCCTGGATATAACCACATTGTTTGTCATCTTCCACTTATGTGTGGCCATCGTCCTTCTCATCGTTCTTTATAGTAAAGCTACATCCTGCCCATCATCTGAAATGAGTAACAGCAGCATCAGCACCATGTCACAACACTGTAGAACTGATCTGTGCTTGACTACAGTCCCAGCTGTGTTCATGAAGCACAGGGCAATGCTGTTATGAAATCCTATGTGCAGAAACGGCATCTCCACTTTTGTCATAAGCTGCTAGAAAATCCTACTTGGTGCAGTGAAGAAATTTTGAGCAGAGTGCTCTTAGTTGCTAAGATATGTGAAAACAGCCAGGTTTAACACGAATTACCTTCCCACATGCATGGCAATGATGACGTCTCAGCGTGAGCTTGAAGTCACAACCGCAGTTCATGCACATCATTACATGAGACACGGGTACCAAGGTTGGAGGTCTCTCACCCAAGGACATTCCCAGCCTTTCCCGAAGCTGAAAATATAATGCAGAATTGCACTGGCTTTATTCTTAGCTCTGCCACGTAGTACAGGCTATGCTTCACCTGAACTACTCACTGGCGGGTATGTGCATTGGGATTCAGTGCTAGCCAGTCTTTTCACTGTGCACTTTTCACCATTCAGCATGAAAAGTTCACCACAAAAACCTGATCTGGTGGGTCCTGCTTCCTGATCTCTCTTGCAATGGCAGTAGAGGGGGTAGGCAGTGCCTCCAAGGCAGTGCTTTGCATGTGCATTATGTGCGGACTTCTAAAGAGTGGTTGCATTTGGGATGATGCCATCTCAAAGAACAGCAATAGATGCAGACAGTGATGCAATAGATGTGCAATAAATACAGACAGTGATGTGTTGGAGACATTCCCCCCCCCCCATTCTGAGGATCAGTCAAGAGGGTGCCATTCCTCCAGTAAATGGAACATGCATGCGCAACACCATCTTTGAGTCACTTCCTCTTTTCTAGCACCATTGTAACAAGAGACCAAAGTCTGCCACCATAGCATATTCCCCAAGCTTCCAAATGAAGCGTGAAATGGCTGCATGTAGGGAGCTGGCTCTGGATTCACCCTAAAAATCCAGACGGAGTCTAGAACTGCTCTCAGCTGGCGACTACCACAGGATTTAATTGAATGGAAAAGAATATTTTATTGCTCAATCCCAGACAAGTCTGCTTTTTATGATCGCCTAAAAGAAAATAATGCATATGTTGTATAGCTACACTTAAGCCAGATACACACTATTGTTTATCATTAATGAATGCATGTCCATTTTGCTATATGTTCAAATAAAGAGGTGTATGCAGCACACAGTTGTGTCTACATGCACGAAACTTACATTTAGGTAGGAAATTGTATGTGAAGCAGGCCTAAATTGTCACTTTATGATGTCTTAGGACATCTAACAAATTGTATATAGATTTAATTTCATTAACAACCCCAAATAAAGATATTATTATTATTATTATTATTATTATTAAATCTAGTGTTCAGTCTGGATTTTTACTGAATGCATTGGTTCTTATTCCAAATCTTTATCTGTCCTCAAAAAAAACGAAAGGGGATTTTTTTTTTTAAAGAAAAAATGTTCCCAAGGTGCTGGTTTGCTTTCAATTTGTACAATAGTGTGCATACAGGTAGATTCATCTGGAAAGGGGGATACCTATGTGGGGAAAAATATAGAATTGCATTGGAATTTTTTCTACTTATGTCCTTACAAAACATCTTTCAAGCCAACTTTATTTACAAGTTACAGTACAGAGAATCTTCTTGTTTTGTTCTCTATTTCTTGTTTTATGTGATTTTTGGTTTAATATTATTGCAGTGTCTGTTACCCTTGCATGTTATAAATATTTAAATTAAAACAAAACACATTTAAGCACAGAGAACCAGGGTTGAAAATAATCAAAAGACCATCAAGTGCAGCCTCAGCAGGACCACCCACCCACCAATTCACACATCAGTCTGTGAATCCGGGGCTACCACATAATAGTGCTTTGCAGAAATAAAACACCAACTAATGCTAGCATCATTGCAGCAAGATACCTGGAGTCTCCTCTGTATCTCATTGCACAACAATAAAACTGGAAAGAATTTTAAAATTCCAGGAGCAACCGCATGATGGATGAATATTAAACACACATGCTTTGGTGACCTTTGCTGTCTAGCCTTGGCAGGGCAATTTACATGAAAATAATCCAAATGCCTGGCCATAGGGGACTCTCTTCATTGTTGTCGTTGGCATCCCACTGTCTCCATAGATAATGGAGTACACCTGCAGGGGGGAAGTAAAACCGCTGCATTAGCAGCACCAAAGTGACCTCCCCAGGGCACAAGCCTGGGCAGTGTGTATGGAGGTCCTGGGCTGCCCAGACAACAAGACCCCCTCCCCTTTTTGGCCTCACTGATGTGCTCCAAAGGAAAGCAGAGCAATAAGTTTGACACCAGCTTGGCTGCAGGAGTTGACAGAAGGAGGCGTACAAGGCAGCATCCAGCCGTTTTAGGGACTGCACTCCGAATTTGTGTAGGGTTTACGCTCCCAAAGATAACCTGCAAGGTTTAGCATCAGAGTTTTTCTTGTCCTAGGTGAGCTACCTTCCCAGATTGACAAGCCCCATCTGCCTCTCACTTCTCTCTACAGTACGTGCCGAAAGCTTCCTTCTTGACCATTGGACCCACTATTGGTCTTGTCCGCTCAATCTGCTGGAGCCTTTCTTCACATGCAAGGGAAGTCCCTAGCTCACGGAGGGTTTTCTTAAACCTACTCAAATAGGTCAGACAAGCCACTGGAACCTGCTCTTACTTCAACACTGTTGTGAAAGGCAGCTGTAGTGTGAACTCTGTAGTCATCCGGGATACATCTACTGATGCAGCTGTACCACTCGTCCCTTTCAGAGCACGAGCTGTGGAGAGAAATGCAAGCAACTTGGTCAGAGTTGGGCATCCTGTTTCTTAACGGCAGGATTTTGTCCTTAAGATTCCTTTCCCCTTGCTCTTTCTTCTGGCTGTCCACGGAGGTCATGCAAAGCCCTCCCATTCATGGAAGTCTGTCCATGTGCCTTTCAGTAGAGGAAATCTGCATTGACCTGGGGTGCTTCGAAATGAGTCTTAATTTGCAATGGGTTATGGAGATGTCACAAACGAGTCAATTAAAAAACAACAACAAACGAGTCATAGAAGACACATTTTTGTTTTATAAAAATACTTGCTGGATTTCTCTTGGGAAAAATACATTTCTGATGCCAACGACATGTCAAGGCTGCAAAAAATGACAACCCCAAAACTTGCATGCAATAGTAGTAAACCCATGCTTCTGCAGGCTGATCATTAGAGGTCGCTGTTGCACTATGAAAAGCTTTCAGAGAGCAATTCTTAGGGAGTTAAAACTATTCCACCTGCTTTGCCAGAACTTCAATAGGAATTGGTCCTCTGCAAATGGCATATGGGTATCTGTATGTTTCCCCCCATAGGGCAAATAGCAGCTGCAGGCAGGTAGGGTGTGAAGAAATAGATTTTGAACAGAAAACATATGTGCAAGTAAGGGCTTGTCCGCCCTTCTGCATGTCTCATGCCTAGTAAGCACAGGTTTTGGAGCAGTTTTGGACCCAAGTGGCTTTGCCTTTGTCCTGCTGCTTTCCCCCAGAAAACCTGCTCTTTGGCGCTAAATTGGAACAAATGACAAACTGTGGAAACTGGATTGCTGTTGGTTCCAATTCAGTGCTAAACCGGGGGCTTTCCTGGATGAGCCCTAAGGACCCCTCTCCTCCATTGCCGGGTATCAGAGCTGAATCCCCTTCCCAGCAAAACTGCATTTGCTTTTTTGCAAAAACGTGGGAGATCTAATTACAAATTTCCTGCCCTCTCATCTAGTTGTGAGAAAATGGCTCAGTGGTCACAAAACCCTGCTCCATTGGAAGTTTTGTCTTGCTGGTGCTCTAAACCTCCCTCGGTCTTGAAGTTGAGAGAGAGCAAGTGCCTGAAGCAGAAATTAAAGCTTGTAGGCTGAGCAGCCTTAAGAAAGTTAAGAGTGGGCGAGGGTTAAAGGAGAGCCAAGATATCAAGCTGAAGAGCATCTATAAAGGGTTGATCCCCTGATCCCTCCTGCGCTGCATTCCAGCTTCTTTCTAGTCTCATGTGAAATGCCATTTGAAGAGTTCTGCATTTAAGTCGGTTAGAAGCCCTAGATTTTATAAAGTATTGCTGGGTTGCACGATACTAACGTTGCAGGTTGGTTGGTGTAACCACTGGCAGGGAATGAGACCAATGGTTATTACAAGAAGCTAAATTAAGTTCCCCTTTGCAAAAAAAAAACCAAAAACAAAAAAAACAAAAACAAAAAAAACATTCATTCCAAATTTAGACTGAGGGAATTTTGTATCAAAAGCATGTAAGATGCTGGTGACTTTGCTCCTCCGTGAGTGTGCAGTTCTGAGCTCTCTCAACTTTACAAAGAATTGACACTTGAGATATATGTATTTTAGGACCCACCCTGGTCTTGTGACTGTAATCCGTTTTACACTGGTTTTAATGCTGTGTTTTAAATTGCTGTAACCAGCCCTGGAAAGTTGTGGTTTGCATGGACAAAAAATAGAAATTAACAGCAGCAGCAGCAATATCCTAATGTGACCTGCTCTTTAGTTTCTGTATAAAATCACCACTAGCATCAGTGCTGGGCCTGCAACACTGCCCCTGTTATCTCTCCAGCCTGTGCTCTTGTGTGCGGTATCAGGCAAAGACATCTGAGACTAGTTTATCTTTTGTGAAAGAAAACCAGAAGCTGATCAATGGTGCTTGACTGAGGCTGAATCCCCACACCCCCATGAGCACTTAACTGTGAAAAACATCAGCTGCTATAAAACTCAATTACCCTGCTGGTGAGAAGAAAGCCCAGGACAGAGGCATAATGAGATGAGATACCTTGCGTCACCTTGCGTCTGTGCCTCCCAGCTTTATTTACTCTCCACGTGCTTCCCGCACCCAAGTCTTTAATTGCAAGATGGTTTCCATCTATTAAAGACCTCTGATGTTTGCATTGCCAATCTTAGAGTTGGAAGGGGTCCAATGGTCATCTAGTCCAACCCCCCTACAATGCAGGAATCTCAGCTAAAACACCCAAGACAGATGGCCATCCAACCTCTGCTTAAAAACCTCCAAGGAAGGAGAGTCCACCACGTCTCGTGGAAGTCTATTCCACTGCCGAACAGCTCTTACTGTCAGAAAGCTTTTTCCGATTGTAACTTATTTCCAGCAGGACTTTTGTGCCTTTATTAACAAACAAAAATTTCCCTCTGCCCCAGTACTGCGTCTGAATGCTAGGGAGAGCTTCATGCAACCGATAAAGGCAAAATACCCCTCCCAACCCACCTGAAATGCTAAATCATGACTAGCTGAAATCTCTGGATATATACATGCATTTTGGAAATAATGGGAGGAATTCAATGTAGCACTAAGGAGATGCTCTGTCAGGCAAGCAATGGTTTTCTGATGGAATGATTCCACCCCCCCATGCTGTACTGGGGTTTCTCTCAATCTCCTAAGCCAATTAGGGGGGCACAGGAGATGGGGAGGGACAGGAAAGCCCTGCTGCACTAGCAAAAGCCCTTGCACTAACAGAAGACTGGCCCACAATCACTGTGAGTAAATGAAAGAGGATTTGAAAAGAATTGCAGGTGAAAGCAACAATGTGGATGGATCTTTAGCTATCACTATTGCATATTTCCAGTTACAGATAGGTAGCCGTGTTGGTCTGCCATAGTCAAAACAAAAAATTCCTTCCAGTAGCACCTTAAAGACCAACTAAGTTAGTTCTTGGTATGAGCTTTCGTGTGCATGCACACTGTATCTGAAGAAGTGTGCATGCACACGAAAGCTCATACCAAGAACTAACTTAGTTGGTCTTTAAGGTGCTACTGGAAGGAATTTTTTTTGTTTTGACTATTGCATATTGTTAGCCAGGAGTGTCAATTGGATAAGTTGCCTGTGTCTGTCTGTAAAAAACATTTGCCTGCTGCAAGATGAACGACTTCCAACTACTGCCATACTTCTCACTTTTTATTATTCTTATTTATTAAATTCACATGTCACCCTTCACAGGATGGTTTTGATGCATGTGTGCCAGATATGCTCAGCACGAAATATGGGGCATCCCTCAGATATATGCATAGATAAACTGCAGCATAGAATCACCTGCCACGAAGTTCAAAGCATCTTTGAGAAAGAGGGAAGAATGAACCCACAAACCAACTGCGTGCACTACAGCAAAGTTAGCCAGAACATCTGATCAGGGATTATATGCCAACAAAAGCCTGATCTTCCACACACACTTCCCATCTGCTTTCTGCTCCATTAAACTGCTTCTGGACTGATATATTGCTTAAGTGAGGAGAGAACACTTGGCTGCTGCTTTGTTAATTGGCACTGATCTTTTCTGTGTAAGTAGTTTGCTGGGGATGAAGAAGGGCACATAGCTCTGGATGCACAAGCCAAAACTACCAAAAGTACCACCCAAGGTATCTTGCTTCTGATCTGTAAGCTGCCTTGAGTCCCATCAGGAAAATAGGTGGGGAAAAATAAATGTATTGTTATCATCATCATAATCATCACCATCATATTGTTGTGGCCTCCTGAACCCTCATTGTGAAAGCTGGTTTGTTTTTAACTCTGCATATCAAGTGATGAGCAAACCGCAATAATTTTTTTTTTTTTAGCAGAACCCTGTTTCACCAAGTGCAAAAGAGATACACTTAGAATTCAGTAATTCTCAGCCCTGGAATTTGTTTTTTGAGGACCAGAACTGAACTAAGCTTACAGTCCTTTCACACACAAAAATCATTCCTGGTTACCTCTTCACCCCTACCCCCAATTTCAACGGTATAATTACAGAGGGTCATATTGCTGTGGTCTTGTTCAACAGTTTGGGAGCCAAAAATCCTTGTCTATTCACTTCAAATTACCCAGAGATCCAACAGTTGATCTTGATTTACATTTTGCCAATTCCTGGTTTAAGAACAGTGGAAACGTGGACCCTGATTGCTACTGTACTGTGGCAGGCAGCAAAAAACATCAGTGCAGCATGGGAACTAGCCACAAGGAAGACCCTACAAATCTCAATGCTAAGCAGGGTTTCACAGCAGCCTAAAGATAATTTTGCTGAATAGCCTCCTACAAGACTATCTAAAGTCTCGTTGTTACAGGGGCACTGCCTGGTTGGGCTGACAGACAGATAAAGCACAAATAATCTCATTTGCAGTCTGCATAAGAGCTAACTCCAGCCAGCTACACAACAAAGATGAGAGAGATCTCAAGGCCAGATATACCACTAGCTCTGCCTATAGATTCCCCCCCCCCCCGTGGTCTTGATCTGTGCCTATGGTAGACTTCAGGGGTCATCTGATTTCTTAAAAGTTGTTTCTAATGGGTCCCTGCGACCCATGCATTGATACAATTCTAATCTTTTGTCTATTTCCTTCTCACAGTGCTTAATTGAAACTCATGCATCTTATTCATTCCTACTTCATGAGAATGAACTGCTCAAAGGTAGGGAAAAAATAACTTTGACTAATGTGTGGTTCTAAACATGTGCTCTTCTGATTCCTACCTGAACTGCTGCTCTTTGCCAACTGAGGTAAAGGGAACTAGTGGACAGGGTATAGAGGCAAAACCCTATGAATGTAGTTTTTTCTAAGACCTAAACTTTTCTTCACTGAGCCCAGATGCCGTAATAGCAGCAAGGTTCCATTTGTGCTGCTGGCAATCCTGTGATCTCAATGCACTTTTTGGTTTTAATAGTTGTTAATTCATTAGGAAGGTTCCTTATAAACAGAGACCTCCATTACATTGTCAGTATTTTTTTTAAAAATAATCTTTCCTCTTTCATTTAAGCACTATAAAATGCCCTAAAACCCACCAGGCAGAATTAGGTAATTATGACTTTTTATTAGCCCACCAGTTACCTCAGGGACATGACAAGTGAAGTTATAAGAAGCGAAAGAGGCAAAGCGTGACAGCAGGGAAGTTACGAAAGATCAAGAGACAGACCACGAGTCTATTAGAAATAGATTTTCTGCTCTCCGCTCTCTGTCTAAGATCTTCTGAAGTGCTGAGCTAAAGCCTTCGGCTCATTATAAGTGCTGAGACAGTTATGTCTTCTGAGCTATACGTTCAAAATGAATGCCTTCTTTATAGTTGAACACTTGCCCATTATCCACTAGGACACCATGGATATGAATGGAGTTTAAATATAGTGAGATGCCAGCTAAGTCTTGGGATGCAGTTGCACTCGTCTAGGGAGTCAATTTTTTTCCAGAAAAACGAATAGTGCTATGATATGGCTTACCTTGCTGATAGAGTTAAGCAATTTTCAGCGTATTCAATCTTCAGGACATTTTGTGCCTTTTCTGTCACTGGACGGCTAACCTAAAAACAAATGACATTTGTCTGTAGGTAGGAAGGAAATCTGTTAAAAACCATCCATGCCCAGAGCACGCAGACACTTAAATCCCTTTTGTCATAGAGCTGGGGCAACGTGGTGGCCTCTGGTTCCCAAGAAGGTCTCAAAGTGCCCATCAACACAGACAGGCTTTCTGAAGTGTTCACATAATATAAAACTAAGTGATGGATTTTCCAAGGAGACATGCCAAGTGAAATATACTCAAGAGAACAGCCATAGGTTTCATGGAGTTTTTTCAGTGTGCTGGTAAAAACAGTCAGTCATTGGGTGTGTCACCTGGCTGGCCCCTCCCAAACCCAATCTATATATCCTTTATTCACACCCAAGGTCACACCTGATAGGCTAGTTCAAACTTCCCTTCTGGAGCCAGATTGGACGGCTCCAACGGCCAATCAGATGCTACATTATAAAACCCTCCCTGCCTATTATTCAAGGATCCCAACTCCAGACATAACACCGAGTAAACACAGGAGGAAGGCCAGTGGAATGAGTGAAAGCCTTTGTACTCTGTTGGGAGCAATGCATCACCTCAGGCAGCTGCAGGGCCAGACCAAGACATTTTGGCACCTGAGGCAAACCTCAAAATGGCTTTGCGAGTGAAGGTCTACATCAGGAACAAAGGGGGGCGGGAATAAAGATCTACAAATGTGGGAGAAGACCAGCAGTGCTTTGTATTCACCAAGAGGCCTCTGTAGAGGCAGAATTGGGGGCCAGGGGCTACTGGGGAGGCAGCAGATCGAGCCTCCAAAGTGCACGCCAGCAGATCTTTATTCCCATGTTATGAATGGGAAACCGAAGCTGAGAAACAAAGGGTTGAACTCTATTTTAGTCACACTCATTGAAATCAGCAGACATCGCTAAGGTGTTTTAATTCAAATAGGTAGAGTAGAACTTAGTCGGCTACAATGCCAGGTCAAGACCACCTGGTCCACTGGATCCCACTCTCTGGAATTGAGATGGTGGAAAAGTGAATGTTCTTAAAGATGAAAAAGAATAATAGACATTTGAAGGTTTGGATCCATTCAGCAAGGCTTTGGACAGCAGCTTTCTAGGCAGTGTGGAGAAATTAAGCTAAACCGATATCACAGGCCTTTCCCTGTTGTTTAAATTTAAAATGTTCTGAATACTTCACAAATCAGGCAAATACTCTGCCCTCTCACCAATCTCTTAAAGAAAAAAAATTGGGGAGGCACAGGTGCAATGAATAATTTTCACATTCTTCAGAAACATATTAATTTAAATTGATCCAAAACTTCTTACACTGCCACGTCCAACAGCACATTGCTTCATTACTTGTTGATGTGGAGGAGGGCTTCTTGTTAGTGCTCCAACATTAAGCCCTAGCTAAAGCAACTCTCAGTAGCTGCAAAGAGAACCAAAGGGAATCCTGACTAGATAGTAAATCAATTTTGATTTACATTATTCAGGACCAGCCTCTTTGGAAACTGCCTCATTAGGACTTTATTAACATCCCTGCCCACTGCTGCTGAACTTGTTCTAAATTCCTGCGCTTCAAATACTTTTCTCATTTTAGCTCCTGTAGCAAACAAAGATAACCTGAAGATAAAACGCCTCTCCCTCCTTCCAGCCAAAGAGAACTAAAAGGCTTCCAGCTGGATAAAAATGCAGTGCTAAACAAAAGAGAGGGTGTTCACGTTACCCTCATGCCAGACACAGCCAAGGTGTTCTTCAGGCGATACTTGCCATCCTTCTGGGGATACGTATACAGCAGAACATCATTCATCTGTACAAAGAGAAAGACAAAATCAATTACTTGCAACATACTTTGTAAGTCTCACTGGTATTCTAGGTCCACTACAAGGAGCAACTTGATGAACTATCTGGGGAACGGTCTGATTGCCAAATTCCTGAAAGGACCAAATGGAAGTGTTTCAAATGTGGGTGGGAGGATTTGTCATGTGACGGAGTGGCTGAGTGGTGGCTTTACCACTCACCTGCTTCGTAACCCGGCTCACATTAACCAAACACCTGTGTAACTTCTACCAGTGGGTCAAATGATATGGGCCATTTTCAGATTATCCATTTATAATGCAATAAGCAGACAGTTCTTCTGGAAATTTTACTGTGGGAATAGGCATTTCCCCAGCATAATTAAATATGCAATATTTTGGGAATCTGTAACAGGGGTGGGGGAGAAATAGGCCGTAACCAGCCAGGAAAGCTACTGAATGTTTGTACCACAGGGGAAAATGTGCCGCTGTTCCATTGTGTGTGTGTCTGTGTGTGTTTTAAAATCAAATGGGGCAACGGAAGCTGAACATGGAAAACATGGAGGAGTATGTTGTGATTATGATGTTACATAGATACCCTGTAAAAGTGAGTAAAGCACGGCTATTTCACAGTAAGCAGTGACACTCAGCTGAAACCCTGAACTGCTATTTGTAGATTTTATGTAACAGCACACACCTTTCTAAGTGCTGAATGCCACAAGTTAGCCAACTGTACCACTGTGTCCTGAATGATTCTATCTAAGCAGGCTTGTTTTTAGTGTGCTTTAGCCAGTATTCACAATACATTTCCTTACTGTTATTACTTTTCTTACTTCTTACTACTTTTCTATATAACTTGAGATAGTTAATAGGGTTCGTGCTCCTGCTGGGTGAGGCTACTGTGTGAAACCATGGCTTCATACCTCACACTGGGATTTATCAGGTGTTAAGGGCCAAGCTAGACAAAATGGCGGAAGATTCAGAAGATCTCTCTTTTAAAGTATAATCTGCTACAGCGGGGAGAAGGCAAATCAGGGCCTTCCTCCCCCTGTACATTTTCTCAGGCTATCATTATTCCCTGAATAGTATCTATATGATTCCACTCCATGAATCTCCACAGGGTCAATTTTAAAAAAATAAAAATAAGCAACAATCCACTACTATGCCACTACCGCCAGATTATTTAATCAGGCTGCCAGAACGTCTTAATAAAATCTCTGTATAAAAAATGAACCCCATTATTATCTTGGGATCAGCTATGTAAGCAAGAACCCGAAGAGGCACATGGATAGGCAAAGACTGAAGATTGAAAAGCACAAGTCACAGAACTGATATTAAAAGTTAAGATTGAATTCATTATGAGGGAAATCAGACATCGCAATGCATTTAAAGCTAAGAAAATATTTCAAGACGGGGGAAATGGGTGATTTGTACGGTTGGAGCATAGTGGGGGAACCATTTGAGTTCCACCAGCCCTATGGACAATATGAGAGGAAAGAAGCTCTCTTCACAAGGAAATGTAGTGTGTTTATCTGTGTTTCTGTATATTGCACCCACGCAAGTGTAGAATTCAGGAGCAAACTCCAGCCACCATGATGGTGACATAGTGTTGACTTACACAGGGTCTTTGTTCTGTCTGACTACTGTCAACTTTTAACAGCAGTTTGCCTTCTTAACCATAAAACATGCAGTCCTTTAACTGGAAGTATTAGGCATGCAACCTGGGACCTTACACCTGGCAAAACATGCACCATAGCTCTGAACACTGGAAAATAGAACTGGAATGCTTGAATCCTGATCATTAGTTCCTTCCATGCTATACACTCACCCTGCTTCCTGCGCATTATTCTTTGTCTATCAGATTTATTATGGCACAAGGAGAAATATATTCTTTTCTTATCCCTTTAAAGAGCCCATGTTTGCTTCTCAAACAGCCTCAACAGCAGACTTTCCATATGACAAGGTGACAAATGGCTTGTCAGGGAAGTTTTTGTATCATTTACTTATTGCTTCATAAATTACCCACCCTGCCAACATTAATCTAATCATCTTGGTGACCCCCACGTTGTTGTGATCTCATTATGTATCCCTGTTTAACAAGGGCTAAACATACCCTCAGAGACAAATTCATTACAGCCTCTTGGAAATTGGGGATTGGTGAGGTTAGCACAGGAAAAGCCTCAGCTATTAAGAAATAGTTCACTGAAATGAATTCGGCTGTGGTTATTTATTTTCAAAAACAGATTAAATATGGGAACTAATGCCACAGGAAGAGTATCAAGAGAAATTAATTTTGATACTAAGCCACAAAAATGCTCTTGGTTCATGCAGCTAGTAATTCAACCTCCCAAATGAGATGGTGCCGGTGCAAAAAATAAATAAGAGAATTGGGCTGCAGCACCCTTTGCATATTCAAAGTTTGCTTAATTACAGAGAAGGCCATACATACACTTTCTTTGCCTGTAATGCAGCCACATTGTTCAGGGTCATTCCAAGTCTCAGAAAAGACAGCTAATGAAGGGCACCCCGCCAATAACAAAAAATGAGTTCATGTGAGGCATTGTCAGGCTCTTCCCAGCATGCACTGCTACACCCCTTGGCTACAAATTCTGCTTATTTTATTTATGAGAAATATTTCCACGAAACCAAAGACACTGTATGGTTGGTGATGATTAAGGAAGCCACCCTAGCGCACTGTTGCTATGGCAGCCATGATTAGTATCCCTCAGTTTTATTAAACATTAATGGTGGTTGTGTTTTGTTAATTGCCCATTAGAGTTATTTCCCATCTGTTTTGTCTTTACATTCAAGGAAATGTGTCTGCAGTCTCTTCTAAGGCCTCACTGGCCATGACTTGCCACTATGAAATTCAAATTAATGCTACTCAGCTTACCAGGAGGGGGATGGTAATGCTAAATATCCATGCAGGGTCTGAGTATCTGTATAAAAGAGCAGTATGAATGAGATTACGCTGGTGTAAGTACCTAACCAGCACTACGTACCAGCCATTCCCCCCTCCCCATTTCCCCCCATTGCTATTTCATTGCTACCATTATAGCAATATTTTAGCCAGTTCTTGACTGACTGAAAATGCTTCTAGGCATCCTTAATCTGCAGAGATAGCAAGGCAGCATACAAATATATAGCAGGGGAAACCCCAGATAATACCATTAAGAATGGTAAGTGGCAATAGCCAACTAAGTGATGCTCAGACTTAAGTAATTTTGTAAGTGCCTATCAAAATGTTTTCCCTTTTCCCAGTTTATAAGACAAAGGAAAGCAATGTTTTCCTAAATAATGCCCGGCACAGTGGCATTGTATCTGAAGTAAATCAGTGAGCATGTACACATGGAAAAGGTTAACTTCAGAATGGGCTGTTGATAGCATTTCTGGGAAGAACCCTATACCTCATCTATGCTAGTATATGGGGATGGGATCAATTAAAAAGTTATTTCCACGAGATAAAACAAAACAAATTTACAGTGAGCTTTACTATCTGTCCAGTCAGATCTGCCAGGAAAGCCAAGACTTGCATTTAGCCTTTTTGTATAGATGAAAAGATTGGAATCACTGCAAATACAGAAGATAGTCCGACAGGGAGTATATTGGTGTGTAGGTGTCTGCATGTGTGAAGAAGTGTGCATGCACACGAAAGCTTATACCCAGAACAAACTTAGTTGGTCTCTAACATGCTACTGGACATTTTTTTTAAATTTATTGTGAAAAAAAAGTTATTTAGGATAAAGATGACAATATATTTGTACAGTATCTTCTCATGACTATAAAACAGCATTCATAAATTTAGGTTGGACATCAGACTTCTGGAGCAGTCTTCCTAGAGAATGTGTGGGAAAGAACCTCAACAATTTTGAGATGTTCAAACGAGCTGCAGAAGAACTGTGGAAGAAGCGTGAATGATTATTTCCACGCTGTAATAAAAACAGGGATTCATGCATTTCCTCTGATGCAAAGTCCAAAAAGAACAAGGAAACGGGAAACATAAATCACTTGGTCTTCCTCTGTCACTGCTTGCTTCTTTCATCTGTGACCAGTTGTATCTAGTTCTTCAGATGAGGCCCTCTTCAGTTTCATCTGCAAAATGCAGCCTTAAAGGACAATGCCTTCTTGGTGGTGATCTCCAAGCAGTGGAATGCCCCCCCCCAGTCAGACTGGCACAGACATTATATTCTTTTTGGTTTTCAGTGCCAGGTTAGGACATTTTTTATGTGCCCAGGATTTTTAATCCTGCCTGCTTATAGTGCTCCGTGATATGAATTATATGCATGAGCTTAGTTTGTGCCTCTCAACATTTGAAGTTGAGCTCCATTCTAAGGTTATGCTCCATTTTCGGTGCTGGATTTTGGGGGTGGATGCAAATGTACCTCTTCCTCTAGTGTGCAAGGATCTCTCCATATTCACAAATCAGCATACAACCCACAAGTAGCCACCACACACACACAAACTCATTAAGGACTCATTCCCATTCAATCTATCCAGGTACAGGCTTCTGAGAGATCAAGGTGCAGCCTGACTCATAATCTTGTACCCTGGAACTTGGGCCTCCTCCTCCAAATGTTCCAGCACCTTCAAATTTGATCCAAACCCCACAACTTGAGAACTACTTCATTAACTGGTAAGGGGAACAATGAATGGGGGAAACATATGCTACGCTGGGAGCCTGGATGTACCGTATTTTTTGCTCTATAACACGCACTCAACCATAAGACACACCTAGTTCTAGAGGAGAACGAGAAAAAAATGTTCTCTCCCTCTCTGCTCAGCGCCTCTCCAGCAAAGCGGGAGGAGAAATGGAAGGAGCTCCGTTTCTCCTCCCGCTTCACTGAAGGGACGCTTCGCAGCTTTCCCTCTCTGCACAGCGCCCCTTCAGCAAAGCGGCAAGAGAAGCGGAGCCCCTTCCATTTCTCCTCCCGCTTTGCTGAAGGGGCACTGCGCAGAGAGGGAAAGCTGCGCAGCCTGCATTCATTATATAAGATGCACACAGATTTCCCCTTACTTTTAGGAGGGGAAATGTGCGTCTTATAGAGCGAAAAATACGGTAGTTTTGCAGCCACAAAGTTGTGCAGTATTGTTGAATTTGGTGCATCCTGGCAGGATGTTTGTTTGCTCTGTTTCACTGGATGCCTGCCTGTTTCCTGCCTGGATCCTCTTTTCAAAGATCACCAGGGTAGGCTGCTGAATTGACACTCTCCACCCCTCCAAGCTTAAATACTTTTGGAATATTCTGTAGGCATTGAACTGTCAGCCAATTTACATGTGGGGCATGGAATGAAACCTGCATATGGATCACCAAATTATTTCAAATATAATAAAAAATTGTCTGTTTGCTGTGCAAAATGTCATTTCTAAAGGACCATCTTTCTGCCACCGGAAGATCCAGAAATGCCATTTCGTCAGCAGCCATTTATGTAAGGAAGTAAGTCCCACAGAACTCAGTGTTACCTCCTTTCAAGCACACATTTATTCAAACTGTTTCAGTTCCACGCTAGAAAACATCACTGGGGAAGTTCTACTTTTATCGTAGCCGCACAATACATGGACGCACAATCTACATATGTTGGCTCCGTTTGCACAGCAGGCTTCCACTTGCACAAAGGAACTTCCCTGTCTTCTTCCTTGCTCCTGCATCCCCACGCAAAGCCTCAAAATCTGGTAGAAACATCACAATCTGATAGTATCTCCAGTCTTTACTACTTATGCAATGAAGCTTCCCCATCCTCTCCTCTGCAGCTGCCTCCCAACCTCAAACTCCAGATTGTGATATTCCTACCAGAACCATTGATGGCTTTCAATTCAATCGATAGTGTTGAAAAGTACATCACAGGTTTCTCAAGCTTTTATTTTCCTGGATTGTCCTAGAAATCTTTCCCTTTAAAAACCCCCACAAAAAACTACCAAGAATGGGACTGCATGGCCCAGATGTTTCACTTTTTAAAATTGGTTGATCCCTATTCTTCCTTTTCAATCTAAACTCCAGCAGTTTTGTCTTTCGTGATACTACACATGCATGACCATATCATTCATTTCTGGCAGGCAAGCATTAAAAAAAAAAGAGTCACTGGTATGTCTGTTAAATCCCACAAGAATGAGCTCGTGCAGTATCTCCATATGCCAAGGGATTATTATTATTTCCCCCCCTGCAGTGAGCAGCCAGTTTTAGCCCATTCAACACAACGTTTAACAGAAGCCTAAACTCATGTCTCATGGAGAAATTGCCACCCCATAGCCCTTTAATGGTAAATTTACTCTCATTTCAATGCACACTTTGTTTCAACTTTAACACTGCCTCCGTCTCTGCAACTTTTTATGATGAGGACAACTGTGAAAAGCATAATTGAAGCCGAGGCTGTGCTTACATCTCCCACTGCCTCTTCAGCATTGCAGCAAGAAGGGCGAAGGAACACTACTGCAAGGAAGTATCCTGGTCCCTGGAAGATCTGCCTGCTAAAACTACAGCAGTGGCTAGCTGAAGCTCCTTAGTAACCAAAGGAAGGCACACTTCTCCCGCTCAGAGGCACCTCAGCCATGAATATTACTTTGCATGCCCCAGAGCTAAGCACACAGGAAAATAGGTTTTAGTGAAAATAAGGTGTCAACCTGATCTTATATAGTATTGGAAGCAAGATGGACATGATGTTGAATGTGTGTGATTGCATTCTTCTACCTGTCTAGTTTTGTTTTGTTTTCCAAATAAGAGCCACAGCAGGACCAGGGACACCAGGGTCAGGACAGTAGCAGAGGTGGTACTGGACCTCTCCCCCAACAGTCCTGACAGAAATCCTTCTGCCCAGCAAATTTCTATTTGCTCCCAACAGAGGCACTTCCAACAGCATCAAAGGAAGCTAATATATACCTAAATACATTGAAATCAATGGGTTGAGGAGGCACACCTAACTAACGCAGCATAGGATATAGCTGTAAAAAATAAATAAACCCTGCTACAAATTAAAATATTGTCATTCTTTGTGCCAAATAAACCCTGAGACCAAAAGGGTGGCTTCTATTGGCCCAGTGTTAGGGTATAATAGTTACGAGACAATTAATATACAGAGTCATATACTATGCCTGTTTATGCAGAAGTAAGTCTGCTAAGCACATTGGGAATTACTTCAAAGTGGGTGCATGGAATTGCAGCTTTGCAGTGCCGTCCTAACCATGTTTGCTCAGAAGCAAATCCCACTGCATTCATTGTAGCTGGCCTCCTAGCTGGGATGTTTAGATCACAAGCCTCAGTCACCAAGACCCACTTGTCTGCATGTGTCAGCAGTGCGAAAGAGATTAAAGTATTCTTACCAAGAACAAATGTCGAGGGTGCCTATTTTTCCCACACACTTTCATCAGCGTCCCTTCTTTAAGAAACACCTGAGGAGGAAAACAGAGCCTTCAGTCAGTACCTCCTGCCTTCGAAGATGGGACTGCAGGCGGCAGCTAGCGCTGAATGTGGCAGCTAGGTTGCTTGTGGGGGGCAAATCACAACTAGCATATAGCACCTGGTTGCAGGATTTGCACTGCCTGCCAATCTGCTAGTAGGCTAAGTTCAAGGTTTTGGTGTTGACATGTAAGGCCCTGTACAGCTCAGGACCAGGTTACTTGAGAGACCACTTTATCCCTGCGTTCTCCTGCAGAGTTTCTTCTTAAGGTCTCCAAAATATCACAACTCAGTTCCACAGTAACTTGGGGTAGGGCTTTCAGTGTCAAAACCCCTGTTCTATGGAGCAGCATTCCCGTTGAGATACAACAGACGTCCACGATCTGTACTTTCCAGAAACAACCAAAGACATTTTTGTTTTGACAAGCTTTCTCAGCTGCATGAAAAGATCTCTGCCTTAGGTGTTTGTCTTGTATTTTCTTTAAACCCATTTTGGGGTTTGTTTGTTTTTTGGACTGTTTAAAAAAATGAATTTTGCCTGTTTTGATGACATGCATATAAATTGCTTTGAGACTTTTATGTAAATGGTGATTCATAAACAATTTAGTAGGAGTAGTCATAAGAATAAGCCTGGGTGAATTCAAAGTGTTTTTTGCTTTCTGCTTAGAAGTTGAAAATGTTGGGGGCAAGGGAAGCCTCTCCAACAATGGTACTCCATAACTGAGATGCTATGGCTGAAAGGACCTTCTCCCTCACCACTGAAGGAGGCCTTTGGAGAAGGGCATCAGCAGAAGAGCTTAAAAGCACCAGCAGCTTTTCTCTTTGGGGTGATAACCAATTCTAGCACAGGAAGCAGTCCTTGAGGTGATGGGGCTGGGGTGTTGCAGGGTGGAGGTGAGGTTGTGCCTGCAAGGATGTGCTGCCAGACCCCTTGCTGGTGCGTCTTGGGGGGGGGAAGCATCCTTGCCACCACCCTACCCCATCCCAGGCCTGTTCTGCTAAGCTGCAGGGATGCGAGTGTCCAGAGGGCAGTTCAGGACTTACCATATAAGCTGCTAATGATAATAGCTATTGGGGCCTTGACAGAAGAAAGGATGGCAACTTTATAGTAAGTGGAACCGAACCCAGGTGGAACTCACCCTTCCTGGTCGAAGGAGGTTGCTCTGCCCCTTGACACTGTGCTCTATATGTACCAGCTTCTGCAAATTTTCCTGTGGCAGAGAAAGGACCAAAAACAAACAAGAAAGGTTTAGCTTTTGATTCTTAGAAGGTGATCAAAACATTCCCTTTTAAGTTCAAAATGCACCAAGACAGGGCATTTTGCTACCTGAGGCAGAACAGCAAATGGCACCCTCTTCCCTACAAGTCAAGGTAAATAATTTCCAAACCTCGCCAAGTTATTTGGGCAGTTGAAGCAGGAAATGCCACAAACATCTCTGTCTAGCAGTTTTAAAGAAACAAAGACTTAAGTCACAGTTTGCTGCCCTTTCATGACCCCCTAATCATTTTTTTCCTGAAGCAGCTGCTTTGCTCTGCCTAATAATAGGGCCGGCTCCACACCTAGATTTCACTAACTGGCTGGGCTGAAGGTTGCCTTCCCATTAGAAAGCGTTATCACTGCTGAGGCATTAATCTTCTGAAGTGTGCTAGAAGCAGAATTAACATGAAGGATCCAGACAGGCACTTCAAAAAAATTCATTTATTTTCAAATTATTTCTACCCTGCTCTCCAACTCCAAAAGAGGTTCCAAAGTGGCCAGCAACTGAGAACCAATAAATTTAAAGCAACTTTACAGAGCATTAACAATAGCAGGGATGTGAAAGGCAATTGACAGCTGCACAACTGTTAGTAGTCACACAACAGGTGTGGCACGGGTGGATTTGAGCAGACCCTGGAACACCTCAGTGTGGTCTTGTGAACCAGCCTTTATACAAGAAACACGGTATTGCACAGAAGTTAATGTGATCTAATGATGATTAATCAAGAGGAAGCAGCATTCCACAAAGGTTCACTGCAACATTAATTAAAAGTTTTTTCCTTTTGGGTGCAGTATGTAGTCTGCAAACTATCCATTTGAACAGCTTGTCTTAAGTGCCTCCGCTTCCATTTCCAGGGTCACACCTACACTATACTTTTAAAGCACATGACTTCCCCCAAAGAATTCTGGGTACTGTAGTTTACCCCTCTCAGAGGGTAATATAATTTCCAGCACCCTCAACAAACAAAAGTTCTCAGGATTACCTGGGGGAAGCCATGTGCTTGTAATGTATGGTGCAGCTATGAACTATGTGTACAAAGGAGAAGAGAGCTGGTAATTTAAGTTTTTATACAGAAATTTGTGTATTAAAAAACAACACCACAAAAATAATGAAAGGAAACTGCTAATTGTTTCTCCCACTTCAGAAACAGACATTTCTGCTGTTCAAGGGGAAAGCAACATGCAATTTTGTCACTCAGCTATCCTCACTGGGAAACAGTAAAACCTGCTGAATCTGCAAACAGGAAGTGTTTAATTAAAGACTCAGGAGCCCTTAGAAACCACAACAGAAGTTTGCCTGCCCACAGTAGACAGGATGGAGCGGCATCAGCATTTTATTGGGGGTGGAGATGTACCACAAATCAGGGCTGAAAAAGCAAATGCAAACAATACAGAAAATAATGGAATGCAACATCTGCCTTTTCCATAAAAAGTGAACAGAGAATGGTAATTCCAGAGAAAAAGGTTGTTGTGGAAGTAGCCTAAGGCCCCTATATAGGAGTGTTGCCATATTTTTATGGAAGAAGAACTATATCTTAGGAACTGCATCAACAGAAGGTCAACATGTGAAACATTTCCTGGCATTGGGATGCAGTAATGAGAAATCAGCTATTCACTCACTGCCTGCCATCACAAAGACACACAACAACACTAGTATAGTTAACTGCTTTGCCTCCGTGGACAAACATTCCTTCCCGGGATATTTAGTTCCGTAACAGGGGCAAGGGATCTTTATGAGAGAATTTGCTGTCTACAGCATCACCAGACTACCATCCCAAAGTCTACTTCGGAGACCAGGAGTATAAAATTACTTATATGCAGTCACAATATTTGCCACGTATCTGTAATGCTGGGAAGTAGTCTAGTCCATTTCAGACCTCCTCTAGGTCATATACATCACACAATCCAAAGTTCATAGACTTTACGTGGTTTAGTGCATTACATTTGTTATTAACTGAATTTTAAATAGGATATTTTATACTGGGTTTGGGTTTTATTATTGCAACTTTTCCTGAGCTGCTTTGGGCTGGATTATAAATTCAGTTGCAAAAGAGAGAGACAGTAGATAAAAGGGAGTTTTAAATAAATAAATACATAAATAAATATTATGCAAATTCTTAAAAAAACAAACACCTCAACAACAACCCACCTTTGAATGTCATAGAACTGTTGACAGGATTATTTGTGATGCTTCACCTTCAGTAGCAATAGATATGTAGCTGTGGTCTTTACAAGCAAGGTTAAGTATTAAGTAAGTAATGAAATCTGGTGTCCTTTGCAGAGATTAGAGAACTCATTAACGGAGTCTGACCCTATTAACGGCCTACCTGCATTGAAGAGCTTGGACACAATCAATGAGTCCTGGCAAGTTGTGTAATCTTCCACAGTATGGTATTTAAAATGAATCTAATGAGACCTTTGTTCCTATTACAGTGACAATGCTGGATGGCACTTCAGTACGAAAGGGATGAGTTTTTAATGAATTGCTCTCATTACATCCACAGCATCGGTGCGTTTGGTCTCCTAACATCTTGGTCTGCACGTCTCCATTGCAGTGATGTTTTCTTGTTCCCATGAAACATTTTAATTGGGCAGATGGTTTGTTGAGGCTGCAAGTCTATATACGCTTACTCCAGTGTTAACTGCTTTTGAGGACACTGGGTCTTATTTCCAACTTAACACACACAGGATTGAGCTATGAAGGAGACTTGGAAAGGAAAAGAACAGTGCTAGTTAAGTTTTGCCCAGTGCCAATAATTACGGCTGAATTAATTGACTAATTGGTATGATGAATTGATTAATCAAAAATTAAGAGAAGTGGACTGAATTTTAATCAGGACCCTGTCTGGGGAAATGGAAGTCCTATTCACAGGTGATGCTATGTCTCGTGATACAATCAGTGCTTTTAAAAGCATTTTCTTCACAATACATCTTTTTTCGGGGTGGGTATTTAGCTGAGAAAATTTGCTAGCTTCATTAAACAACAGAAAAATATCAATTGAATTGGGGGTAATTATTATTTTAATAGGTTAATTAAACAGCCAGTTAGTAAAAAGCAAGATATATAATTTATTTTAAAAGTCTTTCAGCCAACCAAAAGTAATGTTAGGAAGTGAAGCGTCATTCATTTTTATTGCATTTTTCATTGTTGCTTTGGTATATATTAAATTTTACTTTTGAAAAAGAGCCATACAACTTGATTAGTGACCATAAAGCTTCATAAAGCAGTTTCAGAGTTGGAGGGCAGAAGATAAATAGGTGGGTATGTTTAAGGGGAGACGGCCACTGGTAAACTTAGTTCATCTCTCCACTTCCCCTTTAAGCAGTTTTCATAGAGTTTAATAACAATAATAATCAGTTGGTGGACCGGTGGGTTTCATGGAGGCAGCTGATGAAAGGAAAAGGGATGGCATAGCCACAGACTTCTAGATCATGAGCCTAGTCTTATTCTGAAAGGAATTAGATTTCTGGTCTAACATTTATTTTCAGGAAATGCTTAATACCGATTCAGCTCCTGTGGGCAAAGTTAAGGCTCAGCAGATGCAAAAAGAGTGAGACCCTTGGCTTTTCAAGATTGTGTATCTTCAGCTCTTGTAGAAGGTTGCCAGCTTTTCTGTTGTCCTCTCTCTTGGGCCTTTCACAGCAGCCAGATGTGCAAAAATTAAACATTCCCCCCAGCACTTCTATCACTATGCCAGGGGAAATTTCACCTTCAAAATTTATGTGTGCCAACCTTCAGAGAAAGGCACAGGAGCCGAGCCAGAAAGATGGCGGTGGGGAGGAAGAGGTAATCCCGCTTGCAGGTGGTAATGCACCCAGCCCCGCCAAATCCGTTTTCTTCCTCTTTAATGAAGTGGAAATGGCAGTTTGCAAATGTCTACAGACTTTGCAGTGCAAAGACCCATCTGTTTTTTGTCCACAAGGAAAACTGTTGCTGAAACCTGGGCAGCAAAACAAACCATGAAAATGTTGGCCGTGCTCAGTCTTGGCACATGTTTCAGAGACATGGATTTTAAATCCCACAATCGGAGATTCCCAGCTGTGTGGAAGTGGGGGACATTCTTGGCCATATTTTAAGCAGCTGCTTTGACTTTCCATCTTGACAAAGCACATAGCTTCCTTTTTTAAAATATATTTTTTTAAAAAAGTGGAAGCTTCGTTTCCTCTTCACAGGCACACAGCAATCCTAAATTTCTGTAAAGAGAAGGTGGGCTGCATCTGACCAGACGGAAGCTGTCGGGTGGATCTGGCTCACAGACACTTGGCAGGCTACCCTCCCCAGACGCTTCCGCCTTTCAAAAGCATAACAAGATTCCTTGCACAATCCCCCAGCAGCATATAAGAGCAGGTGAATTAGTATAACAGTCCCCACCATGTGGTTCCACGGAAGTGTCGGAAGTCCATGAATTTCCTATCTAAAAGCCATAGTTAAGAAGTGAATTTGTTTCTTTGGTGGTCATCTACTGTAGAGTTTAAAAAGCATGCAAGTGTCACGGCACCTGTACACAGGCTCTTGTAAGAGTTGCCTCTATATCTTAAAGGTAAAGGTAAAGGGACCCCTGACCATTAGGTCCAGTCGTGACCGACTTTGGGGTTGCAGCGCTCATCTCGCTTTATTGGCTGAGGGAGCCAGCATACAGCTTCTGGGTCATGTGGCTAGCATGACTAAGCCACTTCTGGCGAACCAGAGCAGCACACGGAAATGCTGTTTACCTTCCCACCGGAGCGGTACCTATTTATCTACTTGCACTTGGACATGCTTTCGAACTGCTAGGTTGGCAGGAGCAGGGACCAAACAACGGGAGCTCACCCCATCACAGGGATTCGAACCACCGACCTTCTGATTGGCAAGTCCTAGGCTCTGTGGTTTAACCCACAGCGCCACCCGCCTCCCACCCTCTATATCTTAGGATGCAAGAAATGTCAGTATTTTCATCCCTCCCATTGCAAGGATCACCTGATCATGTTGTTTTACTTTCATACTGTGAGAAAGGAGGAGGCAGAAGCTACTCTTCAAGACTTCCGTCTCTAGTACTGTTGCACTTTCCCCCCCTTTGATCTGTCTTGCGACAAGATGGCTGCATGAGAGCTGCTCCTCTCGTACATGTTTATTATGTTCTTTTATTGGTTTAATCAGTAGAAATAAATTAGGTACACTGCAAAACCTCCACAGCTTTGCTTCCGTTTACTCTGCGTTTGGGTGCTCACAAGAGCAGATGTGAGTCCACAGCACCAGGACCAATTCCTTGGAATGCTGCGTTGGTGTTCCTGCGTTCCTGTGATCGGAAGGTCGGAGAAGCTGCTCCCATCACCCAGCCCAGGCAGGCGCTGAAGTCGTGGGCTGAACATGGGTGTAAGGAAAAGAAAATGTGTGCTGCCTTGTTGCAACTGTAGATCAGTTTTCTTGATACAGCAAACTTTAATAGGAACACAGGATGGTGCTGACACTGAGTGAGACCATTGGTCGATGTAGCTCAGGACGGTCCCACACTGACTTGCAGAGACATCCTAAGGTTTCACAGTTTCCAGCCCTACTGAAGATGCATGGGCTTGAACCTAGGACCTTCTGTGTGCCAAACAGATGCTCTACTACAGGTATTGTTTCTTTTTGGTCCCAACATTGGCTTCCATTTCCTGCCTGCTGAGAAACACCCGTGGAGCTCTGTTTGCTAGAACAGGTGGGGGAAGGAAGTGGCACAAGGGAAAGAAAAACTGCTACATTATGGAATTAAAAGTTATGATGTAGGTTTCCAGGTTGAACTCTATTTGTGTGGGAGCCAAACTAGATGTGACACAGCAGATCAATTGTTAATGTTTCAAAAGCAGCTGCCACAGAGACTTTGATGCCCTGATGTTGGAAGTGTTTAACCCGAAACCACCTAGCTCAGGCATAGTCATATTTTAACACCGGAATGTTTCATCGTGGCTTTACAGCACAGTCATACACAAGATGAACTTTAGCAGGGAGAAATGTAAAGTATTGCACTTGGGCAAAAAAAATGAGAGGCACAAATACAAGATGGGTGACACCTGACTTGAGAGAAGTACATGTGAAAAGGATCTAGGAGTCTTGGTTGAGCACAAACTTGACATGAGCCAACAGTGTGACGCGGCAGCTAAAAAGCCAATGCAATTCTGGGCTGCATCAATAGGAGTATAGCATCTAGATCAAGGGAAGTAATAGTGCCACTGTATTCTGCTCTGGTCAGACCTCACCTGGAGTACTGTGTCCAGTTCTGGGCACCACAGTTCAAGAAGGACACTGACAAACTGGAACGTGTCCAGAGGAGGGCAACCAAAATGGTCAAAGGCCTGGAAACGATGCCTTATGAGGAACAGCTAAGGGAGCTGGGCATGTTTAGCCTGGAGAAGAGGAGGTTAAGGGGTGATATGATAGCCAAGTTCAAATATATAAAAGGATGTCATATAGAGGAGGGAGAAAGGGAGAAAGGCTGTTTTCTGCTGCTCCAGAGAAGCGGACACGGAGCAATGGATCCAAACTACAAGAAAGAAGATTCCACCTAAACCAGTGTTTCCCAACCTTTTTTGGGCAAAGGCACACTTGTTTCATGAAAAAAATCTCGAGGCACACCACCATTACAGCCCCGTGACGTCAGCGCGCAGCGTCACACCGGGAGGGACGCACGAAAGTGTAAGATTCAATTTTTTCCCCTCCCCCTTGCCTTCCTTCTGTGCCAACCGCCAAAAAGCCAAGAATCGCGGGACCGCCGGCGGAGGGGGGAGGGCGAGCGGAGGCAGCGGCGAGCCCCGTTCCTCCCCATCCGCCCCATTCCGTGCAAGGAGCGCGAACAGGTGTGAGAAGGGGGTCAAACCTGCGGGTCGGCACCGGGGAACCTCCAAGCTTTGGGGTGGGGGGGAGGAGGCAGCAAAACGAGGCAGGAAGGAGAGCGCGGCTTGGCGAAGTACTCGGCGGCGAAGGCCAGCAGGTCCGGCGGCCGGTGCCGCAGCACCTCCACCGTGTAGCCCTGCAGCAGCTCAGTCAGACCCGGCGGGATCTCGATGCTCATCTTGTAGCCGAGGCGCGCGGGAGACTCAACGGACGGGCCCGGGGGAGAGAGAGAGAGAGAGACACGACGGAGAGAGAGCGGGAGTCCCTGCTCGCCGTCGCCACCGCTACAACTACTGTGGCGGTTGGTCGTGGTCGCCGCCGCCGCCGCCGCCCACCTCTATCTATCTCTCCCCCTCAGCTTTCTACGCGGGCCTCGAGCCGGAGGTGGGGGTGGCCGCCGCCGCTTTCTCCGCCTCCACGTCCTGCCTCCTCCTCCTCGAGCCCTCCGTCAGCCCTGAGGGAACCGCCGCGCTCGCGCCGCCGCTCTCTGACACGCGAGAAAGAGAAAGGAACGGAGCGGCGGGGTAGTCGGGGGAAGGAGGGGTCAGAATGGAAGCGCGAGGCGAGCTGCGCATGCCCAGCAGGAAGCGATGGAGAACGCCACAGAGAGAGAGAGAGAGAAGCAAGGGAGGGCGGGGAGTGGGCGGGAACACGCTTCATGCGTCACAATAACGGACAAGAGGCGCTCGAGGGATAGATTAGGACCTAATTTGACTTTTACAAAAAAAAAAAATATCTTTCGAATTTTCCCCACGGCACACCAGGCAACATCTCGCGGCACACTAGTGTGCCGCGGAACAGTGGTTGGGAAACACTGACCTAAACATTAGGAAGAACTTCCTGACAGTAAGAGCTGTTCGACAGTGGAATTTGCTGCCAAGGAGTGTGGTGGAGTCTCCTTCTTTGGAGGTCTTTAAGCAGAGGCTTGACAACCATATGTCAGGAGTGCTCTGGTGGTGTTTCCTGCTTGGCAGGGGGTTGGACTCGATGGCCCTTGTGGTCTATTCCAACTCTATGATTCTATGATTCTATGGTTCTATGTTTACCCAGAAGTAAGCTTGCAATACTAACCCCACTTACCAGGGAGTAAACCCCACTGAATTCACTGAATTCAATAGGACTTGCTTCTGAGTGGACATTGGGGAGCTACCCTGTGCGGTAAGTTTTACACTTTAATATTTATTTCTGACAGATAATTAAAAATACATGTTGATTTGAGATATATCTGAACTGGTAGCACTTAGGGGGCATCAGGGCAAGGTGAAACTCACCCCTTGCTGCATGCTGTCATTGGCTCGGTCCGCAACTTCGGAGACGATGAGCAAGGCAGCTGCGGTGGAAGAAAACAGAACATGTTAATTGAGGTTCAGAAAAGAAAAGATGTGCAGATTTGTAGGAGGAAGAATATATATCCTTCTTAGGTATGGAGTCTCGCTAAGGCCAAAATAAGTTGTACTGCCTAGGAATTAATGTTGTTCAATAAATACATGTTCAAATTCCTGTTCAACCATTACTTTGGTCTGTGAGTCTTAGACAAGTTGCTACAGCTCAGCCTCACTTCTACAAAATGAAAGCGACATTCCTATTGCACATTTGTCTCACTTACAGTTGCAAATATACATTATATGTAAGGTAAAGGAAAAGGGCCCCTGGATGGTTAAGTCCAGTCAAAGGTGACTATGGGATCTTGCTTTTCAGGCCGAGGGAGGTGGCATTTGTCCACAGACAGCTTTTCGGGTCATGTGGCCAGCATGACTAAACCGCTTCTGGTGCAGCAGGACACCATGACGGAAGCCAGAGCGCACGGAAACGCCGTTTATCTTCCTGCCGCAGCAGTACCCATTTGTCTACTTGCACTGGTGTGCTTTTGAACTGCTAGTCTTGGCAGAAACTGGTGTCAATACACTGGATAAATTTACTAGAATAAATAAGAGTCAGTGAACAAATGCAATGGTAGAGTTCAGACTTTGGTGGTGTTTTTAAATTTATTTTTTTAAGCAGAATATTGTGTTTGCCTCTGTTCAAACAACACATTTTGGAACCCTCTCGCTTTTGGATCTGGCCACAATCTGGCATATGTAACTGGTTATACTTTGCACAAATCCAGAAGACAAAATATATACACTTTGGTTGCAAGGCATTAAGAATGCTTCAAATGAGAACGCTGCACAGTAAAATCCCTTTCATGGATTCAGTTTTCCATATAAATCAAACTGAGTAGTAACAACCAGTTATTGACCATGAACATAAAACCAACTGCTTTTCAAAGTTGCTTTGAAAAGTCGCATTGAGTTGCCTGCAGCAAGAAAAAGCGACTAATAAATTTAACAAATAATAATAAATTATTACGAGGGCCATTTGCAACGCAAGTCTATACACGTCTACAGACAAATAAGCCCCATTGAGCACACTGGGACTTGTTGTTGTTGTTTAGTCGTTTAGTCGTGTCCGACTCTTCGTGACCCCATGGACCAGAGCACGCCAGGCACTCCTGTCTTCCACCGCCTCCCGCAGTTTGGTCAGGCTCATGTTTGTAGCTTTGAGAACACTATCCAACCATCTCATCCTCTGTCGTCCCCTTCTCCTTGTGCCCTCCATCTTTCCCAACATCAGGGTCTTTTCCAGGGAGTCTTCTCTTCTCATGAGGTGGCCAAAGTATTGGAGCCTCAACTTCACGATCTGTCCTTCCAGTGAGCACTCAGGTCTGATTTCCTTAAGAATGGATGTGTTTGATCTTCTTGCAGTCCATGGGACTCTCAAGAGTCTCCTCCAGCACCATAATTCAAAAGCATCAATTCTTCGGCGATCAGCCTTCTTTATTGTCCAGCTCTCACTTCCATACACCACTACTGGGAAAACCATGGCTTTAACTATACGGACCTTTGTTGGTAAGGTGATGTCTCTACTTTTTAAGATGTTGTCTAGATTTGCCATCGCCTTTCTCCCAAGGAGCAGGCGTCTTTTAATTTCGTGACTGCTGTCACCATCTGCAGTGATCATGGAGCCCAAGAAAATAAAATCTCTCACTGCCTCCATTTCTTCCCCTTCTATTTGCCAGGAGGTGATGGGACCAGTGGCCATGGCCTTCGTTTTTTTGATGTTGAGCTTCAGACCATATTTTGCGCTCTCCTCTTTCACCCTCATTAAAAGGTTCTTTAATTCCTCCTCACTTTCTGCCATCAAGGTTGTGTCATCTGCATATCTGAGGTTGTTGATATTTCTTCCGGCAATCTTAATTCCGGCTTGGGTTTCATCCAGCCCAGCCTTTCGCATGATGAATTCTGCATATAAGTTAAATAAGCAGGGGGACAATATACAACCTTGTCGTACTCCTTTCCCAATTTTGAACCAATCAGTTGTTCCATATCCAGTTCTAACTGTAGCTTCTTGTCCCACATAGAGATTTCTCAGGAGACAGATGAGGTGATCAGGCACTCCCATTTCTTTAAGAACTTGCCATAGTTTGCTGTGGTCGACACAGTCAAAGGCTTTTGCATAGTCAATGAAGCAGAAGTAGATGTCTTTCTGGAACTCTCTAGCTTTCTCCATAATCCAGCGCATGTTTGCAATTTGGTCTCTGGTTCCTCTGCCCCTTCTAAATCCAGCTTGCACTTCTGGGAGTTCTCGGTCCACATACTGCTTAAGCCTGCCTTGTAGAATTTTAAGCATAACCTTGCTAGCGTGTGAAATGAGTGCAATTGTGCGGTAGTTGGAGCATTCTTTGGCACTTCCCTTCTTTGGGATTGGGATGTAGACTGATCTTCTCCAATCTTCTGGCCACTGCTGAGTTTTCCAAATTTGCTGGCATATTGAGTGTAGCACCTTAACAGCATCATCTTTTAAAAATTTAAATAATTCAGCTGGAATATCATCACTTCCACTGGCCTTGTTATTAGCGATGCTTTCTAAGGCCCATTTGACTTCACTTTCCAGGATGTCTGGCTCAAAGTCAGCAACCACACTACCTGGGGTATATGAGACATCAATTTCTTTCTGGTATAGTTCCTCTGTGTATTCTTGCCACCTCTTCTTGATGTCTTCTGCTTCTGTTAGGTCCTTTCCACTTTTGTCTTTTATTATGGAAATCTTTGTACAAAATGTTCCTTTCATATCTCCAATTTTCTTGAACAGATCTCTGGTTTTTCCCATTCTATTGTTTTCCTCTATTTCTTTGCATTGCTCGTTTAAGAAGGCCTTCTTGTCTCTCCTTGCTATTTTTTGGAAATCTGCATTCAATTTCCTGTATCTTTCACTATCTCCCTCGCATTTTGCTTGCCTTCTCTCCCCCGCTATTTGTAAGGCCTCGTTGGACAGCCACTTTGCTTTCTTGCATTTCCTTTTCATTGGGATGGTTTTAGTTGCTGCCTCTTGTATAATGTTACGAGCCTCCATCCATAGTTCTTCAGGCACTCTGTCCACCAAATCTAAATCCTTAAACCTGTTCCTCACTTCCACTGTGTATTCATAACGGATTTGACTTAGATTGTATCTTACCGGCCCAGTGGTTTTTCCTACTTTCTTCAGTTTAAGCTTGAATTTTGCTATAAGAAGCTGATGATCTGAGCCACAGTCAGCTCCAGGTCTTGTTTTTGCTGACTGTATAGAGCTTCTCCATCTTTGGCTGCAGAGAATATAATCAATCTGATTTCGATGCTGCCCATCTGGTGATGTCCATGTGTAGAGTCGTCTCTTGTGTTGTTGGAAAAGTGTGTTTGTGATGACCAGCTTGTTCTCTTGACAGAACTCTATTAGCCTTTGCCCTGCTTCGTTTTGAACTCCAAGGCCAAACTTGCCAGTTGTTCCTTTTATCTCTTGACTCCCTACTTTAGCATTCGAATCCCCTATAATGAGAAGAACATCCTTCTTTGGTGTCACTTCTATAAGGTCTTGTAAGTCTTCATAAAATTGGTCAATTTCAGTTTCTTCAGCACCAGTAGTTGGTGCATAAACTTGGATTACTGTGATATTAAAAGGTCTGCCTTGGATTCGTATCGAGATCATTCTATCATTTTTGAGATTGCATCCCACTCCATTTCTTTTACGCGTTTCTTGTCCACAGTAGTAGATATGATAGTCATCCGAACTGAATTCGCCCATTCCTGTCCATTTTAGTTCACTGATGCCCAAGATGTCAATATTTATTCTTGCCATCTCATTTTTGACCACATCCAACTTACCCAGGTTCATGGTTCTTACATTCCAGGTTCCTATGCAATATTTTTCTTTACAGCATTGGACTTTCCTTTCGCTTCCATGCATATCCGCAACTGAGCGTCCTTTCGGCTTTGGCCCAGCCGCTTCATCAGCTCTGGATCTACTTGTACTCGTCCTCCGGTCTTCCCCAGTAGCATGTTGGACACCTTCCGACCTGAGGGGCTCATCTTCCAGTGTCATAACTTTTATATGCCTGTTGTCTTTGTCCATGGAGTTTTCTTGGCAGGGATACTGGAGTGGCTTGCCAGTTCCTGCTCCAGGTGGATCACGTTTGGTCAAAACTCTCCACTATGACCTGTCCATCTTGGGTGGCCCTGCACGGCATAGCTCATAGCTTCTCTGAGTTATTCAAGCCCCTTCGCCACGGCAAGGCAGTGATCCATGAAGGAGCACTGGGACTTATTCACACTTAAGTGTATATAGGATGGCAGCCTGACAATTCAAAGTGTTGTCACTACTCACGATCAAAGTTTCAGATAGTAAAATTATTTCATGTTAAGTATTTGGTCATCACATACATTGTTCATTCTAAATATCTAATATGACCTATTTTGAGGCCACAAGGAACTTAAAAATCAGAGAACAGTACATGTTTTGATGAGTGAGTGGCCCCAAATGACATGAACAAGAGAGGTAATTTATCTTAAAATCAAGCTGAGATCTGAGTACAGTGATGTTGTTTGTTCACAGACTTCTTCCTGAACCAGTAGAGACACTAGCTATTTATTAGGCAAAATAAATATTTATTATTATCATTTTTTAAATTCTGAATTACCTTGTGTTTCTTCATACTCAGCGGAATCAGGACAAAGGTTATTCAAGTAATCTGTGGGGAATCAATCAGATATAAAGCAGGTAGTAAGTCTCAAATAAATTCCTTTTGATCCACTCTAAACAACTAAACCCTTAATCTAGGTGGGTTTTCAGCCCAGATCTCAGACTGGTGGAACGGATTCTGTCGTGCTGAAGGCAGCTAGCCTCAGGTTGCAATCCATTGCACATTAAAGCTTAGTGGGATCTACCTCCGAGTTAACATACACAGGATTGTAAACCAAACTGAACCTAAGGTTTAAGAACAGGTTTGCAGCTTAGGAGTGTTCTGGGAACCTAAGAAGAGCCCGTTGGGTCAGGCTAATGGTCCATCCAATCCAGTAGCAACCAAGATGCCCGTGGGAAACCTCAAGCAGGATCCAAGCATATGAGTGCTCTCCCCTTCTGCTGTTTCCAGTAACTAGTCTTCAGAAGTTGTAGAGGCACAACATAGCCTTCACAGCTAGTAACCATTGGCAGCCTTCTCCATGAATTCCTCCAATCCTCTTCGAAAGCCGTCCAACTCAGTGACTACTATGGTCTCCTACCCCATATTTCAACCACTTGTAGCCCTCAGTTTTCTGTTCCCAGGCAAAGAGGGGGCCTGGCAGATTTCCCTAGGCAGAGAAGTTCTGCATCCTATGTCCCATAACAAAGATGGCCCCATTGCACTTCAGAAAGCAGCAGGAAAATACAAAAAGGGTTCTTCAGCTGATCTAAGTGGATGGACAGGATCACATGGGATGAGACACTCTTTTAAGTAGTGGAGAAACAGAATGCATGAGGACATGCATCATTTCCCTATACATAAGAAGGTTGGAAGTTTCAGTTCATTCAAGAAGATGCCAGTGCTAGGGTAAGAGTCAAAAGAATGGGATTTTTAATTGCAAAATTCCAAACTGCCTAAGATAATGGACCAATTTCCCCTGCTGACGCTCCCCCCCCGGATTAATTATATTCTAGTTTAGTTAGAGTGGATACTCCTATGAAGGATTAAAAATAGATAAACACAAACTTATTCCAAATTGAGAAATTATGTTTAACTGAGTAAAGCAATATTTAATCCTTGACTGCATGCGACTTGATACAGATTACAACTGCGCTGAATTAATGAATACGAGTTGCGTTACTGATAGAAGTTTATACAAGAAGATGAGGGAATCTGTTATTTCTGGATCTCCCTGGACTAAGGGAAGAGCTGTTGCAATCACCACTTTGCAATATCTGTGTAGGCTATACGCAAAAGCTGTCGCTGGGGACTTGAGGCATTGCTTATCCCTGCCGGATGAATCATTGTGGTCTACAGTAATTTTTCCCAAATGTGTATGGGAAGGCAGAAGCACTGCAGCTGTAGTGCTTTGGCTGGACCTCCTAAGTGTATCCTGCAATGAATTTTATTACTCATGTTTGGTAATACAAATGAGAGCAACAAGGCTGGAATGATGGGCCCCTGTCAGGAGGAGATGCAACGGTCCTTTAAGTGGGGGAAAGGGGTCCTCTGAGCCCTTTTCAGCAAACAAACATTCATCTCCCTACTTGGAAAAAGAGAATTAAGGCAAGAGAATGTGGCTGCAAGCCACTAGCCAGTCACACATGCTTAAAGTAAATGGGGCATAAGGATCAATAGCAGATTGTACAGATGAGGAAGGTGTGGATCCAAACAACTGCAGAGTTCAAGACAGTTGCTTGACAGGAGCAAGGGCAGCAGGTTGGATCCACAGTCACAGAAGGAACTGCAATCCAGCTGAGGTTCCCACCGGAAGGAGGATGGGAGGCAATTTTTGTCTCCTTTTCCCTGCAGTCCCCATACCATCTCCTACACTTGAGGATCTCAAAGCACTCTTGAGCAGCTTTTCAGAGAGCAGAGAGAGCTACAAGGGAAAGGAGCAATCAGCAAATATCAGCCACCTCTCCCTCCAGCAGTACAGTTCCATGAGTGGTTCTAAGTCATGATTTTTGAGGTCATTTGAGGACATGTTCTCTGAAAAGTTGACCAGGGATCAATCACCTAGCAGTAAAGGTCTTCCCACTTACAGAGCACATGCACTCCAGAGTATCTGCATTTCTTGCTACCTGAAAACCTTTCCCCTCCCTTTTCCTAGCAAATGAAACTGACAGAAAACTTCTCATTGTAGTTTAAATAAAGTTGGACAGGGCAACGTAACATTGAACTAGTCCCCAAAGAATGATCCTTTTTTTTAGATCAGTGCAGACAGAGGAAAACCTTGTTAACACCCAGTGTCACACCTGTCCACGTAAGCTGTACTGGTGCTCAGATCAGGAAGACATCTTATAGTATCTGGTAGCTGATGGGAGTGTGACATTCACAGGGCTTGTTATACAGCAGGCAAGCTGTTTACAGGAATGCTATATGCCAGGGGTGGCTAGCCAGTGGCTCTCGTTAGACCCTATTTCCCATCAGCCCTAGCCAGTACAGGCACTGACCTAGAATGATGAGAGTTCTGGTCCAGCAGCCTTTGGAGGGTCACAGCTTAACCACTCCTGCTATATGTGAATACACCACTCATCTCACTACTACTATTACTAATTTTATTATTTATACCCTGCCCATCTGGCTGGGTTTCCTCAGCCACTCTGGCTGGCTTACAACATAATTTTACAGCAAACAAATCTGTTTAATGTACTAAACAGATGCATGGACCTATTAAGATAGTTGTAGTGAACTAACGCCCCCTTGCTTAGCATCTGTGGAGGAAACCAAATCACCCAGCAAAATCACTCATTGGCATCTGGTAGTCACTTGTGCTGCTGTTCTTGCAAAAACAAAAACCCCCACAAAAAACAGGAACCACTGGGAAGACAGCATTTCTTTGGACTTATGATCAATGTTCTTGGACCAAGATGAAAGTACTTCTAATCAGTGCTGTGAAGTTCTCTTCGGGAAGTTCCCTTTGTTCTAGTCCATTGATTTCAGTTCTTTCTAATATGTTCTGAAGCTTTTTTTACCACTTGCTGAATATGGGTGTGATTTCTTCCCATTGCCTGCCCCCTGCAAACTTCATCGTATGTCACTCTCCACCAAAAGACATGGGCCACCCCCGCCACTGCAGTTGCTTGTCCATCTTTATGCCTGAAATGCTCCATAGCTGGAATTCCTGGGGACTCATCTAGCATGTTATGTCATCTTGCAGGTGCTTTGCTTTGGGATGAGGTTGCTTTCGACCCAGCCTGCCAGGCTTTTCACTTTTCTATTCTTTTTTGCTCTCCTGATGGCTTCCAAGCTTCCAGCAGTGATAATGAAGGTGACATTTGGCAGGCAGAAACATTGGGGTTACAAATACAGCTTGACACCAAACAAGGGATGCTGAACATTCATGGGGAGGAGCGGGAGCGTAGGATCAGGCCTTGTTCCTGACATACATGTGTTCAGTAGACTTTGGGAACAGATCCTGTGCATAAGCAAGAGGCTTCTGATCATGTATACAGAGCCTAGCCCATGTGCACTGTTAAGTTGTGGGCGAACATATCAGACGACACTGCGATTCTTCAAACAGCTCTTCTTTATTCAGATGCCAGAACAGAACTGAACTGAAGGGCTCAGTCAGCCTGCTTATATAGAGCTCCAGTACAATGTTACTGTAACAATTTTCTAAAACTATCCAATCACTGAATGTCACTTTCGATCCTTCATTTGCATACAAACTATCCAATCACTGAACGTCACTTTCGATCCTTCATTTGCATAACTATCTACAGTATCCCCCTGCTGGCCCAGGGTGAGAACTTCAGTACATAACATGCACAAGGTCTGTTCTCAGAGTCCATTGGGGATGAGATCAGCTACCACACTCTGTTTCCTTCCAATGCATGTTGGCTGCCCCTAGATTTGTCTGAGAAGAAAGGGCTATAGAGTTTAATACAGTATTTTCTGATTGGCGTAAACTCTACATCTCAAATGCAGGACTTTCCTCACACTCCTGCAACCTGAGGCCTTTTAAAGTGGAGAAGACAATAATCTTACGTATTAGAAATATGTTCTCTGCCACAGAGCTACAGACTCTCCACTCCATTTTTCAGGTGGAGTTGTTGTCACTGAGAGAAATCCACAATAACATTGACAATGGAAAACAAAAGGATGAAATGTTTAAGTCAAGTGTGCTATGAGTCACAAGAGTTACTGGGATTCTCTCAGAGTGTATGGGATTCTTGCTCTAATTCATTCTGCCTCTGCCTCTTCAGATTCATTAGTATTGCTCTGTCAATGCTTTGTGGAAAATCCAAATTGTTATTTGCACTGACTGAGCGCTAAAAAGCGGTTTTCCCCGGAGGAAGACAGTGGGACGAGAGGATGTGAGGATAAGCTCTAGCTTGGCTTTCAAGGGTGATAATGCCTGAGGATGACTATAAGCTAAGAACAAACCAGGCAAAAGGAGGAGCCTCCTATCATGGGAGTGGCATGTTTTATATCTTGCTTACCTGTGAGGAGCACATGGTACTGGAATATGCGCTGCACCACTTTCAAGAGCTGATGTTTCACATTCAAGGGACTGCCACCACGAAACTGCTGTCCTCAAGAGAAGGAAAATAAGAAGGGTGAAGGTCAGAGCTCAGACATCCACAATCAGAAAATAATCAGTCATCCATCCAGGTTCACACGCCTGGCAAGAGAGACATTTAAAGTGCTGTCAGAGAGAAGATGTGCCCAGGTAGTCTCCAGGAGCTGCCCACAATATTTCAAAATGAAACTAAAACCCAATATTAAATTTTCATGATTATTTATATTTTGGTCGATAGTCAAAATAGACTTCAGAATTCAGACTCCATGCGACTACAGATTTCAAGTGACCCTTGTATATTTTTGTGGCTACAGCTGGTTGACTGGAGATAGCTGGAGGGTTCCTGCCACAAGCAGCTTGATATTTATAATGCATGAGTATCTCAAGGCTAATATAAAATCCAAGAACTTTCCCAGAAGAAGTTGACATCAGTGCTGTGCGCAATTCACAGGGCAAGTGTCTCTTCACTTGGGCTAAAAGGTCATGAGTATACTGTGGGGGCCTGACATGAGCTCAGTAGCTAATCATAGGACTAGCAGAGAAAATAGTTGTGCCTTCATGACTATTTGACACATCTGGCGAGATATGGCCCATTGACCTCAACACTGTTCTTCTCTATTGTGACATGCTCACAAATGGTATTAAAAAGCGAAAGGACCACTTTCCTTTGGAAAAGCAGGTGGGGATTACCAAGGTAAACACAGAACAGGAAGCAGGCTGCTCTTTTCCTTTTAATACAGAATTTCTGGCAGAAGTTTTAAGACATATTAGCAAATGAAAATTGTTTCATTTCCCCCAAACAGGGGGTCTGCTCCTATTTTTTCTAATGTAATTTATCTTCTTTTTTGTAAACTATTTTGAAAAAATTTTTGTAGAAAAAGAAACAAATAATACATCGGAAAGCAGCGACATGCTCAAGAGCTCTACATATGGAGGAGTCATATAGGAGGAGATGGTCCCACAAGCAGCTTGGTCCCAAGCAATCCACGGCTATGAAGCTAACAACCAGCAACTTGAATTGCACTCAGAGCTGAACCAACAGTTAGTGCAGCAGGTACAATAATGGGGTCACATGATTCTGCACCGGCTGAAGTTTCCAGTGGCCTGTTACAGTTGCCCAATCATTGATGTAACACATGCATCTATCACTCATGGTAATATATGAGAGGGCTTTTTCTGTGAGGGCAGCACTCACTGCTCCAAGAGCTTGGATTAGCTCTCTCTCTGTGTACTTAGGTTCCACCAGCAGTTGAATCGTTTTTCAACAAGCCTTTGATCCCTGCCGCTGCTTAAATTATTAGATGTTTGTTCTGGCTCTCTGGATTGTTTTTCTACATTTAATTTTGGTCATGTGTTTATTATCTTAGGGTTGAGTTTGTGTGTTTTTGGATCCTCAATGTTCTTTAATTGTACTTGTCTCGCTACGTTGTCGGTTGCTTTGTAAAGTCTCATGCCTTGAAAACGGAATGGAAATATCTCGACAGGGAAACAAACAAGTAACGTAGAAATAAGCATCTTGTTACTGCAGCGACTCCTCCTCCTGTTTCCAAGTCCGAGAACAAACTTCAGCCGAAAGTTAACAAGGGTCATCTGGCATGGATGAACTATGAAACAGGTTGCGACAATCCAGGCTGCCTTGGCCGGCCCTGGAGCCATTAAAAATGAATAGCCATGTCTCTGATGGGACGACGTTGCCACAACTTACTCTCTCATCCGTTTGCTACTTTCCACCTAAGTTTCCATAGCAGCTTCAACAAAGGAAACAAAGGAGAAACCTAGGGAGTTTGCATTAGAGTTGCTAGCTAAGTGGCACTTAGGAATTTTCAAAAGCTGCCTTATACTGAAATGAGACCATTGATTCATCTGAAGGAGCGTCTCCACCCCCATCGTTCTGCCCGGACACTGAGGTCCAGCGCAGAGGGCCTTCTGGCGGTTCCCTCACTGCGAGAAGCAATGTTACAGGGAACAAAGCAGAGGGCCTTCTCGGTAGTGGCACCCTCCCTGTGGAACACCCTCCCACCAGATGCCAAGGAAATAAGCAACTATCTTACTTTCAAAAGACATCTGAAGGCAGCCCTGTTTAGGGAGGTTTTTAATGACTGAGGTTTTAATGTATTTTTAATCTCCTCTTGGAAGCCGCCCAGAGTGACTGGGGAAACCCAGCCAGGCAGGGTATAAGTAATAAAGTAATAAATATTATTATTATTATTATTATTATTATTATTATTATTATTATTATTATTAACTCAGTATTTTCTATAGTAAATGGCAGTGGCTCGCCAGAACTTCAGGCAGGACTTTGTCTCAGTCCTACCTAGAGATGCTGGGACATTCTGCACGCATAGCAGATGCTCCACCACTGAGCTGCAGTCCTTCCCTGAGAAATCCACCTGCTGCTGCTGCTTTTCTTGTCATTGATTTGCGGTGAAAGGGGAAGTGGCATCTGTTCGGTTTCTGATCCTCACCATCATCATGCAGTGATGGCCGCTTCAACACAGCTGTCTATTGTCCACTCGGTGCTGTTCGTGCATGGAGGATCTTCTCAGCATCCACACAATGCTGTCCTCATCAAAATGTCACTCCATATTTCCCCCCACCTCATTTCATCCAGATTTGCAAGTTTTGCAGATTTCTCCCATCCCCACCCCATCAAATTTTCAGTGGAAATGCCAAATATGGAGGAAAAGAAGAGGGGATGGGGGTGTCATTTTGATGATGGTGAAGACACTGTGCAAAACTTCCATGCGTGAGCAGCACCAAGTCCTCCCAAAACCTGCCATATGGAGGCACCCTAATTACTAAAGACACTGTAGGCAACCCTTTTTACTGACCAAGCCTTTGGCACCCCCATATTCAAACATTTCCAACTTTGCACACACACAAATATCCGAACAGGATCAGGATCAGTTTCGAAAGTGATACAGTGGTACCTCTGGTTACAAAATTAATTTGTTCTGGAGGTCCGTTCTTAACCCGAAACTGTTCTTAACCTAGGTACCACTTTAGCTAATGGGGCCTCCCACTGCCGCCGTGCCATTTCTGTTCTCATCCTGGGGCAAAGTTCTTAACCCAAGGTACTACTTCTGGGTTAGCTGAGTCTGTAACCCAAAGTGTTTGTAACCTGAGGTGCTTGTAACCCGAGGTACCACTGTACAGGAGAGATTTGCCTTTCTTCCATCACCATCCCTTTAAACGAAGTTACTGAGTGTTATTCCTATTTGGATACTGTTGTGAGCGGGGAGAAGATCAAGGATACAAAAACGCAAAGCAAAACCCAAACCCACAGGAAGCTTCTGAGTTCAGATTTACGACTCCAATAAAAATCCCATTAACTCCAATTGTAGCGGAACTGAGGGGCAACACACCAAGCTGAGATAAAAGCATTAACACGGCAACTTTTATCCCTTACTTAATAGTAGGGTCTGTGACGTTCCTGTGAAATACATTCTGACCCTGCTTCCTGGGGCATTGCGAGGGAGATGGGGAAAGGGCAGAGTAAGAACCATTGATCTGAAACACACCAAAGGCATCTTCAGAAGAGCTGTACTGATTTATGTGCCAGACAAGAAGAGCAGGATTAAGGCAAGACTCTGCATTAGTCCCAAGGGAATAGAGCACATTCAACTGCCAAGCATAAACTCAAAGAGAGTCGGGACCTTTCTGGATATAGGGTCAGGCACTAATTTACCTCTGAATTGGTGAACTGGGAGGACAGTTTAGGCATACATATCAGAATTAGGCAAGGAAGAGTGTATTACTGGGGCTAAGATCAAATCCCTCCCCACCCCTGCAAATGTATGTGGTGAAAATTGGGAGGGTTGATCCCAGAAACAGTTAAATCTTCCTTTTTTTAATTTTTACTTTTTTCCTATTTTTCCATTGCTGCCTATGGGGACATTAAAAATTGAACTTTTTTTAAAAAGAGAGAGAGAGAGAGACTGACTAGTTTTCTGGATCTCAGCATGCCCCAAACACAGCATTCTTCTGGAGCATGGTGGTGGTAGTGAGGAAAATGGCTGCTGCTAAAGAATATGGCTACTGCTATCTTTTTGTGGTGGCAGCCATTTTCCTCCCACATTGCCCCAAAATGCTGCTGTATCTAGGGTATTCTGAGGCCAGAAAATGGCAGTGGATTGGTTCCTGAAGGAAATGTGATACTTTTGGCTGGTGACAAGAAAAGGAAGAACAAAAACAAAGACCCTACTACTAAAGGAGAGCAGCTCCCTGAATTTGGCCCCTATTCAGGGTCATAATTTTCACCTGCTGCCAGCATTAGGGTTTCCAAAATGATAAATTACATCAATCCTGATCTAAGCTCTGGTATCTACACTACAAATTTATACAGGATTTATACCCTTCTAACTGTTATGGTTTCCACCAAAAAATCCTTTGGATTTTAGTTAGTGAAGGGCGGAGACAGAGAGCCATGCACCTGTCAGTCAGCTAATGTCATAGGTTTTAAATCACATCAGGTGATTTAAACTTCTGGGAAGAACTCTATACATGCTCCCAATGCGTCCTTTGTAAGTCTCCCTTGAATGCAGCCACAGCTGTAAAGGAAGATTGATTCCTCAAATTGAAATTGGCACCGTATGACACTAGATGATGGACATGGTGAGCCAAACCATGTCCTAGGCCAAATGGGGAGGTCTGGCAGCCCCAATGAGGCCCATGGGTCAGACGTTCCCCACTGCTGGTGAACGGACTGACAATTCTCTGTTACAGTCAAGGTGGACAGACTTAGTGGGATGGAAGTGTTTGGAACACATATTCTCTGCCCTGCAAATATTACCTTAGAAAATGTCTTTTCAAGTAAGAATGTATGTCTAGAAGGCTTTCAGATGAACCAACCCCATATGTTGCTGTAAGTGTAGAATCCCATAGTCTTCTCACAGTCAATGAATATGTAGCCCCTGAAGGAGCAAAGCTAAGCCAGGTGCTGTTAGCACATCTAAACCTCCTTCCTGTCTTTATTCTAACAGAGAGTTCTCAGTTTCTACCACTTTACCCCCTCACAAAATTATAGTTTACAAGGTTCTCTGGGGAAAGAGAGTAAGTATTAAACCAGATAAAGTCTGTGGTATGAATATGCTCTGAATATCAAACACACACAGATGCATTTTGTGAATATATCCCTGCTGGTGAGAATACTGCCATTGCCTTTGAGACAAGCAATTTTTGACTCTAGTATATTGAACACCTGGGCAACAAGGAAGTACAGCCCACAGGATAACCAAGTTTGAGATAAGCCCCCAAAAACAATTATTGCAATTAGAAGTCTGCCTTTCCGATCAAAGCCTTCAGAGCAGCATTCTTAGACTCCGTTTTTATATTTTTGGCCTCAAGGGTTCAGACAGTGAAATATCCACGGGCAAATGTTGACAAACGGTCATTTTAATGAATTATCATTATTAATATTTCAGATGCGCTGCAGAGGGAGACATAATCCATATCTCAAGGGCCTGACAGCCCAAGCCACATTAAAAATACAGCAGCCAATTTATCCTCGTAACCTTTTCTGTCAGATAAGTAAATATTACTACCTCTCCTCCCCTACCCTTTACAAATGGAGAAATAGATATATATTAAGGCTGACATTGTGTGCCTCGCCACCAGAAGAAGAAGTGTCACTGTGGCAGGAAGCAGAAGAGAGGGACAAAGTTTGCATTAGCCCCGTTCAGGCATTCTAAATTCCTCCTACACTGAGCATGAGCACACTAGCCCTATGGTTTTCCCGTGACGGCTGGAAAAATAACCTCTGAGACTGCTGGCAAGTTAGCAAAGGCCAGGAATGTGCAGGACAGAAGATGAAGGAATTACATGGTTCCCATACATTTGGTGTCAGGTATGGCATGCTCAGTAACAAGACAATCCCTGACCTAGAATTCTTGCTGCTTCCATCTCCCATAGCTGCCCACAGTTATGTGAGAATGGATGTCACACATCCATTGTTGTTGTTGTTTTATTATAGCAGCCCTTGCGTTCCATACATAAGTGCACAAGCAACCCCAATTCTTCTCACTTGAAGGTGTGCATGTGGATCTAACAGGTACTCCTCCAGTCTTAACCCTCCTCCAAAGCTATCCCTGAACTGAGTCATCATTAACACCCCCCTATGTGACCCTTTCTGAGCTCTGAAGGGAGGGCACACAAGGAAGGAAGGAGAGAGTGATAAAGAGAACTACAGGACAGTTTTAAAGCAGTGTGAGGAAAGGACTGAGGGCCCTTACCTCAAATTCCCGAACGACAGTATCCAGCTGGGAAGTTTTAAGGCGGGCTTCATCCAGCAAAGCCAAATTCCTATCAAACTGCATAATGTAAGCCGTGTGGTGAATGAACCTTGATTCCCTGGAGAGGAAAATGTCAGCCACTTTCTGGTGATCTTCCCTAAAGCCACATCAGGATAAACAAACAAACAAACAAACAAACAAACAAACAAACAAACAAACAAATGAAAAGGTTACGACGTTTGGGGTTTTTTCATTTAGGAAAATGGGAAGTAAGAGAGGTCATGATAGAGCAGGCATAGGCAAACTCCGGCCCTCCAGATGTTTGGGACTACAACTCCCATCATCCCTGACCACTGGTCCTGTTACCCTAGGGATGATGGGAATTGTAGTCCCAAACATCTGGAGGGCTGGAGTTTGCCTATGCTTGTGATAGAGGCATATGAAGATTATGCATGGTGCGGAGACAGTGGACCGGGAGGTGTTTTTCTCCCTCTCTGATCACACTAGAACCCAGGGTCATCCAGTGATGTCACATGGTGGAAGACTAGTGTGCAGACAAAAGGAACACACACACATGAATTCACTGCCACAAGATGTGGGGATGGCTGCCATCTTGAGTGTTGTTGTTGTTTAAAAAAAGGGATTAGACAAATTCATGGAGGATTAGGCTGTCATTGGCTACTAGTCATAGTGGACTGCATACCCTGTCTCCAGCACTGAAAGCAATATGTCTCTAACTGCCATTTGCTGGGTAACAGGAGCAGGAGGGTGCTATTGCCCTCATCTCCTATTCTTTGCTTCCCAAGGAAGCCATATTAGCCACTGTGCGAAACAGCAGAGGGGGTCTTTGTTTGGATCTGTCCCAACTCTACTGGATGCTGCCCACAGCCATTCCCATTTATCAGCCCTGAGCTGCTTTGTGAAGAACAGGCCTTTTTAATACTCCATGTCTACACATGATGCAACACACCTATCTGAAGACAGTCCACTGGCCACATCTGGTGGCCCAGCAGAACCTCAACAAACCTCCTGTTTGGGGAGCCTGGCCTAGGACTGTGAAAACAAGGATTTCGTCAAACGTCCCACAAGCACAATATATGGTTGGTGGGCTATTATTTGTCTTGTTGGCAAATAAATAGGTTCTATATATTTAAAATGTTGATACCCTGCCCTATCCATTCAGGCTCAGTGTGGCTTTTGCTCATCTCTTTTCACTTACACAAATACTGCAGAAGGTATCTATGACTTCCTTTCTTGTTATCGGGATCCCAACCTTCCAGCAAAATGTACTTTAACAATGGTAGAGGAAACATATCTGGAATCTATTGGAAAATGAGGTCACTCAGTAGCCAGATATATAATGCCTGAGTGCATAGCATCTGGAGTTATTACATATCATGCTACCATGTTCTTGGAATAGATATAATGTAAAATCTCAGGGTGAAGTATAGCCTCTTAGCATTCAGGGTGAGGCCATCACAGAGGCAAGTTGTCTCACATTCAGTTACTTTTGATTCTCCCTCTATTCAAAAGAAATAGTGCTTGGTTTTCCTAAAGATTTCAGGATGTCGGGAAATGGATGCCGTCCTGAGATGGCATAAAGGCCTTGCTAAATCACTTACCAATTGAGAACTTTTTCTTCCAGCTCTTCCAGTATTTCTTGGTGCAGTTTGTAGATTTCTGGGATCTCATTCAATCCTTCCTTGAGCTTTGCTTCTTCATGGTCATTGTTATCTTCATCTCCCAGCACTTTTAAGACAGCTTCATAGAAATCCTGTGTACACACAATTCAGAATATCATCTGTAGGCTGTTGCCAAATCCTACTCACATGTTCCTGACTACCATATTCAAAATCTGCCATTCAGTGCCAAATTTCTTGTCTGTGCCTTGGTCATTTCTCTTCCTGACTAGCCGTTTGCTTTCCTTACCTCTTGTTGCCTCACTTTTCTTCAACTAAGTTAAGGTTGACCCAAACCATAATTTTCTGATGTCACACAGTCCTCTTGTGGGATTCAAGCGCTCCCTTGTCAAGAGCTTGAAAACATTTCAGAAAGACCCTTGAAACAGGGTGCAAACTTGACACAGAGGCACTGTGTGAAATCTGAGATGTCACAAATGAGAGAACTAGACCAGAGGGACAATGATTGTCTCCTTGTTTGTTGGTTTGAACCAATTTTTACAATGCTAAAGAAAACCTTTCCCCATGAAAACAACCTGTCTAGTTTTGTATCACCACAATAACATTACCAAAACCTATGTACTAGTTTCCTTAATTTTATGCATCAATTTTCTATCCCTAGTCTTCATATTTAAAGACTTCCTACTGTTCTGCTCCAAACTACATTTCAATTCCATCTTTCCCTTAATCCCCTTTGTAAAAAACAAACAAAAAACATAATGTCTTATGGTCACCCTTTGTTTACCTCACTGACGCGCCCTTTTATACTTTCCTCAGTACTACTTCCTTGCCCTACAACATCTGCCTTCGCTAAATAAACCCTTCCTCAAAACAGACTTCATTATAGTGTTGTTTTTCAAGATAACAAATTCCTTGCACATCCATGTGGAAAACTGGAATTTCAGTTCTGTCTGCCCTTATGCAATAGTCAAGGCACTTCAAAAAAACCACAAAACCCCTCCACTAAAAATTATGATAGTTATGTACTCCCCTTCGCCCCAATCATAGAGATGTAGAGGCAGCACTACTGGATTTAAGCTGCAATCGTATTCCTGCTTACCTGGAAGTAAGTCCCTTTGGACTTATTGGGGCTTACTTCTGAGTAAACATGTACAGGATTGCACTGTTAAGGTCCCTAGCATGAGACGGAATCTCTTGGAAGTGAACAGTGTCACTGTCAACACCACCAGCAAACACATCTGGAAAGGCACAACGCAGAATGCATGCTATTTGAAAAGAGTGTGAAAGGCATGCAGCAGTTTGCTCCCCAGACTTTCAGAGCCCAGGGATCTGAGTCATCTTTTCACAGATGATTGTACGGTTTCTGCAGAGACCCGCAAGCTAGTGTCTATTGGAAAATATATAGCTCCAAGGCATTTCAATGGAACCAAATCATAAATCACTGTTCATCTGTCCTTTTTGTAATAAGCATCTCACCTCACTGCTAGCCCTTGTTAGTAGGGCTTGTGTTGTCACACATCAGCAGGTCCATTTATTCCACAAAAGCTGACAGCAAAAACAAGGCAAAAGGGGCGAATGGTGCCCACCAACAATGTTGTTTAGTCGTTTAGTTGTGTCCGACTCTTTGTGACCCCCATGGACCAGAGCACGCCAGGCACTCCTGTCTTCCACTGCCTCCCGCAGTTTGGTCAGACTCATGTTTGTAGCTTCGAGAACACTGTCCAACCATCTCGTCCTCTGTCGTCCCCTTCTCCTTGTGCCCTCCATCTTTCCCAACATCAGGGTCTTTTCCAGGGAGTCTTCTCTTCTCATGAGGTGGCCAAAGTATTGGAGCCTCAGCTTCAGGATCTGTCCTTCCAGTGAGCACTCAGGGCTGATTTCCTTAAGAATGGATACATTTGATCTTCTTGCAGTCCATGGGACTCTCAAGAGTCTCCTCCAGCACCATAATTCAAAAGCATCAATTCTTCGGCGATCAGCCTTCTTTATGGTCCAGCTCTCACTTCCATACATCACTGCTGGGAAAACCATGGCTTTAACTATACTGACCTTTGTTGGCAAGGTGATGTCTCTGCTTTTTAAGATGCTGTCTAGGTTTGCCATCGCCTTTCTCCCAAGGAGCAGGCGTCTTTTAATTTCGTGACTGCTGTCACCATCTGCAGTGATCATGGAGCCCAAGAAAGTAAAATCTCTCACTGCCTCCATTTCTTCCCCTTCTATTTTCCAGGAGAAGCTATGAGCTATGCTGTGCAGACCCACCAACAATAACCCATAGCAATTGTTTTGTCATTGTTGATTTTTAAATGTACGTCAAATGGGACCGCGTTCAAGTTGTGCATGTCCTTTCATTGTGGTAGCAATAGGCAAAACTATCCCACTGCCAAGGAAGGCTTACTTTGAACCAAATTTCAACTCTAGGAACTGTTTGGTGAAAAGCTTAAACACTGGAACATATGGTGATAGGATGCATAGCACCTTTCCTTTACCGTAGACTGCCCATCACCCCTTTTGCCAAAAGTTTTCAGCCTAATGGTATACATTTGTGACTATTTGCACCTTGAAAATGGTTGGTGCTGCTAAATACAAGTTATATTGTTTGAATAGTAAATGGCAGGGTAGCAAAAGCACTTTCCCTCACACCTTTCACTTCTTTTTCCTTTGATTCCCAGATAACACATAAGACATGGCATGAGTCAAGTATGTTGCTATCAAATTCAGTGACATCTATCAGGGCCTCACTGGGCTTCCGTGAAGCACTTTTTCTGTCACTTTATCATGAGGTAAATAAAACTTCATTCCTTTGGTCTGGTTTAGAACCACTGTCACACTATCCAAGTTTAGTTGGGAGGCTGGATTTACCATTTCCATGTCTCCTTTTTAATTATACGATGGACTTGATGACCAAAACTGAGCCACTATGTTACTGGTGATCTCTGCTCCTCCTCTGGTATCCTGCATCATCCCATAAGTCTATGCCCTTATGACAGTAACAAAACATGGCAGGGTTTGTGCAGAGAAGCTAGCCGAGTTTTTCTACTGTGCCTGGCAAGTATCCTGAAGAACTATTCATGGGTATAAATCTTTCTCTTTATTCCCCTGGAGCGGATACACTTAGAGAGGAGTCTGAGCCAGGCAGCTGGGTGTTCCTCGTTCTGGCCTGCGCTAAGGCTCTTGCAGGCAAAATGTCTTCTTTTCTGCCAATCTAATCTTTATGGGAAAAATAACTGGATCTTTCATTGTCTACAAAAGTAAATGCACACCAGAGGGAACTGGAAGCAAGCTGTAAGCTTCTGCTAGCAGTGGAGGACCATATGGAATCACTTAGAAAAACATCTAGCGCTTTCCCAATTCTTCCTCTGCATCCCAATAAACCATGGAAGTGCCTGGAGATTTTAATTGCACAAGAAAAGGGAAGGAAGGGAGGAAGAACGAGCAACCGAGAGAGGAAGAGTGGGACCCATCGACTGGAAAGCCAGCATGAAAGAGATGTCCTCTGAAAGTTGCAGAGTTTGAAAGCTCCCTGGGGTTCTTCGTTGATAGCAGCCGCAGCAGATGTGGATGTTACAAAGCTTCTTGGTTTCATCAAAAAAAAAAAGTTTTATCTGTCCTGATCTGACCTTCCTTTGCTGTTTATACACACCAATAACTCTTGCAACAGACAAAACTACCTGGAATATCACAATGACACTGTAGCTATTGCTAATATAGTCGTACCTCTGCTTACGTATCCCTCTGGATAAGTAAACTTTGGGTTGCGAACGCAGCCAACCTGGAAGTGTATACATCCGGGTTTTGCCACGCACGCATGCACAGAAGTGCTCTGCGTGCAGCACGCAAGCACACAAGCGCTCTGTGCATCGTGCACATGTGCAGAAGTGCTCAATTGCACTGCGTGCGTACACAGAAGGGTGCCTCCAGTTATGGACTTTTGGGGATATGGCCGGGCCTCCAGAACAGATCCCATCCATAACCGGAGGTACCACTGTACCAGGAATATGCCTGGTAAGAGACATAGTTGGATTATGGGTGACGGGAATTCCAGCTGATCAAAGGATATCCTGTGACACACACACACACACAAGAACACAATGTTCTTGCGCCTGGAACTTCCTCTCTTTCCCTCAGTGTCACTGTTTTCATGTGTCATAGCATTTTTATCCTGTATGTAGGTCTACACCAGGCATAGGCAAACTCGGCCTTTCAGATGTTTTTGGGACTACAACTCCCATCATCCCTGACCACTGGTCCTGTTAACTAGGGATGATGGGAGTTGTAGTCCCAAAACATCTGAAAGGCCAAGTTTGCCTATGCCTGGTCTACACAGTTGCTTGTACACTACCCTTTTTATCCAGAATTGATGTCCTCCCTTCCCTTATGTTTTGGAATCCACACACAGCATCGCTGTCCTCCTATGTTTTGTTTTGTTACAAAATTCAACTGCAGCAAAGCACTATTAGGGCTTCTGAGGGGAATTGTTCCTTGGAACTAAAAGTTACCTGTTTGCAGGCTTGAATTGTTTACTGGTAGCCCAGCCAGCATGAATGACTTGCCACACAGTTTAAAAATAAGTAATCCTAGCCCTGCCTAATCAGAAGTAAGTCCTAGTGAATTCAGTTGTTGCTGTTGTGTTCAAATCCTGCTAGCTGGTTTCCCACAGGCATCTTCTCAGCCCCTGTGAGAACAGGATGCCGGACTAGATGGACCATTGGCCTGATCCAGCAGGTCTCTTCTTATGTCCTTATGTTATGTTCAATGAGCAAGGAGTTCCTGTTCACATAAATGCTAACCAGATATTTATTTTAAAAATATGCATATCCTGCCTCTCAATTAAAAATCCATAGTGAGGTGGTATCATCCACCACACATGTGGAAATTGTTAACTGTAAAATTATCAAAAAATAAAAACAACAACAATTAACACAGCTGAAGCTAACTAAGCAGCAAAACTTAGCCAGAAACTAAACTTAAAACAGTCCACACTTCTGAAATAAAACCACCTTTGCCTGGCTCCTGAAAGCTGAGAGAGATGAAGCAGTGCTGTGAGGGCCTGTTCCCAAGGAATTTCCCATTCAGTCTCAGATGGGGAAGGCCACACACAGGCCGGGCCCCTGGAGAAAGATCTGAATATATGAAT